TAACCCTAACCCTAACCCTAACCCTAACCCTAACCCTAACCCTAACCCTAACCCTAACCCTAACCCTAACCCTAACCCTAACCCTAACCCTAACCCTAACCCTAACCCTAACCCTAACCCTAACCCTCTGGAACCTCTGGAACCTCTAACATCGTCGCTCGGGTATTCGACACCCTCCCGGCACCTCGAACGGGTTGCGGGTGCCTTCTAGTCTTCGTGTAGCGCGCGTGCACGCTTGGTGTGCTCTCGCGCTATACGGGCATAAGGAATGGGGCCGAGTCTTGATGGTCTGAAGGGTCATTCGCGCCGTGTTGTTCTGCATCCCTAATGCAGCATCGTGCCATATGCGCCGTGTTCGCCGGGGCTGTCTTTAAGTCGTATGCGGAGATACTTTCGGCGACGCGCACCTAGCAACGAACTGCCGCGAATGCATCTTTGTGCCTCAACCTTCCGTTCCTAGGTATGAGCTCACTGGCAAGTGACTAGGTTCATGCGTTAGGACATTGTTATACTGTGCAGCAGATGTGGATGGCGCTAGTAACAACTTGCAGGTGCAGCGTAGCAATCTGCCGGGTGTAACTCTGCTCGCTTTGTTGCCGTTCCCGCCTGGTTTGCAGCGGTCATAGTGCGTGGGTGCGGACGGGAGAAGGTTGATGTCACTTGCATGATGAGCTGGTCGAACGGTTAACGGGTCATAAGCCAGTCGTTTTGAGTCTCTCAGCTTGGCAGGCTTACCTATCAGAAGTTAACAGTTTGGCTTGTAAATTACTAGAGTTCAGACTCTTAGCTTATCTCGCTTGTAAGCCGGCTTCTTCATGGGGAGGTCCCGGAAACGGTCGCAGACGAGGAATTTGCCGTGAAGCTGGTGCGTACTCTCCATGCGGTGTGGTGGCAGCTCGGTGAAGGCAGCAAGACAGTACTTAGACTTGCACCCGCGACGCAAGCCACAATTTAGGGTTAGGTCCTCCGCTCTTGGCGCGTATAATGGGTTGAGTGGAGAACGAAACGAGAAGCGACTACTAGTGTCGGTGTCATCACCGTCGGGTTTTAGCTGTGCTCGCCGCCCAATGGCACTCAATGCTCCACCCTGCTACTGCATAACCGCAAGATCCTGCCTCAGCTTCTCCTGCATGTCGAAAGTCGCCTATCTCAACGTCCTCTTCCAGCTTAATGACTGTTGTTGCGCTATCCGCCGGCAACGTCTCCAGTCTTCTAGGGCGCTCCATCTCTGCTTGGTGGATACTCTTGGGCTCTTGCACCAAGGCTCCATGCTCTTGAGCTCATGCACCAAAGCTTCGTGCTTATTCCTGACCTTCTGCAGCTCGGCGGAATGGTAGGCAATAAGTTCTTGCCTTGCTTCAGTGAGCTGCTTCTCCCGTATATCGTGTAGTCGGCGCTTGAGGCTCTCTTTCATGTTCTCGATAGGACGATCGCAATTCGCATCCTTCTACTGTAAGGCAAGCTGATGCGGTGCTTCCATCTCTAAGCGAAGCTTGTCGACCTTAGCCTGTAGCTACGCTGCCGCGCGCTGAAGTGTACTTCTCTTGTCCAGGATCTAAGCACGGACACGGCTCGCGAGCTTCAACATTCTATCATGAGGACTGGTCAAGAAGTACCGGCCTACTGCAGCAATGTCGATAGTAGCAATTGAGTTACGCTAAGCGCCCGGCCGAGACAGTTCGCCCTACGGGATCGCATATGAGCTGTAGCCTTGCAATCCCTTGGGTACAGCTGGAATAACTAATCGTGCTTAACGCTACATCTGCACATGCGAATAAGGCTTTCGAATCTTGCCTGCCGTCAAATCGTTTACGAACTCAGCAAAGCTCGTATACCGGAAGTCTGGGAAGAGGTCGCGAGCGTTGACGTAGCCAAGGTACTCGGCATTTTCTGGTGTGTTATCACCTCGCACGTATTTCGTGATGGCATATTGGGCCGCTGCCAACAGGAGCCGACTACTCTTGTCATGCGGAATTGCTTCGAGCGCCTTCTTGCGCGCATTGAGCGTAGCGAGAGCTTCCTCGTCACTTATCTGCATTGATCTCAGCCACGCTCATGCTGACAGTGACAGCCACAGTCTTTTACACACTGTAGTAAGTTCCAACTTTTCTCCGCTCTTCTCCTCGATGATTGTCTGAATCTCATTCTGGCTCAGCACGGCACCATATGCGATCACTCGCTTATTGAGCGTGCGTGCGTCCCCAACAATCTTCGCGGTTATCCGCCCCACGTCTCGCACGTCAATGAGCATGTTGGGCGTCCTCCCACCAGCATAGATCTCATTAGCTGGCAAGAAAATGGCGTCGTCAAATCGGCCGCTCGGTACACGTGGGATACTGGCCTGGTACCAGAACCCGACATCGATGATAGTGAAGCCTAAGCGCTGGCGGAACATGCTGTCATCGATGTCCTCCTTGAGGTCTTTGAGGGCCGCAATGCCGCGTGCGGAAGGTGTCCCCCAGTGGCAGGGTACGAAGCGCTGCACGCGCGCCTTGACCGCAGCATCGATGAGTGGGAGCTGGGATCTGAGGGCTGCGGGTGTTAGACAGCTGATCACGATGTCGATATCCTGCAATAGCTCGATAACGTCTGAAATAGGGCCGTCGAGATCCCCCAGTACGACTTTGACTCTTCGGTCCTGGAGCGATTTGGTACCAGGCTTATCTTGTGATGCTTTGCGGACGAAGCATGTCACCTCCTATGATATTTCAGCCACTTCCTTCGTGCTTCAGGTGCACGGAAGCCAGCAGGGAGGTAGGCTGCATAAACTCACAAACGCGCCATCTTCGAGTAAGCCTTCGAGGATATGCTTTCCCGTCTCCCCAGCAGCACCGACCAGAAGGACTCTTTGCTTCGGCATGGTAGGAGTAGCTGCGGAGAGAAAGTGATCACAGCCCGGGCCTGGTCGGGGAGGAAAGGTCCTCATATGACTCGGTTACCATGTCCGTGCGGCTTGCGAGGCATGGCTATACCGGCGGAGCTTGAATAAGCGTCCACGTAAGCTATAGCCTGACCTCCGGGGTCCATGTACGGAGCGTACAAGATGGGTCAAATTCGTCCGAAGCCAATTGCTGTTCGTCCGCGTTCGTCCGCCATGGATGACTCAGCGGAACTTTACCAGTGGCGTCTGGCTAAGGATCACGGTTAGGGCTGCGAGGGTACTTCCTTCGACGGCTGAATAGAGACTGCTCGTCCCGAAATCCTGAAGGCTTTCCTGAATCTTTGTAAGCAAGTCCAGTTGGCCTAGAGTTCACTCTCGCTCATACAGATAAACACCCATCAACATTGCGACAGTTCTCCCACTGTTCACTTTCCGAGAATCCTAAGCTGTAGCGCGCAAGCAAGAAAACAATGTTGGCCCCAGTGAAGATTGTACTTGGCCTTGCGAATGTAGTGGAGACGTCCACCCTAGAGTGAACCGTGGCTGACCACTCCGCACTAGGTTGGAGACAGAACTCAGGACAATACTGTTCGATATGACACACCAGAGGAAGTTAAAGCTTATCTGGACGCTTTCTACGACCATGGAGGCAGGGTTCTGGATACCGCCCGCGGCTACTCGCCTCATGCTCCTGGCTCATCGGAGGATAGATTGGGCGTCGTTGGAGCTGGTGACAGATTCCTAATCGATACCAAAGTCGTGTCTTTCGTGCCAGGCAGCCATGCGAGGGCCAGTATTCAGGAAAGTATCGTTAAGTCTCTGGAGTCATTGAAGATGTCAGCGGTCAACGTCGAGTATCTGCACGCACCGGACCGCTCAACTCCATTTGCGGAAACAGTCGGGGCTCTCGACCAGGCCCACAGAGAGGGCAAGTTCAGGTTCTTTGGACTCTCCAACTACACAGCGGCGGAGGTGGAAGAGATTGTCAAGATATGCGAGGAGAAGGGATTTGTCAAGCCAAGCGTGTATCAAGGGCAGTATAATGCCATCGTGCGGAGTGGAGAGAAGGAGCTTTTCCCTGTACTACGGAAGCATGGCATTGCCTTCTATGCATGGAGGTGAGTCTGTGTGCTGCCGCACCACATCACACTTCGCTGATGGTCGCGAACAGTCCAGCAGCCGCGGGTCTGTTTGCTGGTAACCACAAGAATATCAAGCCAGGTGACCGCTTTGATCAGTCTGTAGGTTTTTGTGCTACTGAGCGCAAGCGGCATCGTTGTTAACGATGGTTGATAGCACACTATGGGCCAATTGTTCGCGAGCGGATACCTCAAAGACGACATCATAGCTGCGGTCGATCGGGTAATCGACCTCCTGGTTAAGTATGGAATCAACGGTCACGCCGCAGCTCTCAGGTGGACCGTCTACCATAGCAACCTTCGAGCAGACCTTGGCGATGCCGTGATCATCGCTGCTTCCAGCGTGCAGCAACTGAAGTCAAACTTTGACTCCGTTGCGGAGGGCCCTTTACCACGTGAGGTACTGGACGTTCTCGATGGGGTGCATGGCGAGGTCGCAGGTTCGGAGTTTCCGTACCATGCCTAGGGTTCCGAATCAGGAGTACCGTATCTGTTCGCGGTCCGTATCAAATGCTCACCATATGTATAGCCATATGACATCTCAGCAAAGTTGTCGCCTCAAGCCTAAGCCATGAGTGAATGTCTAAAGCGCGCAGTATCATATGAACGTGTCTAATCCCCGTCCTTCAGCGCTTGAGCCATCAATGCCTTCTTCCACTCGATCACCAGCACCGCGCATCAGTGTTTCGAAGAATGCGGTATCCAGTCCTTGAAGCCACCAGTCATCCAATATCGCGGCGGCATCCGGAAACATTGGGTCTTGCTGGAGCGCTTGACTTTCTGGCGTCTCCTGAGCCGGTAAACTTGGTAGCAGTGGCTCATTCGCTATCGACATGAATGACGGTGTTGCTCGTGGCACTGTGATGTCTGCCACAGGCTTGCTCACACCACGCTTCGGCGCTTTCGTATGATCGATACTTATTGCCCCGATGCCACCGATGATCACGCCATCAGATAAACCTTGATCTTGCTCTATCGTCGAGATAGCGATAGTCGCGACACCGTTCTTCGAGAAGCTGATACCGCCGATAAAAGGCACCCTTATAATGACCATCTTGGAACCTTCTCCGTCGTGCTCGCCTTCCATACCTGGCCCACTCAGACTCTGCTTTGGCGTACGGGCCGCGGCGGCAGCCTCTACCTCAATCGCCAATAGGTTTTGAAGCATCGCAGCGCATTTCACCGCAAGAGCATCCTCGTTCATCTGGAACATGGACTCCATGCACTCGAGCGCCCTCTCCACCATCGCTCGATCGCCCAATCGCGCGTGCGCGAGTAAGTTGTTTGTGCTCTTGCCACAATGGCTAACAGCGTGCGCGAGCATCAGCGTCATCCCACCAATCAGCGCCATGAAATCCGCCATCCGAGAGCAGGCAGAGACGGGATCGAAAGTCCTCAATGCAATCTCCCTCGTCAAGATCTCACGGCTAGCATTGACGCAGGCAATTTTGGAGTAGATCCGCTGGTCCGGGCACAGCATGTAGGGAAGATGGAGCTGAATGACAAGGGTGTAGTAACATACTTGGTCTAGGGTCCGCTGAAACTCGTCTAGGGCCTCCACTGAGCCCACTCGAAGTCCAGCGTAGTTAATAGGGCTCCAGAACTGTTGAGGTGCACCCTCGGAGAAAGAGATGAGTTCTCGATCTATGCTATCTGTCATTTCGAGAGCTTCTTGAGGAGCAGTAATCTGGTTGCGTTCCATGATCTTGGCCATCAGACATGCTAGCGCTGTTGGGAGCTTGCACTCGCGGACGGTAACGCTCGTCGATCCATACATAGCGATATCGACAGCGAGTGTGCTAGTGGGCAGGCCAAGCAGGAGGGAGACCATACGCTCCATGCATACGATGCTGATCCACATGGCATCAGGATCGAGATCATCACTCTCATCAATACACTTGAACCGATGGTGACCTTTCCAATGCAGGCCAAGCAGTTGTGCTATCGTAACGGCGCGACGCAATGTGACCCAGCCTCGGCGAATGTTGCCACAGTCGATATGATACAAAGCCTCCAGGATTACGATCTCGAGGCCCTCGAGACTTCCCAGGAGAGCGTCATTCGTGGTGACCTCTTTGATAGCAACCCCAGCAAGCTTCAACATGATAGTGTGGTGGTGTATAGACAGCTGAGGTATCGACTCTTTGGGAGAGAGAGATTGTAAAGACGCCGCAAAGTCTAACATCTGTCTGGCAAGCAAGACTGGATGTTTTTCAGGTTGCAGAAGATCTTTCCGCGGAGTCTGACGTTTTGGCTCGTTGCCTGTCTTTTGACCACGAATTCGGTGACTGGAGTAACAGCGCATCGAGGAGGAGCTTCCAACCTTACTAATGAGAAGCTTGGTGTCTTGCTGGCACGGGAGCGCACCAAGTAGGGTTTGCATGACTTCTGTATGCTTTTCAATGCCTGAAACAGACGTTTGGCTAGGAACTGGTGTGGGCAGGGTATTGCTTGCTTGGTACGAGCCCAGCGGTTGTACATCGTATTCTGGTCCTTCGTGATGATTCGTCGGTATAGCTGATGTGGTGATACCCGAGTTTGATAGACTCTGATGGTGCATACGTGAAACAGTAACATGATTGGCCAGATTGTAATGCTGGCCGTCACCATATTCGTGGACGGTCGCACTTTTCAGAGTCTCCCTGTCAAAGTGCACATCACGTAAGATAAAGCCTGGCTCGTCGCCATTTACTTGACTGATGCACTCCGAGCCTCGTTTCTGGCAGATGATGCAGGCAGTATCTTCAGGAGATGCGAAGATGCACCTGACTTTCCGCCGCCTGCACTCCCTACAGCTGTGCGTGCCTTTCCTGACTTTCCTTCGCTTTGCCGGGTTCTCGTCCGGAGCGTCTATCATTGTGGCTAGCAATGCTGGCGCGTCTGCGCCGTCCGACATCTGACATGCGATCGGTGCAAGAGCTCAAGAGAAAGACGACGCGGTCACTCGGACTTCGTGCAAGTAGCCGGCGTGCCGAAGCGAAAGGGCTAAGTTCGTCCGAGCTGACAAACAGTTTTCGGCCGAACGAGCTTGGCGCTTTGCGACTCTCCCGCAGGTCCAGCGCCTTCAAGATCCAACAACTTGCTTCTGCATTGCACTTGGGATCACAAAGAGTATCTGTAATGTACTGGCGCTTGAGTGCAAGTTGTACATACCGACTGCGAAATCACCACCCGCACATGTCGGCGTAGGCAAGTTTTTGCATGCGGTGACGGTTTTTGTGGTTGTCGACTCCCCCGCACGGTCCTTTGGTCACATCCAAGATCAACATGAGTATCCCAGCCCGTACAGTGGTCGTCATCGGAGGCCGGTACAAGAAAATAGTCCGTCCGAGTGACTAGACAGAGTCCGATCGGAGATTGCTACCCTCGGATGAAGAAGTATCTCCACATCATTCACGTCCTGACTTCGGTCGAGCACAATGCTGTATGACAAACAGCAGGCCGGACCGTGTCTCTGTTGCTGCTCCTGCACCCGTCCATGCTGTTCCAGCGATATCGTGCTTGACAGTCCCGAACATAAGATCGTACAAGTCGACTGTACGGCTCGACTTCTCGAGCTTGTACCTTAACATTCTAGAGGAGACACCATCAACTGCTCAGCGACGTTCCAGGTCAAGACGCTATGGTGCACCAGCAGACGACCGAAGAAGATCTGCCGCGTTCGCAAGAAAACCTGGAGATGTCGAGCTCAGAGCAAGACCGTCCAGTCCACACAGTCAAGGAGAAAGAAGATCCCACTACCAGCGACGAGTATCTCCACGGAGCTCGTCTAGCTGCTCTCATCGTGTCGCTAATGCTGGGCATGTTCTTGGTCGTGCTTGATAACGTATGTCTCCTCAGTCCGAGAGTATCAGCGCTCATTGCCACGACTGACTCCGTCAGACCATCCTCGGTACAGCGATCCCAAAGATCACAGATGAGTTTCACGATCTCAACAAAGTGGCGTGGTATGGAGCAGCGTTCTTCATGACCTTCGGTGGTAGTGAGTAGCCCGGCGTTGCGAAGCCATCATGACTGTGCTAACATCATGCAAAGAGCAGCACACCCCTTCGTACTCCCAATCGCAGGCGCCGGGAAAGGCAGATCTCTGACGTGCTGACGAGCTTAGGCTTCCAATCGACTTGGGGAAAGCTTTACAAGTACTTCCCTCTCAAACTCTGGTATCTCATTGCGATGGTCATTTTTGAGGTCGGAAGTCTGGTATGCGGGCTTGCTCACAGTCCTACGACCCTCATTGTTGGTCGAGCGATCGCAGGCTTGGGCGGTGGTGGCATGATTGTCGGCGTGTTCACGATAACCGGGTTTGCTGCGTCGCCCAACACACGCCCGCAGATCATGGGCCTGATGGGCGCCACATACGGCATCAGCGCGGTGCTGGGACCACTTATCGGCGGCGCATTCACGGATCGAGTGTCCTGGCGATGGGTGAGCAGCCTTCGTACGAAAATTGATCGGCGTGATGCTGATATCGACAGTGTTTCTTCATCAATCTTCCCATTGCCGGAGTAGCAGCCGTCATTGCTTTCGTATTCTTCAAGCCTCCGGACGCGGCAAAACCGGCACAAGCTACGCTTAAGGAGAAGATACTACAACTCGACCTTGTTGGAGCGGTTCTCATGATGGGCTTGATCATCTCGTATGTTCTGGCGTTGCAGTACGGTGGGCAGACGCATTCCTGGTCGAGCAGCGTTGTCATAGGTCTTCTTGTCGGCTTTGTCGCCATAACCATAGCCTTTGTATGCTGGGAGACTATTCAGAAGGAGCGTGCAATGCTCGTACCGAGATTGGTAAGTCGTGGCCCAACTTCACAAGTTGCGGAAATGGACTAACTATGCCGATTCTCACAGATCACGCAGCGCTACGTCGCCGTCGGCTCGATCTTTATGTTCTTCTTCGGTGGCGCATACTTCACGCTGCTCTACTATCTTCCCATCTACTTCCAAAGCATACACAACAGTAGCCCCATCGGATCCGGCGTCCGGATGCTAGCCCTCATTATTCCGCTCACGATCGCCGCTATCATGCAAGGCTTTGCTATGACCAAGGTCGGGATTGTGCCTATCTTCTGGATTGTTGGTGGCGCGATTGCAACAGTCGGCTGTGGGCTGCTCTATACCATGGGAGTTGACACATCCGCAGGAAAGTGGATCGGGTACCAGATATTACTCGGCTTCGTTGTGGGAATCACGTTCCAAGTCTCTTTAACCAATGCTCAAATCTTTGCTAAGCCGGAGGACATGTCGCAGGTTACGGCTATCGTCAATTGTAAGTGTGATCCGCTTTCTCGAGGTGGCGCTTAACCGCTGATTTGTAACTCAGTCTTCGTCACTATTGGAGGTTCATTCTTTCTGGCAGCCGCACAATGTGCTTTCAACAACCAACTAATCAAACAGCTTACGATGAGACTTGTGGAAGTCGATCCTGTTGTCGCTCTTGGGACTGGCGCAACGCAGATTCGTCAAGCTTTCACTGCCTCTCAAATCCCTATCGTCCTCGATGCCTACATGACAGGGTTGAAAGCTGTCTTTGCGATTAGCATTGCCGCATACGGCGCGGCCACGATTGTGGGCTTCTTCGGTAGCTGGAAGCGACTCCCTGCAGGAGAGCTAGGAAAGCTTGCCGGTGGGGGAGCATAAGCATTGTTGGTGGCAGGGATAAGCGCAACTGCCACGTTCAAATTGTGAATCTCGCCAAGTTGAACAGATTGTGGTCCGCCTGCAGAACAAGATGGAGCTGCGCTCAGTTCCAACGGCTTGCTGGATGGCCTTTCACCGCCGTGGCCGGGGCGGAAGGCATGGATGGCAAGAATTATCAGTCGTATAGCGCAACTGTGGAAGCCCTGAGCGATTATTGTCTACGTACCGTTTCAGACACTCTGGCGTCAAAGGCCGGCCGTAAATGAAGATCAGAGGCGTGTGCGATTCGATACCCATGATGACCGCCTCTGACGGGTCGGCTCCTGGCTACTGCGGGCCATATGCTTTCGCAATACGACCATGTTGCCCGCGCCCTGAACCGCCGAAGCCTCGATGCAATGGTGGTGAGGGTGGCCCTCGAAGACGGTCCCGGGACGGGTTCGAAAGCCAAAGAGCCCTACGCGCCAAAGGCTACATTGTACGCTCTTGCGCATTACCAACCTGAAGCCGTTCTCTGGGTTGTAAGTCTCAGCAATGAAGCCAGCGATAAACCGCAGTCCCGCACTCGGCGCGTTGTGGCGCTGCTCAACCTGTTCTTCGTAGTGATGCTCCGGTTTTGTATAGGCATCACCGTCATGATGTTTTTTGGCTTGGTGCTTGTCTTCATGCTAGTAGTATTCACCATGTTCGTGAGTATTGGCACGATGACCGTTATACCAGCCTCGACAGCGCGAATCCTAGTGACAGGCACTCCTCAATTGCTGCGCTCACGCAGCCTTGCTTGGCTTCACAAAGTGGGCTGAGGTAATACCGATCCTTGGAAAGCGACCAAGGGGCTATGATTGGCTCCACCTGACGTGTGTGTGAGCCGGGGAGATATGGGTTTTAGCAGGTATTGATAGAGCAGTAGCACGCTAGTGATACCTCGCAAGTACTGACATGGCCAGCTTGGGCTCGTAAGAAGCACATGTACCCTATGGATTCCATCGTATTCCCACGCAACCATTCACTTCCAGCCTGTGCGAAGCCCGTCTCGTATTCATCGCATGCACACATCACCTATGCACAGCCAGCGTTTCTTGTGAACGCGAAGGCAAATCGACCCAGTTTTACGGTACGGTGTAGTCATGTTGTGGAAGGTCAGCCATCTCCGTCAAGCATAATGAGTACTGAAGTACACTAAGCAGCAGGTGGAGTTAAAGCGGAACTTGAAAGCGTTTCTCGCTTTCGCATTGCCAAGACCTGCGTCTCTGACGCATTCTTTCTCCGTCCTTTGGTCGACGTTACACCATCCGTGACGCAGGCACTTTCATATGCACTGCGGCGGATGCTGTGGTCTACGCGCAAACTCTGTTGCTGCGATTGATCGGAGTCATGCAGACTACAGACGAGACGGTACTACATCATTTTCGAATGATGTGAGTATGTTCGTCAATCATTCTTTGCTTCCAGCGTTACGCTGCAAGGTCAACCCGGACACTACAATGTCCGGCTTGAAACTGGCGCACGTCTTGCTGACGTGGTAGGTAGGACTCGCCATGTATCGTCTTCACGATCTTTATGCTCTACCACTTCAAAGAAGAGCGCTCATCATGCCGACAAGACAGCCATCTTCGACAGCTGTTGTCGTTGGGCGGGCTGCATATCGCCAGCTATGAACCACCGTCTGGCCGCCCAAGCTTCTCGAAGTCGCTGTCGAAATCTAGCGCGGCAGCCATGGCAGCGCGGACTTCGGGTGATGCGTCCTCTGGTACCGGCGGCAAAGGATCCATTGCGGCCGCCCATCTGTTTACACGGTCTATCACTTCTCTTGCCTCCTTCTCCTGAGCTGCCCTTCGCTCTGCGGCCTCCAAGGTACGTTGAGACTCGGCCAGCCCGACATCAAGTTTCGCTGTCGCGGCCCGCAGTTCCTTGTCGCTCTCCGCTAGGAGCTCAATGTGTTCGCTATATACCGCACCTAGCTCGGCCAGTTTCTCGGCACGTTCGAAGGCTCTAATCTGCCGACTCATCTCGTCAATGTCGCTTTGGCGTCGCTGCATTTCGCTTTCGAGATTCGGCTGCACCCTCCTCAACCATTCGGAAGTTACTGCGCGTCCGTTGGCTTCACTCCAGTCATGATAGGTCATGGTGTCGATGCCACCAAGGTTAATGGCGGGCTGCGCAAAGTTCATTCCGCCGACTCCGCCGTATCCACCGCACATTAGTGATCCGATCGTCTCACCAATTTCAGCTTGGCTAACTTTTGTTATGGTGAACAAGATGACCTGGCTTAGGTGCCATCCGGCGTCCGGCCACAATGCCATCATCACTAAGTGGACAAGCCGAAAGAACGTCGGCGAGCTGTCCTCAAGTCTGACGTGATCTTGGCATCTTCTGTAGCCCTGATGGCTCAAGCCAACATTACCGCGGAGCTGAACATATTCGAATTCATCGCGCGTTGCCACAGTAAGTACTACGTCCCGGTGGAAGTCCACAAAGATCCTGGCTTGTACGGGAACACTCTCTGCATCGCCGTCTTGCCACGTTTCAAAGAATGTCCCAGCTGTACCTACGTTGGCGCTCTGGCGGCTCTCTGCGTAGGCTGCGTTCATTCTATGCTGGAGGTCTAGAAGTGCCAGTCGCGGCTTTGCGAGCCCTTTCGACGCGATACCAGCGATGAGCTCGATATGGCAAAGGAGCTCCTCCATGTTATCCACCAGGACTCCGCGGTAATCAGAACTTGTTAGGTAGTTGGCGTAGACAACTGGGTCGCAGCCTTCGTCCACGTCACCTGGAATGCGGATCTCATGGCGGAAGCGTCCGTGCAGCCCCTGCGTCAGCTCATTGGTGAGTATAGCCTTGATGATCTCGCTGCTCAGCTGACTTAGTAGCAGTTTCGTGTCGTAATACCAGTCGGTGCGTTGCAGCAACCGTGACTCGCCCGGTACGGGAGCAATTCGACCTTCAAGATCCCAAAGCGCCTGAGCTAAACCTAGCAATGGGTAGGAGGATTAGCCATCTCCCATACGACGGTAAACATTGTTGCGCTCACCATTGGTCCCGTCTTTCTCGAACGCATCGAGAAGCTGCTGCTGTTCTTTCGTAATATAGGTCCGCACAGCGGCCGGAGCCGACTGGTTGTCTTGTACGTCTCTAATGTTTACGTCTGTTTTGAAAGCGCTGACATTCACTAGCAAAGCCATGTCAACTTTGGATACTGGTGTATGGTGTATGGTGTATCGTGGTGTTAGCAGGGGCAGGGAAAGAGTTAGGTGGCTCCGCAAAGTTTCGGCTAGGCCGATCGTGACTTCCTGCGGAAGGATACATGCATCCCAAAGTGGTTTGGCGCGGTTATTCCCAGGATTATCTCAAGATTGTCGCGAACTTTGTGCGACTTCATGGATTGTGCGTATGACGGCGTGCTCACCCAGCATGATTCGTATACTGTGAGAGAACAAAGCGCAGGGTGAGGCCGTACTGAGCGAGCAGCGAAATTTCGCATTCGACAAAAAGCAACAACTTCAAGGTCGAAGGACTGCTGCGAACTCCAATTGGTCCTCCTGCTAAAGAAAGTAGTCCGCCACCGGCTTCTTCGCCGGCATGCCACGACTGTCCTGCGGCGCAGCCTCGAACACGCGATACCGTCTGCCAGGCCCCTTGAGCTTGTCCATCCGCTCCGTAAGCACGCCATTGCTTGCACCATGACTTCTCTCCACGTCTCCATTGCTGCGCGGAGCATAACCCGCATTCGAACCATCCTCCCCCAGCTCCAGTATAGCAGCTATGTTGCCGCATCGGTAGCAGTAGTTCGGTGCCGACCACACAGTCACAATGGTGTTCTGGAACATCTCCTTGAAACCCTCCATGACGAGCTGATGGGCACGGCAGATGAGGCTGAGGTCGTTTTTGTGGTTGAAGCACTTCACAATGTCGGCTCCGAAGAGGAAGCCGGCGCCTCGTGGTGACAAACCCCAACCCTCGATCTCGTCAGGGTCCGACCAGAGAAGATCGCACATGGCACCTTCGTGTGGGACCTCTTGCTTGCGGTCAAGCAGGCGAATCTTGTCGATGCTGTCGATGAGCGGACTGAGACCGCCGTGAACGCAAAGAACGGCACCACCGCCATTACCTGAACTGCCATGACTTGACCCTGTCGCTCCCGTACCTGGCGCGCCATTTCGAGACGGTGTTTGTTCTCGTGTCTGTGAAGGTGATGATGGCGGGTTCGAAAGCTGCGAGCTTTGGCCGATGTATCTGTCTCGAACATGGCGAGTTACAATATGGCCTGCAGAGTTCAACAGCTCCACCTCAACTTCATCACCCTCAGAGACCGTGGTCGCGTGTGAAGGATCTGCAAAAGGGGCATCCGTCGGTTCCAGCTCGGTCGCTGCACCGATTACAAGCGCACCCAATGCCAGGTAATCGAAGACTTCGCAGCAGTACCGCCAGACGTTAGCACTGCCGTACTTCCGCAAACATTCGTCGTAAAACCCATAGACTGTCGTGATCTGCCGTGACTCGTGGTTCCCTCGTATCAGCGTTATCCGATCCGGATATCGGACCTTCAGGCAAAGTAGTAGTAGAAAGGACTCAAGCGAGTAGAAGCCGCGATCGACAAAGTCGCCCATGAAGAGGTAATTCGTATCCGGCACGTCGCCACCCACACGGAAGAGCTCCATGAGATCGTGAAACTGGCCATGAATGTCGCCGCATATCTGAAAGGCTAGGGGTTAGTCTCGATATTTGTGTAACTGGATAAGTGCCCAAACGTACCGTGACCGGCGCATCCACCGTTACCACATTACCCTCCTCTATCAGCAGCTCCCGCGCTTTGTAGCACAGCTCGCGCACTTGAATCTCTGGGATTGGCCGACATGCTCGCAGCTGCGCGATGGCCCTGAAGCTCGTTAAAAGCGATCCTGCTGCCTGCTCGCGTGACCACCTACTTGTCCAGATCGCTCATGCTGCTGATGGCGCCTGAAGGCGCACACACCTTGTGCACCCACTATTCTTGATACCCGTCTCAAGCTCCCGCCACTGAGACACTGCCGTTCGCCTGTGCCACGCTGCGCTGATGTAGCGCTAGCTCGCAAGGTTTCTGGGTGCTAAACGCAGTATGTTGCTCTTCGCGGTTTTGATGCCTTTGGACGGTGTGCGCGCAGGGTCGTAGATATGTTGTGAGTGTTAGAGGTCTGAAGTCGGGAGGGTATGCTCAAGCCGATGGAGAAAGTTCGCAGGTTGCGCTTTCACATACGAACAGGTGCAATATGCGCTGCGCATCGATGGCCGACGGCTGTTCCCGCATTACGCACAGTGGCTCGAGCGCCAGAGTTCAGCTCGCGATACTCTTTCTCAAACAACAACGTCTTACCCTTCGGCTACATGTTCTTCCGCTCCGGCGGCGGCAGCACTTGGAGAACATAAGACTTGACTACCTAGGCTGTCTTGGCACTCTCGAACATGCCAGTTGTCTACGCAACGCCGAGTGTGCGAATGTGTATGCGGAAGGCAGCCATGGTTTCAGTCCTTCCATCGCATTATCCACGCTGCAAACTAGTAACCCGCTAAAGCGTTAGGTTGGATGGCCAATCCATCATACCACTGACGTTTTGAGAGGCGGATAGCGTCAAACGCCCTTGTAAAGATCTCAACTCACTTCCTTCCCCAGCCAACCACGCAGCTCAGGAAGATGCCGTCCGGTTGATCCTCACACACGGCACGCTCAAATTCACGAGCTAGCTTGTCTTTACTGCCACCATGATCAACCCAGTGATCGATCAGTCCTCTAGCAAACGGGTTGTTGGTTGAAGTCCACCATTCACTTGCGACGTTTGACCACCCGTCTGCGGGTTGAAACAACGGCATATTGAAGAGCTCAGTCTTCACGTCTTTCACACCAGCTTCCTGCAATGCTTTCCGGTGTTCTTCTTCGGCATACCACGTCCCCGGAAGCTTGGGGTCGAGGACGGTATATTCAGGCCTGCAAGCTGTTCTCAACACGCGCTCATTCGCTTGGGTCAAGAGGACCTACTTCAATCGACGGCATGCCCTCTCGTGCCCAACCAAGAGGCCCAAGTACTCTCCCCATATCGCGATACCCACGACACCTCCCGGCATTACGACCCGGTGTAGACTCTTGACCACTCTCATGGCATCCGGTATGATATGAGTGGCAAATGAGCTGAGCCCGTGAGTGAACGAAGCATCCTTCAGTCCGGCGAGGGTTGCGCCGTCTTCAAACTGCGTCGTAACGTGAGGAATGTGCAGCTTGTTGACCTCAGCCAGCATGCCCTCAGCGACGTCCGTCGCAAGGATTCGCGCTTGGCCACAAATTTCATGGATCTTGACCGTCAAGCTACCAGTGCCGCAGCCCACGTCCAGCACGGAGGACTCTTCCGTAAATGGTAGAAGCTTGTCCACCACCTCGACCAACCGAGCAGTGCCGTGCATTGTGCATTCACCTATAACCTCGTTGTAGCTTGCCGCCGCCGCTGACCAAGCTTCTCCCGAAGAAACCCCTGCCGACGCAGGCATGACTATCATAGGCAATATGGACATCGTCGTTTAGGCTCGTAGAGGAGTCATAACGAATGAGTACCTTACTTGCAAAGTAAACGAATGTGCTTCACTCGCCTCATATCTATATGTCATGTCAAGTGACATGATCCGTGAGGAGAACAGCTCCAGACCTGCAATCGCACAACCTCGCGTGAACACCCAACTCCATCCGGCAACAACGCCGTTCCAAAACGCCTCCATAGGGCAGTCGAACATGTGCACGTATGTGAAACTTCTCCGCTTTCGTGTTGCCCAAGATGCTAAGGATACGGAGCACAGGCGACACCTACAGCAACAAATGCAACACGTAATGAGCGATCAGTGACCCCTCAAACACATTCCAGAGCCCAATTGTCTTATCGTTCGTTGACATGTATGGCTAGATTCAGCCATTGTAGATGACGCTGGCGAGGAGTAGGCGCTGAACTGGCGGTTGTTGAACATGGCTGCTCCCACCGCTATCGGGATGTGGCACGTACTTGCGACCTATGTAGCACTTTTCGATGGTCTTACATTTGGAATCATTCCACCTCCCATCCCAGACTCGATCACAGAGCTGTCGCAATATCTCTACATAGCTAGTTTTACTTCTTCCAAAATACTGTATACCTCAAGCTCGCTGACCCGGTCCGAGTGGTCTTTCTTTGCAGATCCAGTACGAACCGTTGCAGGGCTCGCTGCAGCAAGAAGCGAGCCCAGAAGAAGCAACAGCTCAAGTGACAGGTTTCCCGTTTGCAGAATCTGCTTAGCTTCGAGACGCAGCGGGTTACCAGTCAAGCGCATCAATCCAAATGGTTGGAAGAATTGTACCCCAAGGGCTCAGTAGGTATGTTCGCAGACAGCTGACCCTCAGGGCACCTGCTGCAAGCCTCCCTCGCTCTGCCGCGTGGCTTAATCCACAATCGAAGACGGAACGATGTCACGATCAATCCACAAGAAGTGTCATCTCCAGCAGCACCTTCGTCGAGCAGGTCGTAGGCGTCATCTGTTCTCAAGTCCCACGTCTTCAGTGGAAGTGGACCTCATTCCAACGTACGGTGACGGTAGTAGCGCCAGATAGGGTGCGGCGAACAAAGAAATGCACCAAGAACCAAACCACGCACTACTGCTTCACCGCTGATCAGGGGAGCTGATGTAGTACTCCGGGCGCAGCGAAATGAGCAGCGAACGTAGACTGCGTATCTGCCACGCTGTTCGAATGCCTTACGAAGAACCCCAACGAAGTACCACAGCAGCGATTTCGGGACGGAAGCAGCTTGGTTAACTCTTAAGGTGAGCTCGACAATTGTTGTAGTGTGTCCATAACAGAGCCTTGAGCGGCTCTTCTTCAACGTACCGTGAGTGGAGCTAGCTATGTAAAAATCCCAAGCCAAATTGCCCGCTTTTGAGCTCATCGTGGACAGTATGTACAAAAGCCCATCCGCCAAACTGCTTCTCGCTCGAAGGGTATCGTAGACAAGAAAAAGATGGATACCGCCAACGCCAACCGCTAATCGCAGCAAAAACGGTCGTCCAATCACGCCATCCTCCGACATGTTAGAGAGGAACATCCTCCATCATCTGCACCGCCCCCTCCCTCCCCACCGTAATAATCACGTCCCCCAAACTCTTCGCCGCAAACCCAGCTTCACAGTAAGAGAAGTAGTACTCCCACTTCCGCTTGAACAGCTCAACATCCTCCTCCGTCATCCTCGTCCCCTTCTCCACGTGCTCGCTGATGAGCGCGGGCTTGATCTTGAGGGTGAAATTCTGCATGAAACTCTGCCGCCATAGACGAAGAGTCTTCGCGTAATGCGGACCGATATTCTCGACGCTATCCGGGACGAGACGAGGCGGGCTGTTCTTGCTCGACGAGCCGGCTTTGATCGCATCGAGAAGTTGCGTCACAGTAGGTAGATGGCCGCCAGGAAAGATGTACCGCCTGATGAAATCGTCGGAGTTGCTGTAGGCATCGTAGCGGCTTTCAGGCATGGTGATGCACTGGAAGACTGCAATGCCGCCGTCGCTTTTCAGCAGCTGGTCGACACATCGAAAGTAGGTTTCCAGGTACTCGGCGCCTACAGCCTCCAGCATCTCGATGGATATGATCTTGTCATACTTGTCATGCTCGCTCGGTATCGGCAGGCTGCGGTAATCACACAGCATCACCCTGATTTTGTCCTGGAACCCTGCCTGCCGTATCCGCTCTTCTGCCAGCCGTTTCTGCTCCGCGCTTAAAGTCAGACTGGTCACTCTGCAACCCGTCTTTTCCACCGCGAGGATGGCGAAGCTGCCCCAGCCTGTGCCAATTTCCAGCACGTGGTCGGTGGACTTGATCTTGGCATTGTTGACGAAGCGACATAGCTTGCGGTATTGTGCTTGCTCTAGCGTCTCTTGAGACGACGCAGGGTTGGACTTGGGCAGCCAGATGGGACAAGAGTACGTCATGTCGGGTGACAAGAAGGCTGCGAACATATCATTTGAGATGTCATAGTGTGCGGAGATGTTGAGTCGCGAGTTGGCAAGAGTGTTGGTGCTCCGGATGAAGCCCGCAATTTTGCCGGAGATGTTCGAGGTCAATGTCGTGCCTTTAGCCAGATGCGCCCTGTTGAAGAGGAATAGCTTGAAAAAGGCGGTCAGGTCTGGGCATGCGATCTCCCCAAGCATGTAGCTCTCCGCAAACCCCATGTCCGCGAAGACCAGCAACCGCACCCAGAATAGATCGTTTAGGACTCTGATCTCGGCGTGCGGGACCTCGTAGACCGACTTCTCACTGCCTTCTGCTTCTGCCCGTCTTGGACTTCCGCAGATCATGAGACTTCCATCCGCGTCGGTGATTGTTAGCGAACCGATCTGGATCTGCTTGAGGAGACCGAGTATGGCACCACGTGAGAGCGAGAGTATGGGTGGCCATGCGTATGAACCGGCGTAGTTGGCAAGAGCAGTCGTCCGCTCCACCAACGGTGTAGTAATACCCATGCTCAATCTAAGTCCTCTTTATTTACTGCAGCGACGGCGGGAATGCCCAGTGTCTACCTTATAAGATCAGTAATGACAGTGAGAGAGCGCACGAACAGCAGGAACAGGCAGGAAATATGAACATGTGGTCTCAACAAGCAGAATCGAACCACCGGCGCCTCACATGCGGCCAAATTGCACCGGCTGTCGTTGAAGTCAGACACAGTCGCTGGGCCGGGGAGAAGGACATCCCGGCGACCGAGGGCCACATGCTCCTGGCTGCAAGGTACCAGCGAAAAAGGTCCGGTCTTGCTGTGAGCGAGTGGGCACTTTTTCTGGCCGCCGAGACGTCATCGATTTGATGGGAAAGGCTTAAGGTGCATGCGGCGCGATCCTAATTACCCGCTAGCCTCGCGGACGTTGCTGTCTGTCGTATATCATACTCGGTGCGCCTTCATGCTGCTGTCCTGCGAGTGTATACGGCGCGCCAAGCAGTCAAAGGCACATTGCCTCCGCCCGCAGCGTTGTCTTGTTGATGGTAGGAGAAGAGTGGCAGATGTTCGAATCACCTCGAAGATAAGGTAAGAAGTCAGATAAACCCCGCCGGCCATAGAACTATCGGGAGATTGGGGCCCTTGCGCCCGTGCCTATCGCAATATGGCCTTTGCAAAGGCACAACGTTGTCTCAAAAGCCGCCCGCGGTATCACTTCCTTATACCGTTGTATGTCTTCCGTCGCTCGAAGAGATGCGTCGATGATCTGTGTACTCGACGTGGGTGCCATGAGAGTCTATGCCACATGCCACATGCCAGATATCGGGAAAGCCGATCGGGACAGCCGGCAATCTGCCCGAGGAGATCGGTTCTAAGTAGCCCGTGCATTCACTCTTTACGACGCGCTCTAGGCGCGTCTCACGTGGAGCATTGTGTACTGTAGGGACGAAGCTTGCTCGCTTTGTACACGTAGTCTATCCGGCTCACATACAGCAACAAGGAATTGTCGCGATGCTAGCTATAGAGCCCCCCAAATCTACTCGCCAGCTTAAGCCCAACCTTCTCCCATGCACCATCCACCATAACGGCCCCCTCAAGGTCTCCAAGCGCTACTGGTCGCCCAAGATTAATGCAGATGGCACAAGCACAGCCTACCTTCGCGGGCGTAAACTGAAAGGGCGGACTCTCAAGCTACCAACGGGCTATCAAGGGGTCTTGCTGCAGAAGACCGACCGCGATCACGTGCCATCGAACGCATCATCTGCCGCTGCTTCTAAGCCTGCGTTGCTGCATAGTCTTGAGCTTGATGAGGCAGAGGAAGCGGAGGGGGGTGAAGGCGAGGTCAAGCTAATGGAGTCGAAAGGCACGTTTGATGAAGTAATGGTGTGGGGTCATGAACTCGTACCGGACGATGAAGATGCATATGTACGAGGGCTGCGGGAGTGGATGGCTTTCGCTGAAGCGGTAAGATAAAACTTACCAGCCCGAGAAGGCGTGTGCTGACAGGCGTAGATGCATGCCTACCCCGAGTTAAAGTCAACGACTGCTGAGCCAGCACGCCACCAAGCTTCGACGCTGGAAGTAGAGAAAGGAGGCTGAGCACCGCCTTCTCACACATGTCATGATACGGAAGCATGAAGCATGAGCATGCTTTTTTGCATTTGGATTTTTCGTTGGACCTGCGCATGCCATCTATGGTACATACGTCTATCATCTGCACGTCTAGCAGTGACATGGAATATCTGCCGCGAATGGCGAGACCGAGGCGGAGGTAGCTGAACCCAGCAACCTTTACAAAAAGTAGTCCGGCGTCCGTCGCGACACCATAGGCTCGCCGGCGCGCGGACACGGGTCGAATTGAAGGCTAGACGGCAGTCAGCACAAGAGCCTCACGGGGATGTGTCCGGACTGCGGAGTCGGGACTCACAAGGTGTATTTGAGATGCTCGTCAATCTCCATAATCGCCGCTTGATTGCCGCAGCGGTAGCAGTAATTCGGTGCTGTCCAAATCGATCAGCACATGTCACCACACATACCAGACTGGTACATCTAGACTGACCGGAAAAGATGGTGACCACATTCCGATCCTGACTCCAATTATACCCCTCCATCACCAGTTGATGCGCCCGCGCGACAAGCGTCAAACCATTGTTATGATTAAACGCCTCACTGATATCCTGACCGAACGTATACCCAGCTCCTCGTGGGGAGATACCCCAGCCACACCGATCGTCCGGGTCGGACCACAGCAAATCGCACATTGGCCCTTCATGCGGCACCTCCTGGATCCGATCCAACGCCCGGATGTTATCCAGTGTATCTATGCTGGGGGACAGACCGCCGTGCAGGCAGAAGATCTGGTTGTCGATCAACGCGGTCAAGGGCAGGTAGTCGAACAGATCGGTGAAGAACTTCCACACATTCGCGTTGCCGTATTTGCGCAGACATTCGTCGTAGAAGCCGTAGACTTGCGTGATCTGGCGCGACTCGTGGTTGCCGCGAAGGATGGTGATGCGCTGCGGGTAGCGGATTTTGAGCGCGACAAGCAGAGTCACCGTCTCGACGGAGAAGTAGCCGCGGTCGACGTAGTCGCCCATGAAGAGGTAGTTCGTGTCCGGGTTCGGCCCGCCGATCTTGAACAGCTCCATCAGGTCGTGAAACTGCCCGTGGATGTCTCCACACACGGTCACAGGACACTTGACGGGCTGCACGTTACTCTCGTCTTGGAGGACCTCGCGCGCCTTTTCGCACAGTCGCCGCACGTCCTCTTCCGAGAGCTGTTTGCACGCCATCAAGTTCTCGATCCAGCCGTCCAGGTCGGGTATTGATGGTGGGTCGGTGGAGGCGCCCAGTGTGTGCTCGACCTTGCCCGCCTCGCCCATCTCCGTGTCCATGATGGGCTGCCTTAGCGCGGCAGCCTCCGCCATCTTGGCCAGTCAGTGAAGAAGAGGTTGGGTGCGGTGATGGACTGGCTAAGGTGGTGTAGCAGGTGGAGCAGGTGGAGAGATGGTCGGGGGGACAGGCGGCGGTGGAGAAGGTACAATGATCTTGCCGCGGGCTCGCTTTCACAGTGTGCCGACGCTGTAACACCTCAATGGGGGTAAGATGTGTGTTGTTTCGCAGTTCCGGCGATGGTTCCTGGCAATGTGTTTCTGTTGCGGTATTGTCTCAAGCTCCAGCTGCATGTGCTGAGTTGTTTGGGCGGCGGCAGCTTCCGTCAAAAGGGCTTGGCGTCCGTCACTGGAAACCAAGCACACGACTGGCAGGGACAGAGAAGGACGGGTTGAGAAGAGGGCGGAAGACACCTTTGCGCACAGACTAACAACTGGCGTGCTGTTACCCACATATTTCAGATAGAATTGAATATCAGACTGCAGTGTGTACCACATGCTTCTTCACCACTCCCCTCCATACGCGCGCCTCCCGCGGCTCTCTCAACGAGACTTCCCTTTGCCCTTCCCGTTCCCATCACCCTGACCACCAAGAGCAGGATACTCGACGCCAACATCACGCCTACTCTGCTCCTCCGCCAGACTGAGCTGCAGCGCAAACTCCATATCGCTCATCTCCCACACTTTGCTTGACCCCGCCAACATCGGCGAAGCGCGCGGTGAAGGCCGGGCAGACGAACCCTTTCTGCCCTTCGGCTTAGCTTGACGGATGGGTACCTCATACGGAGCTCGACCCGGTGATGTACCCAGGCTCAAACGTATCGCTTCTGCCACGTCCGCATCAAACTCCTCGTCCGACTTCGGCGTAGACAGACGCGGTGACGGACTGGCAGAAGGCGTAGGATCAGCCGTGGCGAACGTGCTGTAATCTGTACTGACGACCGTGCTCGTGTCGGACGCTCTGCGTGCGGCTCTCTCTTGCTCCAACGTCTCCTGGCTGAGCATGGCAGCGTAAGCCATCATCTCTTCCTCACTTCCATCCAACAACCCCGTCCCAAAGCGGCCAGCGAACCGCTCAGCGTCCTTCTGCCGCTGCTGCTTCTCTCGGTCCAGTTCGTACCGCTCGTTTGCAATGTAGTCCTTCAAATTCCCACGCGCAGCTCCCGAAAAGCGCTCGCCACCGTTATTGCTGCCGCGCTCAGAACGCCGGTGTCTGCGCTTGTGAGACTTGTACTGATCGGCCGCAGACGAGCTATATGACCAGTAGCGGAGATGTGTGCCGAGCGAGACCATACCGCGAAGCACTGTAGGATCTGGGTCCAGGCATATCGCGCCAGCGGCGAAGAGGTTGATACCGACCCCCTGTGGAGAAGCTTGGGCTTGAACGAGCCTGCGTCGTGCGCGGGAGGAGAAGCGAGAGTTGAGTGTGCGAATAGGTTGTGTATTCGACCCTAACGGATCCCACGCCTGAACATAGCCGTCGTTACCACCATGCACCAAGTAGAGTGAGGACATGGCGAGGCAGGAAATTTGCGGCGAATCGGTCTGTATGATGCGGACGGGTTCAATGGTATTGACAGATTCAGCACTCCTTGACGGCGGACTTCGAACATTCCAGATCAAGACGCTGCCGGTGGCAGTACCAATTGCAAACAGACGAGCGCGCTGCCCAGGCATATCTGCAGGATCAATGGCGCGCGTTGCCGAATACGACGGCGAAAGCCATGGCGACGAGGTTGTCGATCGGCTTGACATGTTGAGGAGGGGATCCTCGGATATGGTTTGCGTAGCGAGAACAGAGTTGTCCATGGTAGTCGCGAAGATCTGCATGTGCTTGAATCCGTGCAAATCGAAGCTCGAAACCCGCCATTCTTCACACACCGGTCTTGGCGTGATCGAGCCCGCAAAATCATCTCGAGACAAGCTGTCCTCAAGCCGGTCCAGGGAGAAGTCAGGCACGGGGGCGGTAAGCCTATCCTGCGGACTACCAAATAGAGATGGAGAGCTTGTCGACACGGTGCTGCCGCTCGTTAACGGTGGCGTTGAGGCGGTAGCATAGTTCGCGCGATCCTGAAACCTGCAGCGAGTGTAGCGTTTGATGGCAACGCTGGAATCTTCGTCAAGCCCACACTCGAACACTATCACGTTCTCGCCCGCATTATTGCCGTCATCGCCAGCGAAGTCGACATCCAGCTTGCGGCGCATGTCCCAGCCGGCGCACGCTTTGTGGAACTCCTTGGGTTTGCGCATGATAAAAGCCTCTATCTCGCGTGTCTCGCTCGTGGTTTGTTCTTTGCTCAGACACATACCATTCCAGGACGAGCGAGGCGAGTAGCTGCCATCTACGCCGGACTCAGCATACGGATCCAGTCTTGCCACCCGCCTGCTTGCTTCGACGACATTCCAGTAGACAGTACGACCCGTGAGCCAAGCGGTGCGCTCAATCGTCTCGTCATCCGGTCTTGCGCCACGCTCAACGTGAGCACGCTTGGGGAACTTGGTAAGGTAGAACACCTCGCCAAGTGCATTCAGCACAACCGCCCATATCCGGTTTTGCGCCTGTCGCTTGAGACTATGCTCGGCATCAACCGCAATGCCGATAATCGGTACGCCTGGACTCAGCACCCAGCGTGCAGTCATCTCGCCACGACCGAATCGCTGGTCACGACTGTTGCCATTGGTAGTAGAGCCAAGACTGTAGGCTGTAACCACGCCAAGTGAGGAACCTGCCAAGATGCCGATGAGACCCTCGGTAAGCGATGGGATAGCAGCAGACTTCGCGACCCAAACGCTTGTGACAGCCTCGCTGGCAGAATAAATACGTGGTATGCCAAGCTCGGGAGCAGATATTGCAGACGAGAAGGCCAGGAAGCGGCCTCGCTGCTCTTCCGTGGACCGGAAATAGGCCATCCCACCAGGCGAGCCTTCCCCATGGACCATGCCGTAGGGCTGGCTGACGTCCATAACGTTTGGCACGCCTACGACCTCGCCTGGTCCGAGTCCGTACTGTGCGTCACCTGGGAAGCGCTCGTTGAACTGCAGGAATTGCTGCGGGTCAGATAAGCCCCAATTGTCCACCTTGGCCGCGTTAGGGTCGCTGCTAGTAGCCATACCAACATCGTCGGCGGCATGGATGAAACGAGGCAGCTTCTTGTTCATACCACTCCCAAAGTTGGCATGCACGTGGTTGATCGTTGTAAAGAGCTGTGAGTTGTACATGGTGATTGCAGTGGCGTTGTGACTTTGACCGGAGCGGCCGGAAGTTGGCGGCAGAGACACCTGCGCGGGTTTGCCACGTCCCAAGGAGCGTAGGAGACGGGTACGCATGATATACTCGCTACGCCATGACGCGAGCGCAGTAAGACGCGTAAAGGCGCGTTTCTCCGACAGGACAGCATCTTGCGCTATTTCTCCACTGTCATCGTAAGCAACGTCCAACGTGTTCTGGCCAGGAAAGTAGTGAGCGAAGGCGCTTCTCCAGGCATGCGGTCCCGTGACAAGGTTGTGGAAGCGCTTCGACACGAGCGCGACGGACGTCAAGTCTGTCGGAGCTAGGTGCGCAAGTGCATGTGTCAAGACCTCTGCTCAACATCAGCAAACGTCCATCTTCCACACGTCGCACGCCAAGGAAGACACACCGTTTGGCAGCTCCTGAATTGGAGACCGTTCGTCATTCGGACTACGCTGCTTCTTCACCACGCGAAAGGCAGGTCCCTCCCGGCTCTTATTCCTGGGCGGCGTTGAAGCCTTCTCATACTCTGTGATTCGGTTATATACCGCACTGGGCGGCGAAGGCGTCCTTTGCGGCGACAGACTCACTCCGCTTCCGGCACGCGGCTTATCGGCGTCCTGCAGAGAACGCGCGAGAGCCTCGTCGAGCGCAAGCTGCTCATCCGCAGATGGTGTTGCCAACCCTGCTCCCGTATTGTCTGCTGGGGACAGGGAGGCTGATGGCTCAATCGGGCGAAGTCCATGCTGGCGGTCGTTTTCGCGGTTCTGAGGGGCGGTTTCTCCGGTCGCTGTTCTGGGGTCACTGGGAGGCGCTGGTTGCATAAAACGTGGAGAGGTGGACTATTGGTGATACTTAGACTGAGCCAGATACACTGGGTCAGTCGAGCTGTGCGCGGAGGCTTGCGAGGTTTGTGGTGGCGTGGTTGTGCAGGAGAAGCAAGCAACGCGATTGACGTTTCGCTTTCAACCCTCACTGCCAAGACCTGCTGGTTGCGGCGTCCAAGTGATTAAGTGACAAGCCACATCGAGATCGATGAGATGCACGGTACGACGAGAGCGCAATGCTTTCCAATATTTGGTCCGACGATCTATCGCTACCTGTTATGCTATATACACTTCAAGGCACATACAGCTTGCTAAAGGCGGCTATATCGCTACGGCAGCATATGCACTTGGTATAGTTCCTTGCCGCGAGACCAACCCTGCAGTCATCGCACATGCTCAGGCAGCCGCAAGGCCAGACGAGTATAGTACGTGGCGTTGACTGACAGACCACACATTGCGGACCACCTGCACCCATGCCTTCAGCACCCGACTCCCACGTCCCTGCATTCACAGCTTTCGACTTGGCTCTGGAGCGTTGGCCCAGAATGAAGTGCTCCAGATCGCGCTCCTCGTCTTCCTCGCTAGGCGCCTTACTGGAGCCGCGAATGCCATTCAAAAGCTGCGCGCGGCTGCGGTCGACGTTGCGCCGGTACTGACTGCGCGTCATTGGCCTGCTTGACTGCAAGCTGTACGATAGCAAGCGTGCCGCTTCCCTCTCCGTCGCTGACTGCGGGTTAAGCAAGCGCGAAAGTACGGTCAGATCAAGGCCGCCTTCTGAAGCCGGCGTGTCCTCTCTTGTGCCGCGTGGATCGCGTTGGGTAGGCGTCCTGCGCCCACTGTCGTCCTCGTCCTCGTCCGCAAAGCTATCGTTCGTGGACATGGATATCATGCTCGTAAGGTCGTCATCGTGCTCCCGTACCTGATAGTCTCCGCTGCTGTCAACGTTACCGAACCAGCCGCCCCCTCGCCACCAGTCATAGAGCTCGTCACCCAAGCCGTCCTCGCCAACGTAATTACCCGCATGCTGCAATCTGCGCCGGGTTTCATTTTCGACATCCACCTCGTCGTTTTGAGGCACCATCAGAATGCCATGCGGCCCCACCATCCAAAAGTCACGTCTTTGTTCTCGCGGCGCGTTGACGACCTGTGAAGGAGCACGCTGCCCTTCCGCGATACCGGCTGCCTTGAGAAGCCACGCAGGACGCTGCTCGATGCCAAGTCGATTCAGCATGCGGATCAGGAAATGCGCCTGAATGCCAACGACAAGCCAGAAGATACCCGCCACGAAGTCGAAAGTGAGCTGCATCCGGCTCCTACGCTGTGTTATGCCAAGTCCACTGTCCAATTCGACGCCTCGCGACATCTCGTTCTCACGTGCACTGACCGGCTTCGACCTCCGTTCTCGAGCGTACGGTGATCGGCTGATGGCAGCATTCTGCGAGTCCACAAACTCGACGCCGCGAGCAATGCCTTCTCCAAGCAGTTCCGAAGGCACTGCCGGAGACTTGCGCTTCTCGATGCCGGACGCAAGCTCATCGATGCGCTTTTGCTCCAACCAAGTCATCTGCGCCACATGGATACGGCTGCCCTCGTTGAGGTAAACCGCCTCACTCGCCGCGGTGAGTACGTTGAAGCCAATCTTCAGTAGCGTCGTGTAGAAGTCTTCCGACATCTTAATGCGAATCGATGAAGCAGATGAGAACTGTACGTTAGCCTGCAGATTCTGGTAGGCCCAGGACAGCCGCTGGCCAAACGACATGCTGTTTGCGACTTCCTCAGGTACTGAAAGTGCCGTTACGACCAGAGCCAAAGCGTATATCGAGCCGCAAACCATAATGCCGACCAGGATCAACATGTGTGGGATGAAGCCAACGATGCAAACGGTCGGGAAGCGGAGCACACCAAGGTCGGAAACATTCTCCGCCTCACGTAAGAAGACCCTTGTGAAGCTCCAAAGAAAAGCGCTCATGTAACAGCATGCCCAAATCGCCGTGTTGACGAGCCTAACTTTATGCCGTATTCCGAGGACTGCCAGGGTAGCGCTGGCCACGTGGCTGAAGCACGAAATCAAACAGACCAGCAGGACCTCCGGTGGCACATTGAGGCGTTGCAGTATCTCCGATCTACTAAGCATCGTACTACTCGCTTCACCAGTGCCGTCAAGCTTCGGTAGTCCAAACAAGCCGAATCCGAGAGCGCTACTGATCATAGCTTCACACTCCGCGAACGCCAGAGAATGCTCGAAGATGGTCATGCCGGTCTCGGGGACGGGTTGCTTGCCTTGCAATGCACAGGTTAGCGTTTCGAAAAGCTGACTTGTACAAAGAGTAAGGAAGAACCAGAAGAGCAAAGACATGGAACCACGCAGTTCGCTCTTGTTGTCTTCCAGTGCTGGGAGCGACATGTTCTGCGCAGCGCAGCATAGAGCGTCATCCTGCCAGAAGAGCAGCGTAGAACTCAGCTTGTACAGAAAGCCGCCTTCTCCGGCAAAGTCTATGGCAAGCTGCTTCAAGGGATCGCCATAGCGGAGTTCTGCAAAATCTGGTGACGTCTGACAACGCAATGCCTCCAGAATGCACACTGTCTGTACCACGAACGCCGATATTGGAATGATGTAGAGGCCAAGCCGAACATGCCACCGCAAGCGTAAATGCTCTCGCGAAGATGCGTAGAACTGTGTTCGATTAAGGATAATGGCCACGGTGAAGGTAGCGAGCGCCCACTTCGAGGTTAGGTAAGAGAAGATGCCACCAAAGTTCTTGAGCTTGCCAACGGCCTGCGCCATCAGTCCGAACAATGACACTGCCTCATCTCCGTTGCCTTGCCATGACTCCCTTACCGCGGCGTCAAGCACTGCCGCCGTGCTCTGTACGAAAGCGCTCGTGTTCGTGATTGTAGAATTCGCCGTTTGTTGTGCAGTCGCATCCGCAATAATGCTTCCACCATTCCATATCTTGCCGGCTATGTTGTCCATGGCTTCGGGCATATAAATAGCGAACAGCCCCGCCTTCTGCGCCAGACGGGGGACCACAAGTAGCAAGTCGGCGGCGGAAGGAATCCATGAGATATTGGAGGTTGTTGTTGCTTCCATGTTTGGCAGAGACTGGGTGAAACACGCAAACCGAGCGGTATCAGTTCGGTCTCAGTCACCGTACCGTCATTGGAAGTGACACAAGCCGGTTAGTGCTGTAGCAAGCCATCTCATGCCTACCCCTGTTCAGCATCGCTCTCAAGGTTCAAACTGGATGCTGTTTGCCTAGGAGCGTCGGTCAAGTGTGAAGTCCACATGTACGACAGATGGACCGGCAATGGACTTGTCCCGAGCTCCGATGCACGCGCAGTCGCTGAGATATTGTGTCAAAGGTCGTGACCTGACGACTCTCCAGTCCCACAGCATCATCCCATGCGCGCATCATCCGCACAAGCAGTAGACCCACTGGAAACGATACTAGAGTGCTGAGCGAAGCGCGCCAGTACCCAAAATACCATGCGACTGGATAGTCATGGGTGCGCAGCCTGACAATGTATTGGGGTGCGCTGCCTGCAGGGGCAGTGCCGCACAGCCTGCGCTTGGTGAAGTACAGTGAATCCAAGTTACATGTGACCCTGCGCTGCCTCTCTCTCCCAGCTACTTGAGCATTTGCCCGAAGCGGCGTACTTGATAGGTGTGGCCAAGCATCGTCGTCGCAGCGCCCTTCCCTTTCGCAGAACTTGGGGACGTTATGTACAGGCTCCTGTGACGAACCACGACGCTACTAAAGGTGCTGCTACGCCCAGCATGACGGACTTCGAGAAGAGCGTCAAGACTGCGCAGGACTCACCTCCGCCATACTCTTCCACTACGTCGGAAGGCGTCTCCAACCAACACGCCGCGCCTGGGTTGACTTTCGATGCGATCCAACAGCATATCGTCGCTGAAAAGCACAGTAACTATCTTTGGTCAAACGATGATCGCTCATGGACCGTGACTCTTGACGCCGATGGCGTGGAGAAGGCGTACACGATCAGCGCAATCGAGATGGAGGCCTTCACGTCTATAACGATGTCGAACGGGACCCGCCACGACATTGCAGTGGCCGAGTTTGCCCACAAAGACACTGACTTCGCTGTCAAATTCGAGGTGGACGAGCGACTCGCTCCACAACCTGGTAGCTGGATCAGCATCTCCTGCGAGCATAGTGGCGACCTCTTCACGCCCGAGTCATTTCATTGGCAACACAAAAACCGCCGCTTAGCCTGGAAGCGAACACGCGACCCCTCGCTGGGCGCCTCCTGGTTTGGTGGCGAAGACTACAAGCTCGAAGACGAGTCACGCATCGGGCAACCTGCTCCATCACGTTCACGATCTCACAGGATTGCTCGACGAAACATGGGTGAGCGTTACGTTATCGCAAGTGGCGATGCCTTGGCCGTCTGTTTGCACTATAAACACATAAAGACGTTCTCCGATCAGGCTGGCACGAGTCATCGCCTGCGATTTCACATCGACTGGCCTGAAGAATTTGGCGTGGATGTCGAAGCTGGTGCCATTCTCGTGCTGATTGCAAGCTTTTTCAGGTCGCAGCGAAAGCGCTATGAGAAGTCCCGACCGCGCGTGAAAGAGGGTTTAGAGGAGTCTGATTTACGATAAGCTCTACCAATCAAGCTGTACGTATAAATACGACTACGTAGAGATTGCTTATGACGTTCCTCAATTCGGACTTCCTAAGTTAAGCACTGTTCGTGTACGCAACGGTGTTAACTTGCTTGCCATGATCGTTGCATCCAACCAATACCGTAGAGACTAGATCCGATCAGGATCGCACAACACGCGACTTCCGTCGGTAGGCCTAGCAATCCCGGACTTTGGGCCAAGAAAGCAAGGCACGAGTCAGTATTCGAGGCACGGGTGATGTCTTGATCAATACGAGAAATGGCAGCAGTCGACTAACCTCTGCATCAACGTTTCAGGCCGCAGCGCGCCCTTCTGAACGCTTGTCGCTTGTATTACTCGTGTCTGCTGGGCAGTATTACGAAAGTACGGCCATCTCCGGCGCAGTGGTCACCAGCAAGCTCTGCACGACCTCGAGCGCCGCCAGAGTCTGTCCGAAGCCTGCATTTCCGTCAAACCCGCCTTCGTACCACCTGAGCCCACATGTATCGCTGTCCAGCCCACTACAAGCGCCCGCTGCAGCCACCGCGCTGCTGTCGAGCAACGCCTTCACAGTCAGCCTCGTGCTTGGGACCAGCGCTGACGCCTTCGCCATCCATGTCGCCAGGCTACCCTTGAAGCTCGCTTGATCCGTATTGCACGAACCCGAGGGCTCGCACTTTGGTTCGAACATGACATCCGTAGCATTGCTAGAAGGTCCTCCGAAGAAGGTGCTGTTGGCCGATGCAAGCAGGCCGTGCGTAATGGTCTCCCAAGTTGGGTCGGCAGTAGCCGCGTACATGTAGGCGGCGCCGGACAAGTAAGCAGCGACATTGTAACTCCACTGGTCGTGGTTAATGGAGGAGCAATTGGCGCCCTCGGCATCGCTCATGCCGTCGAAGACTTGATAGCCGTCGCCCACCAAGCCTGTCCTGACAGACCAATTCCAGATGTTGGTGGCCCAAAGGGTGTAAGTTTGGTTGCCTGAATAGCGTGCCAGTCTTGCCGCAGTTTGAAAGAAGCCGCCATTGCTGACGGCATTCTTGTAGTACCAGCCTGAAGCCGATGGGTTGTATTGCCACTTCAACCCACCGCCACACGTCTCGCTGTCGATCGACCAGCGTGTGACGAAGTCTTCGAAGGCATGGACAGCCACCGCGTACCACGAGTTGGTGCAATTGCCAATCGTATTATTGGCGGCAGTGACGCAGGGCAAAGCTGGGAAGTCGTACTCCATCGCCGTGAGAGCGGCATATACCCAGTACACTTGATCATCGTTTGCCTCCCAGCCAGCTTGCTGCGGTGGGACAAAGTCAAAACTGGGACCGAGGCTCTGCGCCAGAGCGGCCTGGATGTCGGAGACGTACGTCGTATCGTTCGTGTAGACGGTGTAGTCGATTAATGCGGTCCAGCCGGCGCCGGACAGCCACCAGAACCAGGGCTGCGGCTGATCGAACTGGCCGGCTGTGGAGTTGACATTGTGGTAGCCGTAGAGGCCTTTGGTTAGAGTGGTCGCAGCTTGCGAGATGGATTCTGCAGAACTTTAGCTTGTTGGCACTTGGTCGCCTTCGGGTGGCCACATACCTTGATCCGAGACGTTGAGATGCAGAGCGCCAGCGCCGCAGACGGTGAAGAGCAACCCAAAAAGCAGCACGAGGCCGGTCATGGTACGATGCAGTTCGAAGCGATTCTTTCTCAAGTCGTTGCCCCGCTCAAGGTTCTCAGCCAAACTGCAGGACTACCGCTTTGATGCTGCTATTAAGGTTGTCGATGAGGCGACCGGATTGTGCAAAGTTAGCACCCTGGTATGTGTCAACGTCAACGTGCCAGCACGGAGGGTAGTGGAAGCGAATGTACAAAGTGAAGAAGGTAAGGAATGTCTGTGCTAGTGCGAGCGATAGTCCTGGAAGCATTCACCGCAACACTTATTGTACTTCATTGTCGCCTTTTACCAGGGCGAAGCGCGCTTCTAGGCGGAGATGATACCAAACGTCGGCGAAAGCCAACGTGACATTTCAGTCACTTCATGACAGCTGTGAGGTCAGGTGGGTGCAATTGGTGTTGCAGATGTTTCGAATGGAAGTGTACGCGTCTCGGCGTCAGCCAATCACAGCACGCCATTCTCCACCTGCTAGTTCTACACCTCGCGCAGTGACACTTCCTGTAACGCAGCGCAATCTGGCGGATAGCACGATTGTACGTGGCATCGCCAGCATCACCTTGGCAATCTACATGCGCTGGACCGCAGCCGCCGTATAGTATTCGCCCAGAGAACGGGCGACAAGTATCGATGCATCTGTTACTCTAGCCTTACGGTGGTGCACCTGCAGCCTTGCGGCTCAGCCTTGCTCACGCCGCTCATATCACTGTTATTCGTATGGGCCAACATCAGCCCTGTATCACGTACGCATCTTCTATTCGCTTTGGCTGACCTCTATCAGCCGCTAGACAGTGTTCGGCGTGATATACGTCTACTCCGCGTTGACCGACTAAATAGGGGCAGAGACGGACAGCCTCTCCTACCGCCAGTACAGACTCTTCCGAACGACCTTGGACGTCTTCGGCTTCAGGAGACTGTCGCAGATGAGACCACTGGAGGTGATATCATTGAAGGTAGAACCTCAGCAGTGGAAGCCGATAAAGCAGAAGCCATGGAAGACGAGACAGGACCCATCGTTCGCTCACTTATAACACATCCACTTGATGACGACCTCGACTTCAAAGCTCTGTCTTACGTTTGGGGCGATCGTAAAGACTGAAAGGAAATCATCATTAGTGGTCAGCGGATGCTGATCCCTCGTAACCTCCATGAAGCACTCCATCCCTTTTGTCAGGACTCTCCAGCCCTCGATCGCTACACACTTACTTTACATCTGAATCGACGCTGTTTGCGTCAACCAAACTGACTTACCGGAGCGCTCACAGCAGGTACAGCTTATGACTGACGTTTACAGCCGCGCGAAAGAGGTCGTCGTCTGGCTCGGCCAAGCAGATCACAACAGTGCAGAGTTTGTGAAGATCGTGGAGACATTACCGAAGGCGCCCCCTCTTTCTGTCGGTCTTGATAACTTCATGCGGGACATACCGTGGCTTAGTCTCTGCGAGTCAATCTTGAACGCCCATACTGGCGACGTGTATGGGTGCTACAGGAAGTTGCGTTTGCCCAACGTGCTGTCGCTTACATTGGCTCCCACTCCGTACTTTTCTGGGCCATTTGTCGTGCAATGACGCTTACGTTCCGGCTCCTTGCAGATAAGTGGCTTCGCCCCGAATCGAAACGTCTGTTGGGACTGTCAGGTCAGGCAGCGTCGTTTCTAGGGGCGTTACTTTGTGCAAGCAAGCCCTCGACCGACTTCGTGCGCTTCAGCAACACCGCAGCGGCAACCGATCCGCGAGACATGGTCTTTGGTCTCCTAGTCTCTGTTACCTTCGTCACTAGGTATAAAGCCAGACTATTCGACAGATGTTGTGCAGGTATATCAAGACGCTAGGTTCGCAATCCTGGAATACGAGCGGAGCCTCCAGCTTCTCTTGCTTACTGGTGTCTTTGACAAGAAGCGTGCCGCTCTGCCATCCTGGTCAATAGACTTCGCAAAGTTCAGTCGCTGCGCCCTGGATGGACATTATGACGCTTGCGGCTCGCTCACCACGGAGTCGTTTAGCATTGAGCGAGGGAGACAAGGCGCACTAATAGTGCAGGCGTAATTATTCGACGTGGTGACTGGTTGCCGCGGCCTCTTCGACGCAAGCGTCTCCACTGTAAGGTTGCAGAGAGCATTCGCGCAATGGAGAGCTTCCGGCGGCGTTTCCGAGAGTGCAAGCACGATCCCAGTCTGGCGCACCGTCACAATGAATAGCAAAGACCCCTTTGCCGCCAAAGGAGCATCTCGAACGGGAGGCGTCACGCGATGGCGGTCCGACGACGAGGACGATGCGCGACAAAATGATGAGTGGCTTGCTGCCGAAGGCAACAGGGGAGAAGTGGACGACAGTGCCATGCCTTCCATAGAATACATCATGATAGGCCTTGCCGGAAGCAGCTTCTCCCAAACAAAAGCTGGCCGTATCGGAGCCGCGGAGTCTAGAGAAGTACGCGCCGGTGATGTACTTGCCCTCGCCGTAGGAGCTGGATGGCCGCTATTGTCACGTCCTGTGCGCGAAGGTGGACCGGACAGCTATCAGTTCGTTGAATTTGCCTATAGCGATGGTACGCATGTGCGCGACAGCGGTATTGAGAGTGTAAGCTTACAATGCATACAGGCGTTATGGACGGCGGCATGGTTGAGAGCTTGGCTTCGTCCACCGATGGCAGGCTAGATGCATTACTCGCCCATTTCCGTGCATTTCGCTTAGTATGAGTGTTACGGGTACCGAGATGTGATCGTCAGCCTACGTCTATGCCATGAAAAAAGCACACCAGAAGTCATGCCTTCGGCGGAGTTTGCGCGGTAAGATGCTTGGTATGCTCCGAATGCGTCCTTGATTTTGTGAGGTCACTTCACACTGGACGCCCGTGCGCGCGAAGAGGAGAGTTGTATTTACACAGTGGTATAGCTACACTTCAAATGCCAGTTGCGAACGCTCACATTGTTCCGAGCGCCAGCTATATTCCAAGACCCGCTGGGTTGCGCCGGCTATGCTGTTGACAAAGTCTGCTTTCTGGGTTTACTCGTTGATCTTGGCGAGGATGCTACGCCATGTCAGTAAGCCATAAGTCTCAAGTAAGGCAAATGCGTGCTTTCGACATACTCGTGATCCCGGAAAAGGGAGTACTCCTCCTCACCAACCTTGATCGGGCTGCCGCCGAACTATGTATTCACGTCAGCGCAACCTCTTCAGCAACGTCTTTCCTCTGCCGCGTCTTCACATACTTGCGGAATCAACACCTTGTCACCCGCCGTCACGCTCATGGGTATCCGCTTGCCATCCTTGTCCATTGCGCCAGGTCCGACTGCGAGCACTTGGGCCTGGTTGAGTTCTTTCTGCGCGCTCTCAGGAAGGAAGATACCGCCGGCCGTTTTCGCCTCGGCTTTTACTCGCTGTACGAGTACGCGGTCGAGGAGCGGTGCGAGGGACTTGATGGATCTGAGTGCGGTCGTCTGAAGGGGGTGTTAGCGAGGCTCCTCATTTTGGCAAATCCGAAGATTTTTACATACCATCTTGGCTGCAGGGTGAATATAGTTGGGAAAGCGAAAGGAATGAGCTGTCTAGTCGTCTAGATGGAAGGATGTATTGATCGCGTGAGAGGAGCGCAACATTCGCGGAACTTTTTCTGGAAGCCATCCGAAGCTCGAAACGCTTGGGCCTCCTGAAGCCGAGGCGAGCGATACAAGCGGCTTGCACTGTATAGCATACCGTAGTGTCACCAACTTCAGCATGATATGCCTTCTATACCAACCATCGCCGGCGCCACCTTGGTAGGAGACACTGGCGGCGACTTTAACCAAGCACGCACATTGACCGAGGATGGTGGCGCATACGCACTTCGACGCGCTCATGGCTCCCAGGTTGACACTAATTACTTCCGCGAGGCACAATTCAGCCCTGATGGCACGACAATCATCACGCATAACGGAGACCAACAGCTGAGGACGTTCATATTGCCGCCCGATCTCCTTGAGCCCAGTGAGAACGCTGCGCACCTGCAGCAATATGCCAGCTTTACGCCACCAACACCGATCTCAAGCTACGCAGTCTACCCTGGCTTCTCCCTCCATGACCCTTCGACAACCATTGTACTCACCGGCTCAGCCGATCAACCAATAGCCCTGCGGAACGCGTTGGACTACCGTACTGTGCACGCCAAGTACTTCCTAGTAAGCCCGACCACCGAGGAGTACCACAAGCCGCACAGTCTGCTGTTCACGCCAGATGGCTCGCAGTTCGTCGCTGGGAGCATGAGTCAAATCGCTGTCTTTGACTGCACCCGTGATTGCGAAGGTCCCATCTTCCAGCATCGAACCGCGGGCAAGGGAAGGAGACTCCATGGCAGGCCGAGCATGAGTTGCAACTGCTTCATCAGTGCTCTTGCTATAAATGCCGATGGCGTGTTAGCTGCAGGTAGTACCGAGCGTGAGTTTGGGCTTTATGATCAACAAGGTCAAGGGCAATCCGTGACTGCGTTCTCTCTCGGCTTTCAGGCAGGTAGGCGAGGCACAGGCATCACTTCGGTGAAGTGGAGTCCTGATGGTACCTATCTACTCGTCGCAGAACGTCAGAGCGACGGGATCCATGTGTTTGACGTGCGGAACCTGCGGCAGAAAGTGGCTTGGCTCAGCGGACGCAAAGCCCGCACAAACCAGAAACTCGGCATCGATGTAGTACCGACTGCGGAGGGCTACGAGGTTTGGGCTGGTGGAACGGACGGGTTCGTACGGAAGTGGCAGGATCCAGGTCGCGTTGAGGACGAGCATCCTCCAGATGGCGAGGTGAAGCTACATAGCGGTGCGTCGTCAAGCATGATGAGTGTAACGGTTCACTGACCCGGTATAGATGCGATAGCGACTGCCGCTTGGCATTACACCGGTGCTGTTCTGGCTACTTGCTCAGGATCGCGGAGTGATTCGCCGCTTCCGCATGGGGATGACGGAGAGACGATGGATCTTGAGGAGCCTATTGCAGCAAGCGAAGTCGATAGCAGGCTCGCAATCTGGACGGTAGGGCAACGGAATCGAACAGGCGAGACTTGATTGTGGCCTTGCACCGAAGAGATACCCGTTTTTGCAATTCAGCTGGCTTCTGTCCGCAAATGTGGGCGACACTCTTCGGCATGTCAAAGGGATCGATTGAAGCGTGTGCTGAGCTCATTGTTTTCTGGCTCGCCACAATCGGGACGCCTTCTGAGGCATGTTCCGAACGCCTCGCAAGCTTCCAGTGCCACAAGAACACTGAAGCATGTTTCGAAGCCTTCTTTAGTGTCACTAGTGGACCCGAACTTATTAGCATCGCGCCGGCGGCATAGCAGGACCATGGTTCTCTTGTTCAATTTGCTCGCTTCAGTCACGGCAGCCCGGAGGCTACAGTTGATCGCAGCGGACAATGGAGACACCTGGTTCTTCGCGACATCGCATGTATGGGGTGAGATCGGATGGTGTCGCACGTGCCGTCAAAACCTGGCTTCCGAGCGGAAGGTTACCTTCATCGAAAATCAACTACAAAACATTGTGGAGGAGACTGCCTTGTGGTCAGACACTGTCGTGGTCGACCAAAGACAGCCAGCTTGGGCCATTGCTGCACTGCAAGATATTCCAACATTTTCCGCAACGCCGACAAGACCGTCGCTGCCAAAGAGGGCAATGGGTACTTGGCTGAACACTGCGTCACGCATGCCCGAGTAGGCTGGGTCATGTCTGATGCATTCCGCGCAACAATCATGTCAGTTACAAGCACTCGTTGTGCACTTCGCAAAATAAGAGCTACGTGGGAAGGCTGTGAACTTTGCAGGAAACAAGACTGTCTCAATACGTCTACTTCGTCACGTGTGGAGGTTGCAGGTACCAAGCTGGTAGACCTTGGTAGGTTGACGTTGTTGCCCGACTCCATGGGTCAACCTCGTTGTTCGAAGGATCGGAGGCAAGACCAATTCAACCTCTTCGACCCTTACGGATCATCAGTGCGGAGAACGAGCGCCTCGTTGTTGCTACTTGCCGGAACATTCACAGAATTTGACAGTCGATATGCTGGCGGAGGGTAAGACCTAATTCGCGTATGCTGAATGCAGGGGAGGCTTCGATTTCCGCTGAGCTAGCCATGGCCATCTGGGACATGGTCGAACGTTCCGCCCGCGGTTGACAGTGTGCAAAGGCTTCTGGAGTGGGCAATGAGAGTGCTGTAAAAGGAGCGGAATAGTAAATGAACGAATCCACGTATAGAAGAAACGGTGGCATTGTGCCCGTTCAGACCGCATACGTGAGTGTTCCGCACTGTGAAGGCCAAGGAAGCCTTGGGCGATCATCGTGCTATTCAGAGTCACTGCTTGGTCGTTGCATGTGTTAGCGATGCATAACTTCACGGGAGTTATAGATATCTAGCGCTCGTCCGGAGTGGCCTTCATTCGCACACCTCTATCGCATCCTAAGCGACCGAATACTACTGACATTCGCTCTGGTAATACAGCAATCTTGGCTCACTCGGCTCTCACATGGCACCGCGCAGACGTCAAAGGCAACAGCGGGTTGACGAAGATGCCAGACTTGCCGCCGCCATGGCTACCTTTTCTCTAGAGTACGGACGCGATGAAACCAACTTAGGCGGATGGCAACGGCTATGCGACGACTGTGGTGTCCAGCGGAGGGCGTCGATTAAGCAATGCAAAGCGGTAAGCCAGATCAAATCTTCCCAACTCAACTCCCAATACTAATGTCTAATAGGCGCTGCGTGCCGTGGCTGTGAACATATGGGACCTGATCCAAGCACGGAGGACCGGTGACCTGCCAGCACCGCGCTACACAAGCAAAGCCGAACTGCGTCGAGATCTGGCAGACCCTAGCAGACGCTTCCCGCTGGCAAGACTGAAGACTATGCAAGAGAACAAGCTGTTGAGAGCGCTGTTGGTCACCTTGGCTTAGAGATGGGTAATCTCTGGAGCAGTGAGTGACTCATGTCAAACAAGACCGGGAGCTGTCTGGAAGCACGCTGCAAATCAGTCGTCGTTGTTCTCAGTTCATGTGTTCCAAGGAAGTTGTCACGTCGTAGCCGTTAAGATTACCGAACAGTTTTCTCATGATGGAGCGTGACTGCGCACGTCTTGCGACCATGGAGGCCGCGGGGATGTTCCGTGCCGAAGTTCTCTCGTGCTTTGACACAGCTAATTTTTTCACGTGACTTGGTACTACTCTAGTATATTTCATGCTTAGTCGTCTTCTGTTACGGCTTTGGATGGAAACTTTCACTACAATCTTGGGAGCTTTGTGTGCCTCGTCGGTCCGGATGTTGATACTACGCTTATCCACGGATTGTGACTTGCCGACAGATATAAAGACGAACAACGGACCTTTTGTTGCCAGGATTACGCTGTCGACCAAGCGTTTTTACATGCCTAGAGTCCAAAGCAAGTGTTCTGTGCTGCGGTCCTCATCCAACAGAAAGCACTTTGTCTCTCCTATGCGCCGATTGCTGTACACTAGCAGTCCAATCAGAACGACATCCTGCAACCTTTATATCGAGATGATGAGTGATGATGCCACCGCATCCGTTGAACGTTTGAGCTCACGCCTCAATGGAGCCCGCATGTAAGACATGCAGCTGAGCGGCAGGTGCTGGGGTGCGCCATTTTCCTGATAGGCGTACAATAGCTCAACGACATATGCACGGTGTTGTGAGCTGATGGCACAGCCAAGCAGCGCGCTAAATTCGAACACTGCTGATTTAGTGTCCTCTCTCTTCACTACGTCTCCTTAGGCACAAACTTCCAGCCTCGCATGGTTACCGACGGCCTCGAAACATGGCACGATATACCCTACTGTCCCAGCTAATCACTGGGAACGATGAGACTGTAAGGAGTGTTCTAGACTTCTTCCACTCAGCAGCTGACGATTTTAAGGACCAAGCAATGATGAAACAACTCCTACAGGAGTTGTTCCAGTTTCAACGTCAAAATAGTCGACTGTTCAAGGCGAGCAATCACGCCGTGAAGCCTAAGAATGTGGGTAACACAGCAGGATTTCGAAAGCTGCTGAGCTTTGAAATCGAACGAGATACTCTGAACTTGATGCAGTCTCAGTCTGCCATCTGGATTTCACGACCATCTGAATTCTGGAACCCTCATCTGAGCTCCAGTGTGGCCACCAGTTCTTACAGTCTCGAGAGCTCACTTGTTCACCTATATCGCCAGACTTTGCGTCTTGATTCTTAGTCGCGCATCGTCAAACGGATGGCATGTATAGCCCTGGTCGAGTTGAGGCAGAGACGTAATGCTCGGTCATTGCAAGCGACTGCGGAGCTGGTATATACGGAGTTGATGATTTTCGACAATGAAACAACCGCTATCGGCGCACTCAAGGTGATGATCGATGCCGGACATCGCTACCACAATCTTGAGAGGCGTCTTGGTTATGGCATCGCGTTCTTATTAGGCACAAGCATACCGGAGACATCGTAAGTGGTCCGCCGCGTTCAAATTAGCGCACTGACCGGAACAGGTGGATACGACTCCCCAAGGATGGCAAGCACTTTCTGACAGTCATAGAGCGTCTGCGCTCGGCACAAGTCCTGGAGCTCTCCGCGAAATATGCAGGTCTCAGAAAGCGCGTTGTGGATTGGTTTCTCGATCATGCACGTCGTGAATCGGAACGAGAACCCGCGGGAGCAGGGAGCTCGGTAGCTAGCATCGAACCTAACCAGACCCAGACAGCAGATGCAGTGAATGATGCAGAGCAGTCACTGTCTGATAATGGATGGTGGGAGGACTTCGTCACATCACCTTCGGATTTGGATGGTCTATCTGCAGATTGATGCTGCACGACACCACATTGCGTCTTTGCATGTATCTATGGACCTCTAGCAAGACACTCGTATGCGTCGGACCCCCATGCATATATTGGCAGCTGCACGAAGACGTAAACTTGAAAAAGCTGAACGGGTGAGACATGGCGTTCCGGCATACATAAGTGCATTACAACCAAGCTCTCCAGAATATTCCTACAGTCTTCACTTTACGCATTTAGTCACGATGTCGACAGCCGACCTCCATGATCTCTCGTTTGGAGGATTGTCTGACTCGAATTCGTCCTTTGCAGCTGCATTCGAGGATTCTCGGCTGGAAAGTTGTCACTGGTACGGACAGAAGTACTTTGATTGCATTATCGCGCAATCCATATCGAGTGCATCACACAGACACGACTCGGTGTCTGACCTTGAGGTGAGTTCTGCTCGTGTATGTTACGAGCCAAAAAGGAGAACTAATTCTCCCATTCCAGGCCAGACTGCATGACATATTGACCGATTTTCCGTACAAAGAGCAGCTCGAGCTGCTCGCACAAAGTCTCAGCTTCGATGTCAGGTCTACTATTGGCATCCGATGTGTCAGTAAGCGCCAGGCCTACCTGACTGCCGTTGGTATGATTCGTCAGCGAGGTAGCGACAATGACAAAGCTTTGTTCAACGATGAGCTGAAGAAGCAGATGAACGAGGCAAATCTCGGCGAATCTCCACCGGTAGCTCTGGAGAATGAGCCTCATACGCGCACAACAGCAAGTAGCAGGGCGAGCTCACGGGATCGAAGCACCAGCCAAGCCTTGAGACTATGCAACAGTCTGAAAGCTCTTAATGAGAGTGGTGATTGGGACGGCATTTATCCAGCATTTGAAGAAGAGACCAAGTTGAGTGATCGGCCACCCTCTTTCATGGCCCGGATGACCTTTAAAGGGAGGACTTTTGAAGCCGAGTCAAGGACTAAGAAGGAAGCCAGGCGGATGGTAGCTTTGAGAGCGTGTGATGCCATGGGCATAGCAGTCATGTAGTCAATGAATGTCTCTTCCAACAACTTATTCATGTAACTACTTACCCTTCCAGTGCGAAGGCGTGAGTGGGGAAGTAAAACATGTCCCTATCTCCTAATCGGAAGAAAGGGCTCATATATAAGCCTATGCGTCTCGCACTCAACCTGGCCACCTTCACTCGAGACCTGGGTTATGATGTCGGACGTCTGTTCCACGACAGAGTTGTCAGAGCTCATGATCCTCGTCAAAATGTTGGCTCGTGCTCGTCTTCCGTATCGGCCTCAACCGACGCCCTGGCACATGGTCTTGGACTCTCTCTCGTGGCTCTGCGATGACAAACGTGCCGGCAAGTCCGTCACTTCAATCGGTGTCCAGCAGACTGGTGAGCGAAAGGTATTCTTGCTTGCCATCAACGAGGCTGAGCTGGAACGAGCGGGTGCGCATCTCCAAATGATACTGCAATTGCTTGCGAAAGACGCCGATAGTAGTTGGGAAGGGGTCGAAGATGACATTAACGACCGATGCGTTGCACGGAGCTTCGGCAAAATTACGTTCTATGCTCGTGTATTGCACAAGTCGTTTGCTGCCGCACGGGATATTGTACGACACAGTCCAAATCAGTATCTGTCAGTGATTCCGGCACACCCGTCTGTAATCGCTAAGGTTGACACTCTTGTAGCCAGTCCATTCTTGACGCAATCGAACGAACATTTGACGACAATGATCTTGCAATACCTGCTCTTTGCGACAGAGCTTATGCATTCCGTCGAAGTCAGACTTGCTTTGCGCTGCGAGCGACTGCGAAGGACAGGCATCAAGACAGGATTTGGTCGCTGATCTGCCACTACATCGGTCGCTTGGGCGCTTGGAGACGAGCAGCAAAGATATTGGTAGCTTACGCCCATGCGCAACCAGCATTCTTCGAACTGTGCAGTGTCAAAGTCGTCGATCGACGGCACGTCACTGCTCGGGTTGATCCAGGCAGCTTCTCTTCGTTTAAAGATGTTCTTCAAAGGCTTCTACCGACCTATCCTTACGAAGGACTCAAACGCGGATTTTCGAAAGCTTCTGGTTTCACTGAAGATGAGCTTGAGGACATATTCGCTTCAAACGCCCGGCATTTCGGGAGCCGAGACCATGTTCACTCCGAAGTGGCGTTGCTTGAACATATCCACCAGCACAAAATCGACTTCGCAATGAATGATAGATACATCGGATGCAGCAAGCCGTCTTGCTATTGTTGCGCTTTGTACATGGACTGGCACGAAGTTGAGCTTGTATCGAGACCTTGCCACTTCAAGCTGTGGTTGGGTTGGTGTTTGCCCAACAGCACAGCAGGAGACATCTCAGCTTCACTCCGACGCTTCCTCAACAGGTTCACCGATCATATTGCAGCTGACATCAGATATTCGATTCTCCACGGGTCAGCCGTGCGCTCACATATGCTCGACTCGACTGCTGGGTTATCTGATAGCGAAAGGCAACTTCAGAAGTAAGGTTGGACACATGTGTCACGTGATACATGCCATATCATATCAAGTTAAATCCAGAAGTGCTGAGGACAAGCAAAAGATTGTGGTTTCACGAGTTGTCCGTCTCTTCGCTCGCGTATGTTTGCAGCAGAGGTATCGGCTTCGACTTAGTGCGATGCGGCCACGAACTCAAGCTGGCAAGAGACCTCATTTTGGTGGTCTCGAACAATCAGAGCGTTAAGTCTGCTGTAAATACGAGTTGTCGAAGATATTCAGAGCTTTGTGAGTCGAGGCGAGGAGCTTGTCTTGTACCCGTCTTCTGCATTCTGTTCCGGGCGGTCAACGTGCAGTACAGGTTGAGGTACCCCAAAGACACGCTCAGCAATCCTAGCTTGTTCCACAGCTCGAGAAAAGCCATCTGTGACAATGTTCGTAGCACCAATTGCAATGCAGAGCCTCCCTTGCCTCTTCCAGTATGCTGGGGAGGTCCTCAGTCTGCACAAGCTCGCGTTTCGATGTGTCGCTCAACGGTACGTTTGTGAAGGTTGCCATCTCTTGCGATATCCCTGGGTGTTCGCCATGGGATAAATGCTTGGCGTCAGAGTCGCTGGACCATCTCCGAGAAAGTGCCTTTCCAGACCCTTGAGCGCCTTCAGATGGTCGGCACTCGTACTCAAACCACCATCTCTCACCACGAATTCGCCATGATATAGCAGTTTCCGTGGTACAAACAGCCATAGGTTCGGAGAAGATGATATTCAGTAAGGTGTTTCTAGACTTCGAGTATCGATCGAAAAACGCACAGCATCCGTTTACTAGCCGTCTGCTTTAATCAATGGTGGAAAACGTCCGCGAGGCTTAGACACAGAAGGTTGGGGGTTGGCTGCAATACTACGGCAATCTGCTTCCCTTGGCACTTTCCTGAGTGTTCCGAGCCATCTAATTATAGGGAAAGCCACTAGCGGTAGTAATGTGGCCCATCTCGTGATCGGGGCGAGTGTTCTCGATTTGGAACCGTGCGTTGAGAAGTCGTCCTCGCACCAGAACGTCCCGGACTTGATCCGAGAAGCGATTGAATTCCGACCTCACCTTTGGAGCACCAGTAATGCTGGTGGAGAACTCTCCAAACACGGCAGTGATCCAGATAGTCTGCACAGAGCATCGGGAGAGCCACTCAGAGTTGCGCCCACCCCGAAGTTCTCAGGCCTCTTCCGGCATGTACAGGACCACGCCTCTCCCTAGCACCGAAACATCATACAGATATCCATAACAAGAGGATCTTAAAGGTGAGACTGAACTCTTGTGCCCGGGCCATCCACCAGAGCACGACGATATTGCATCTGTGGTTTAATGGCACACGACAGGACGGTCAGGAGTGCTCGTGCACGAGATGACTGCAAAGTGTTCAGATTGCAGATGAACGACGATTGGCCACTGGAGACTCAGCGCCTGATGCTTCTACAAGCTGCCATGATCATGTGTCAGGTGCCACTCTCAGCAGTTGAGTGGAGAAAAGCGCGCTTCACACCCTGCTTGCCGAAGCTTGCCAATGCCGACCGGAGCATGCATCTCGGACTGCTGTCGAGGGCGCACCACGACGCAGAGTCCATGACAGTTCTCATCGCAGGCCGCCACAACCACAGCATGAATCGTGGGAAAGACCTTGTCGTGGTTGATCCAGTCTCCAAAGTTCCCATCGGACTTGTCCCCGACTTTACGCATACTTTGATGGAGATCGAGCAGTTCATCTCTCGCTTAAGTCGGATATATGGACCCTTGGTGCGGCATTTCCCCGGATGAGCGTGGAGTCAAGAGCCGGTCGGGTGCCGCTTGTATACTCCTGGATGCTGTTGCTGTCCGTCGGTGATGATGTGACAAGTCCGTGAGGTGCAGTAGCGGTTCGCTTGCGGAACCCCTAGTAGTGCCCGCGTACACTGCAAATATCTGTATCGTCAGGCTTGTCACGGCTGGCCGGGTGTGTGTCTCTCACAAGCTTCAAGCGAGTGGTGTGCGATCTGGGCGCAGAGGCTTGGTCCAGGGAGAGCTGCGTTGCGGAGGCAACAGGACGTTCCTCGCCACCGTCTATCCTCTTCAGCCAGCCATGACAACGTCTTTCGCCTTCCCTTTACTCTGCTCGATCGAGCCATTGCCGTCATTACTTCCTTCCGCAGAGTTAAGCTTGGCTTCCACAGCCTCCTTGACTGCCTCTACAAGTACAGTCCTGGCTAGACTCGCCGCCTTGACCGCCTCATCTATCAGCCTCTCGCTCTCCGCGCCCGCATCGCCTCTCATCCATAACTCCGTGATCTCGTCCCGCGAGTGCAAGTATGCTACCACACACGCCGCCCTCATCTCCGCATGTTCAGCGGGACTTGGATCAAGCACAAGAGCTCCTTCGCCACCTTTCGGCTTCCCACCACTGCCTCCACCGTCTCCTACAACAACAGCCACGCCACCAGAAACAAGGTCGACGCAGTCAATCCCTGCGTCCACTAGCGCCGCGCTCGCAACAGTGATACAACCAGCCAACACACCCATCAGGCCCCATCCACCACCTCCTCCCCCGCCTCCAGCATCACCCCACCACCCATCCTCCTCCCCCTCCAAAACCGTAATGACAACCTCTACGCCGCTTTTCGGCCATCTCTCGCCGATAATGACACCCCGTAGCGCAGTCTCCAGATGCACGGCTAGGTCACGTTCACTCGCATCCCGTACGTAACCCCGCCGGTGTCGGGTGGCGAAAGGCGCGAACTTCACGTGTGTAGTCAACAGTAAGTTGGGCGAGAAGGCTGCGTTCCTTGGCAACGGTCTAGGCCCGTGGACTGTACATGTGATTTTCAAACTGCTGGTTTGCGGTAGTGACAGTCCGGACTGTTTTTGGTCCGATTGAGGCGGGATCTCGTAGTAAGCGCTACCGGAGGCTGAGGGAACGATACCAGTGCGGAGATATATCTTGCGGTGCTCGTCTGGTTTTCTTGTTCGCTTGGGGCGCTCTAGCTTGACAGTCTTTGGAGTGGCAAAGGCGGGTGGTGCGGTCCCGCCAGGGGGTGCGTTGAGGCGGCGGCGGTCTGCTTGCATCGTGACTACAGGTATAGTGTGTCGCGCTGCATATTGAATTCGTGCCTGCCGTTTTGGGAAGGATTCGCTGTTTTGAAGGTCTGATGTTGGAACATTGAGTGCGTTATCGATACGGTAGAACTACGGTTGGCTAAGTGAGGTATGAGACGCTTCTGCGAGCTCTTCCACTTCACGTCTTCCGATCTCCACTCTGACATATAATCGCTACCACGATCCCTCACACGCTCTTCTGGTCGACATACACACGCGCAGGACGTGTCATACACCTTGTACTCCTCTTCCAGCGTGCCGTAGAGCCTCCATTCGCCATCCAACACGAGGAGATCCGAAATTACCAGCGATGCCGTACAACAACACCCCCATAACTCCCTCGAAGGAGATCACTGGCACGACCGCCCTACCACGTACACAGCCCATATATCATCCGTTACTCAGACATACAGCTAACCATAGGTATACAAGTTGCCCGCGTAAAAAAGATCATCGCCGTCGACGACGACATTGGTCAAGTCTCCAACAATGCCGCCTTTGTCATCACCGTCGCCACGGAGATGTTCCTGCAACATCTCGTCGAGCAGGCCTACAATATCGTCAAGTCCGAACGCAAACCGCGGCGCAACCTCCAGTATCGGGATGTAGGTGTGTTCTCCCGGCCCTGCCCGCTTCCTCTCGAGTACGTAGGCTAAAGGTGGGGCGCCGGTATAGCCAACGCAGTAGCCCGTGTAGAGAACCTCGAGTTCTTGACAGACGTAGTACCGAAAAGTATGACCTACAAACAAGCCCAGCAGCGGCAACAGCGTCAGCAGCTGGAGCCCGGTCAAGCGCAATTGGACGTGACCACGGACGAAACGTACAAGCCGATACTGGAGAAGTATGCACAGGTGGAGCGGGAGCAGGAGGAGAAGGTGAATCAGATCATGGAAGAGCAGTTTGGGCCGCGGAGGAAGGAGCCAGAGCCGGAACCGCAGGCGACGAATGGAGCGAATGCTGATGCTGGTGCCGGTGCGAGTAATGGGCATGAGGATATGGATCTGGATGAGGAGTATAGTGACGACCTGGGAGATGTGTCAGGGGAAGGCGATGGAGAGGAGGTACCCGAGGAAATTCGGTGGAAACGTGGGGACGATGATGAGGATGAGGATGATGATGACGAAGATGAAGACGAAGACGAGAAGATGGAATGAGCGGGCTTTCTTCGTGGTACACTGCAAGGCGCAATGCGGGTTGTACATACGGTGTGTTTTCGAGTGCGGAATTGCTCGCAGCGACACAAAGGTACAGCAAACTCGAAGCTGTGTTGGCGGCTCATGCGGATTTGCCGAACAAGTTCATTTCTGGCTCACCATCGACCGCTGACGACGACGACGATGCCGAAAGTTGCAGCCCACCTGGCGTTAATAGCGGAATCAAGCAGTTTCTGTTCGGTACGCTACGATCCACCTTCCCGGGTGCGCTCGAGCGGACTCAAGCCATGGAAACGATCATGGCGAATCACGAGGAGAAACAGAGGCGACCGAACTCACTGATTACGCATACGGCTCAAGCAATGGACGTAAATGATGACACAAGTCACAACATCCAGAGGAAGAACCCGTAACGAATCTCGATCGTATTAATCAAAGGATGCCGAACTCCATAATTGCGCGTACTCCCGCCGACGCTTGTTGGCAGCGAAAGAAGCGCTCTACATTTCCTGCTTCTTTATGGCAGCCACCGGATCTCTCAGTACGTTGACGAAGCTGCTACGCCGATTATAACAAAAGCCACCACGGAAGCAGCAGCAGCAGGCAGAAGCTCCTCTCAGCACTGTTCCATTTAAAGTCAATGGTTCATTGGATGCGGGAAGCAGGGAGGGCTGTATCAACGGCTATCGGCAACCAGCTCATCACTCCATGAGTTGAGAAGCCGTTTAGACGCCGCCCGCACGAGGTTTTGTACGCGGTAGGCTGTCAAGCTGATTGGACAGCTAGCTGTTTAGGGATTAGCTATCAGAAATTACTGTTGCTCAACCCACAACCGACCAGCCACTCTCTTCTTCCCGTCTAAGAAGGTGGTATGCCCTGCGCATAGATAGCCGCACAAATCGCAAGCGTAGTGCACTGACCTGCTGAGCTGCGGTCGAGGTCGACAGCGGTGGTCGACCGACTGCCATTCGATGAGTTGGTCGATCGACTGCGGTGGGTGACGGAATGGTCGACAGGCTGGTCGATCGATTGATCAATCGAAGAGGAAGGTCGGTAGACTGGTCGATTGACTACGGTGGTTGACTAATGTCTTATGGCTAGCTTCAGAAGCCCATGCACTCTTCGTCCAGCCCGTACGTTCCAGGCTCTAAGCGACTTGCCTTCGTCGAACACTCCGACAAGGAAGGCATAGGGGATGTGGCTTGGTCGATCGGCTAGCATGGTCAAACGACTGGCATGGTCGATCGACTGGCGTGGTCGATCGACTGGCGTGGTCGATGTGGTCGATCGAAGGGCTTGGTCGATTGAAGGTATTGATCAATCGGAGCCGTTGGTCGGTCGAAGGGGTGGTCGATCCAATGGCGTGGTCGACAGACCGGCATGATTTATCGACCGCGGTGGTTGAAGGCATAGTCAACACTTTTATCGCATCTACCTCGCCTTCTGACTCTTCTTCAACCTGGCCACAAGACCTTTGACCTCATCACCACCGCCGCGCGTACCCTCTCCCTTCCTCACCCTCTTGCTCCCCTCCACCTCCGCATCGCCATCCGCAGCCTCATCACCCCGTGCCCTCTTCCGCCTTCCCTCCTCCAACAACCCTCTCATCCCCTCCGTCCCCTTAAAGCGCGGATTCGTCGGATCAATAGCAAACTCGTGATCCTCAAACAGCCGCTTAAAACGAGGATCCGCACTATCCACCTGAAACCCACCATCACCTTCACCCTCTCCCACACTTACATCCACACCTTCCTTCTGCTTCTTTGACTTTGCCTTCTTCCCCTTCCGCCGCGCCTCCTTCTCCCTCTTCTCGACCTCCCGCATATCGAAATGCCGTACCTCGTCCGCTTTATCTTCCGACATCAGGAGTTCGAGTTCCTTGCGTCGTTCCGCCGCCTCTGCTTCTTCAGCCGCACGCGTCGCAGCAGCCTTCTTCCGCTCAGCTTTCCGTGCCGCCTTGGCCAACGCGGTGGAGGAGGCGGCCGGGTCGGCGAAGAAGGGGTCGTTGAAACCTGCATCTTCTTCAACCACGTCCGCCTCAGCTCCTGTTTCGGCAGGGATGGCGGTGTTGCTGGTGGCGTCGGGATTGCGGGAGGCCTTCATCTTCTCCTTCCGCTTTTGCTTCCGCTCGCGCTCTTTGCGGATATAGCGCTCCTTTGTGCTCTCGGCGTCTAAAGGCTCGTTCTCGAAGACACCACCATTCTTCCCGGTTCCAGTCAGACCAGAGGTGAAAGTGATTTGCATCGCATCCCCCTCTCCCTCTCCACCCTTGCCTCCCTTTTCCACCCCAACCTCGCCCAACCCCAACTTCGCCCTCATAACCCTCCTCTGCTCCGCCTTCTTCTTCTCCTTCCTGTCTTCAGCCGCACTCTTTCGACTAACCACACTCTCCGCATCGGAATCACCTTCACTAGCAACATAAGCCCTCAGATCCTCCTCCGCCTGCTCACCCCTCCCAAACGCCCGCCGCTGCACCTCCTTCCTCTCCCTCTCCCCTTCCTCATCCCACGTCAACCTCACCTTCGAATGCGTCAGCGCCTCCGTCCGGAACTCACTCGGCCTATACCCTCCCACCACCTCCGTGCACTCATCCCTCGGTACATCATCATCAAAGGAGGTGGAGTCCGGGATGAAGCGGAGGTCGAAGAAATTGGCGCTGGAAAGGTACTCGCGGCCGTCCATGGCGGAGTATAAGGCATGGGCGGTGGAGGGGTCGGAGCAGGTGATGACGGCGTAGAAGTAGCGGAGTCGCTGGAGTTGGTAGGTGCGGAGGGCGGTGGGGTTGAAGTCCGCTGAGTCGTTTTCGTTGGCGGTCTGCGTGCGGAGTAGCTTGTCTTTGATCTTGTCATCCTCCTCCTCATCGTCGTCGTTGCTGTCGTCGCCGTCTTCCAAGCCTTCGTCTTGCGCTTCGTCTTCCTCCTCATCATCATCCGATCCTGCACGCTTGGTAGCGGAGAAGATCTCCTTAGGTGGGCCTTCAATCTCCTCCCTCTGCATCCTCTCCCGCCCAAACTCGCTCGGATATACCGCCACCTTCTCTATCCTGCCACTACTAGGCACAAAGCTCGCCGCCACCGCCATGATGTCCGCCGCACGTAAGTTGTCCCAATCAAGGTTCACGACAGCAATACGACTAGACACTTCGCCTAGCGGTATATCTTCGGTCTGCTCCTGGCCTGCCGTCTCCTCCGCCAGCTCGGCCTCCACTTCGTCTGCCTGTTCGTCCTCATCGTCCGTGCTCTCCTCCTCGGACTCGCTTCCCGAAAAGCCACCCTCTCGTGCCGGGTCCCGTCTCTCCACTACCACCTTCTCGTCCGCCTCACTTCCACTCTCGCTCTCGTCATCACTGCCCACCACTTCCCTTTCCTTCTTCACTTCATCCAGCCTATACTGCTTCTCCAACTCTTTCCTCCCAGACTCCGCTGTGACCTTCCGTCCATATCGATCAACCTTGGCCTTGCGCCGGAAGTCTTGATCGGTGAAGAGGCGGCTGAAGCGTGGATCGACGGCAGTGCGCGTTTCCTTGCGGTTGGGGAGACGGTAGCGCGGGTCGTTGGCGAGGGCGGCGAAGCGGGGATCTGACATGACTGCGGCGGTGGAGGTGTATGTTAGTAGACCGGATGCGGAAGGCACGCACACAACAAATTGTTCGACGATCGGACTTTTTGCGCGAGCCGAGGCTGCGGGGTCGGCGGCCGCTGAGATCGCGAAATTGGGGTTAAGCGGCCGACGATGTTTATGCACATCAACTCTGCATCAATTGGAAATCAATACCCATTGACAAACTCCATAGCAACAATGACCTCCGCTCAACACGATATCCCCAACCCTCCGACCGACACCATCTCCAGCCTCCAATTCTCCCCCTCCACCACCTACATCGCCGTCGCCTCATGGGACCGCACCGTCTCCATCTACAAGCGGGCGGAAAGCGACAGCGACACCCCCTTCGCCTTCTCCCACCGCATACAATGTCGCGCACCAGTCCTCGATCTCTGCTGGGGCGCGGATGACTCCTCACTCTACTGTGTCGGACTGGACTACGACGTGCGATCACTACCCAACCCTAACGATCCGAATGGAGACGACTCGCAACGCGTCCTCTCCACCCACGAAGCAGCCAGCAACAAGATTGCCTACAGCAGGGAAGAAGACCTCTTACTAAGCACCAGCTGGGACGGAACTCTCCACATCCACATCCATCCGTCATCACAGCAAGATATGCGCTTCACCCGCCTGCGCCTCTCCGCAAAACCCTTCGCTCTCTCCCTTTCCGTCGACAAAGCCGTCCTCGCAATGGCCGAACGCAAGGTCTCAGTCTACGACCTGCGCGCTCTGGGTATGCTCGTCGAGCAGACCGGCGGCACTTCGGATCGAGAAGACATCCAGGAAGGGATCCAACCCTGGCAACAGCGCGAGAGTAGTTTGAAATTCATGACTAGGGCTCTAGCGTGTATGCCGGATAACACCGGGTTCACGATCGGCTCCATCGAGGGGAGGTGCGGGGTGGAGTGGTTCGATCCCGAACGGCAGAAAGACACCTACGCCTTCAAGTGTCACCGACATGTCCATGAATCCATCGCCGACCCTGCCGATCCGGACTTGGGACTCACGGAGAGCGAACTCGCGGAAGCAAAAGCGAATCCCTCAAAAGCATATCTAGAAGATCTAGAACTAGTCTACCCCCTCAACGCCCTCGCCTTCCACCCCCTCCACGGCACCTTCGCGACGGGAGGTGGAGACGGGTTAGTGTACGTCTGGGATCGCGAGGCGAAGAAGCGGGTCAAGGTTTATGATTTCGGCAAGGAGGTGGAGAGTGTGGCGTGTGTGGACTTTAGTGGGGACGGGAGGTTTATGGGGGTGGGGTTGAGTCCGCCATTGGGGGCGCAGGATGAAGGGGAGGAGGTGGAGGTGGAGAGGATTAGGGTTGTGGTTAGGGTGTTGGCGGAGGGGGAGTTGAAGGGGAAGGGAAAAGTGGCGAAGAAGAAGTCGGGTGAGGGCGAAGCATAAAAGCAGGAGGCAGACGTTTGCCGTGCATGTCTTGAGCATGCTTTCGTCTAAGCACGGTGGATGAGGTGGGTGCCGGATTAGCGCGGCGTTGGCGGTGCTCTATTTCGTGGTATCAGTATCCGGCGGCGGCGTCGTTGAACAAGTTGGGATTTTGGTCTTTGTCAGCGTCGAGTCGAGATGACCGTGAAGCCGGTGGCGCATGTGTTGTTTCACGGTACGCAGTTCTGTACCGTCTGGGTAGCTGACGGTGGCGGATCATGGCGCCACATGCTTAGGAGGGATTTAGTGAACGATCAAGCAGAAGACGCAGCATCTGCAGGCCGACAGCCAGTGAAATAGCGCCAGGCTAACTCAGACCTGTCCAATGGCACACGCTTAGGATCATTCGGTTCCCTGCCATTGAAGAAGAGCGCGTTCATGTAGGCGTGGGCAAACGGTATGGCGACGTCCTTGACCACCTCGCGGGCTTCTGTTCGCATTGTGGAATACCTAACCACGGCTAGTCGGACCTTCTCAGCAGTGTGTTTGGCTTTCAGGCTTGTAAGGGATACAGACCGATCCGTAAGCCATCCGGTTTCGCGAGGTGACATCTCCCTCCAGCCGGCAAGCGGGCTAGCTTAGTTTTTCTCTGTCGGATGTTTTATGAACCAGTCCGATTGCATATAGTGGTTTAGGTCGGGTGCGACCATATCTCTGTGCTGACACTCTCGCCGCAGAACATTGTAGTTTCAATCAACCGATACTGTACCGAAGCATGCCGGCAAATTCAGAGTCCGAGGTATATCTGCAAGTCCTGGAAGTCCCCTAGAATCAGACTGCCGTCCTCTATCCATGCGGCGAGCTTCACACCCACAATACACGCCAGAGGTCGTTCCGTGTAAGTATCCCGGTCCGTCTTGGTTGCGCGGACATCACTTCTCACAGTCACTTCGCTATCAGAGTCGATTACGAGACAGGACAGATGCTCTCCGCCCTTGGGATCAACAGTAAAGCATCGTAGAGGGAGGAGTAACAGTCGAATCCCGGTCTTGATGTCGTGTGCGCGATAGACTCTTCCGGTAATCAAAATGCCGCGACTCGTAATTCTGGACGGCGCGCTTCGATGCGTTATCTTCGACCATTCCGACAATACATCATTGTCGTCCTCATAGACACGTTTCGCGAATGAGCGCACAGTGTCTGCGGAGTTGAGAAAGTCTTCAGGGCTTCTAGCAAGAAAACCGGCCCTCAAACAGTATTGGTGCGTAAGCAGATCACAGTTTTCGTTCGCAAGGCTTCCCATACAGGTGTCTTGCCACGCGAAGATTGACTCGTCCTCGGACTGGTTGATGATCTCACACTGTAGGCGACGAAAAGCTTTGCGACCTTCACCGTAAAGCAACGGCATATTGACATCGAACAGACCCATGAGACTGTATGCTTTATCCTCTTCTCTGGTGGCACGCCGCTTAGCTGCCCAGCTCATCCTCTCTGCAACGGACGACCGGTGCACGCCCGGGCTGATGATGTGCGTAGTAGAGATGCCCGTGATATCAGATAGGATTTGGCTGAATTCCATACTGGTCCCCAAGGCACCGTCGGAGCGAGACTCTGAAGACCTGTCAAGTGTCTCGAAAGTGTTCCAGTCGCGATCGCAGAAGACTAAACCTACCGGTGCGAGCAGCTCTTGCAGAGTCCAAGATCGGGTGAACCACGAACTCGCTTCCAACGATCTCCTGAGCGATTCGACATCGTCGGTCCAACCTCCCGCAACGTCGGCCAGATACACACAGCACATCTCCGACTCTTTATACCATGTCCACATCGAGTTGATAGCTTCCGAGAGCTCCGAGCTGCTGCGCTTGTCAATGCAGCAAGTGTCAATCCACACCCACTCAATGGCTCCCATGATCTGTCGCCTTCTTTTCTTCCCAGACTTCGCCCAAGTGCGCGCCCACGCGCAGAAGTGTATCACCTTTTGATATCCAGACTTCTGCCGGATGAGGTTCACTTGATGATCATCCCACCCTGTGAGCATGTCGGCAGGTCGGAGCGTGAGGGTGTACTCTTCGTACGACACCTCGTCGGCCTGCCATCGATGCGACAGGATTACGTATCTTGGTGGTTCGAAGAACTCTCCAAACCCCAAAGTTTTCACATTTATTAGCCGCATTGCGAGAGCACATAGGACATGTAGCAATGGCGCCAGAGCGGTTGCAATGACCGGAGCGCCAAAGAGTCCAGAAACTCCAGCACTTAGCGGCCAGCGGCGGAATCCGATGCAGACCTGAACCTGCCAGTAGTTCTATGGCCCAAACACTATATTTCACCGGAGGCAGTGGTTGTACAGCTTACCTTCAAGAAGATAAACCTGTGATAGCATACGACTTATCACGGGTACCGACGCCACCCTCGCGGGTGCATTGACACATATACCAGCATATGCCTCTCGAGCAAATGGAGAGAGCGCTGGTGTGGGTGGCAGCGTCGTTGACAAGACTGTTGCCGTGCTGGAGTCCCATCAATGCATGAGAAAAGAAGACAACGCGTCGCGTCCCATAGCGAGAGAACTCCATGCATATACGACAGACAGGATAAGAAGAGAGCAATGTCGTACCTGGTCTCTGGTCTCCGTTCACGTGATGCTGACAGGCCTCGGGCCGGGCGGAAGCATCCCGACATGAGGCCGGGCACCTTGGAGTCTTTGCACTTCACCTCCCGTTAACATGCGTCTTTGAAATACACTCCCATGTGAAGGCTCACTAGCGAATGGGGCGAGTTCGTAACGATGAGTTCAAAGCCGATATATGTGCTTCACTATCGTGCGTAAGTAGAGCTCAAAGTCGATGTACTTTAGGCATCGGCGGCCCCTTGCTCACGATCTCCTCATCTTCTGCCGTCGGCTTCCTACTTTGAGCGTTGCCGTGTCTACACATTTCACACCCCGAAGCATCATCCTGAACCTCGTGCAGATCTTCATCCTCTCTGACACCTTTGACATCTCGTAACAGCGTGTCCTATCAAGCGTGTAGATATGGCGGTAGCGACAACTAATGGCAATGCACCCACGGACGGAGCCGGCGTCAAGCATCCACGAACAAATAACGAAGCCGACATAGCTGCCATTGTGCAGAAGCTTTCAAGTTATGGCAACCCGGCGCTATACGTCGACACAGAACACAATATCGAGCTACGCGATACCGAAGTCCCGACACCGCTGCCACACGAAGCACTACTTCACGTCCGCTGCACAGGCATTTGCGGAAGTGACATGCATATGTGGCATCGAGGCAGCATCGGCCCACTTGCTGTCGACCGTCCTTGCATTCTTGGACACGAGCCGGCGGGTGTCGTTCTAGCCGTGGGCTCAGAAGTCACCAATCTAGTGCCTGGCGACAGGGTGGCGATTGAGCCTGGCGTGCCTTGTCGGAAGTGCTGGCTTTGTGAGAGGGGCAAGTATAATTTGTATGTAATTTAAAAAGATTGAGTAGGGGCATGACGCTAACATATGTTGCAGATGCGAATATGTAGCGTTCGCAGGCATGTGCCCCTACGCTGGAACGATCCGCCGCTTCGTCACCCACGATGCCCGCATGTGCCACAAGCTTCTGCCAGGCATGTCTTTCGCTCAAGGAGCTCTTCTGGAACCCCTCTCAGTCATCCTCCACGCAGTCCGGCAATGTCACGGCGCGCTCAGCATTGGCAAACCAGCTCTCATCTGTGGCGCTGGGCCAATCGGACTTTGCGCCCTTGCCGCATCTCGAGCTTCCGGAGCATGGCCGCTTGTCATTACTGACGTCGACCCGGCCAAGCTAGAGTTTGCGCAGAAATTCGTGCCAGGCGTCATCACGTACCATGTGGAGATGTCGAAGACACCCATCCAATGCGCCGAAGAGATACGAGCTCTCTACGGTTGCGGGCCGCGAGTTGTCGAAACCGCTACGCCTTCACCCACCGAGTACAATGCGCCCAGCACAGTGCTCGAATGCACCGGCGTCGAATCAAGCGTCGTCACGGCTGCTTACGCCTGCCGACGAAACGGTCTCGTCATGGTCGTGGGCGTCGGACGCTCGATCATGAACAATCTGCCCTTCATGCAACTCAGCTTTGGCGAGATCGATTTGAGGTTCATCAATCGCTATTCGGATACCTGGCCGGCCGGTATCAATGCGATGGCGAACGGAAACGTGCTGAATCTGGACGCGATGATCACGCATACGTTCCCGCTGGAGCAGGCGGTGCAGGCCATGGAGGCTTGTGCGGATCCGAAGCTTCTGACTGTCAAGGTGCAGATTGTAGATGATACCGAGATCGATTTGTAACATATGATTGGGGGCTACTTGTGCCAGTTAGCCGGCGGTGTGGTTCCAGCTGCCTCAAATGAGGTCACAGATATTCTGGGATGAATTTGCTCCGTCACAGCTTCGGCTGCTTCGTTTCGAGATCCGGACCCTCCAGTAGGCGCTCAAGCTGCTTCCTAACATGCGGCTCGAGACCTTCAGGTGGCGGTCGATTGTCTTCACGCTTAACCCAAATCTGGATGAAGCCGCCTACAGCCTTGACTTGCTCGTCGCCCTCTTCGAAGATGCCGCACTCGTACATGACGCTGTTCTTGCCAAGTTTAACCACTCGTAGACCGACATCGAGCATACTCGGATAGGCTGGACTGCTAAAGTAATCGCAGTAACTGCTCGCCACCAGCGCAATCCGAGGGTAGGTCCGGGTGTTGTAGCCACATTGCTTGATGAGGTAGTCGTTGATGATGCTGTCGATTAGGACGCCGTAGATTGGATTGTTGAGATGGTGGAACATATCGTTGTCTGCCCATCGTGTCCGGTAGTCTAGACGGTGTGGATAGTCTGTACGTCGACGCTTTCGCTTGGCGGATAGGTCCAGGCTCAAACTACTCTCTGGCATGGTGACGGTACGAGCAGTCACCAGATGAACAATCTTGATTTTGTGTGATATGCAAATGAAGTTGGTGTGATCGAGGAAGGATGTCAAGTTGCCGAGGCATCTCCGTCCCGCTCCAGCCAAACCGTCCTCACCGGTAACCGTCATCCTTCGCTCTCTATCCTTCCTCATCAGCCCTGTGCCATCTCGTCGAGAAGTTGCTATTGTATTCCTTCGGCCTGCATACTCCCTTCCGTTGCAACCATAGGCCCACGCTAGCCCGTACCACATTGACCGATCGACGTTGCACATCAAGCTCTTAGGGCTTGTTTACCATGATCCTGCACTTGGCGTGAGACTTGCATATCACTCAGCTAAGTACATTGCTCATTGTCTTTTTCTGAACACTCAATCGTAGCTTCTTCCACCACTTGCCTGGCTTCCTCGACAACATGAACGGCTCTCTACCTTCTCAAACCACGGTCTGCGTAGTAGGTGGTGGGCCAGTAGGCCTTGCATCCTCCGTTCTCTTATCCTTACAGAACATCCCACACGTTCTCTTTGAGCGACAGCCCGGAACAGCGATACATCCAAAAGCGGTCGGTATCAATCAGCGGACGGTCGAGATCTTCCGGCAGATTGGTATCGACGAGGAAGTGCTGCGCCAGAGCGGCCCGGTCGAAAGCTGTACACAGACTGCGTGGTTTACCAGCCTTGGACCGAAAGGCCGAGAGATCGCCCGAAGGCACGCTTGGGGTCAGCACCACCGCGGGGACGCTCAGACGGTACCTCCATGCTGACAGTGGCTGCAGGCGGCGGCCCGTACGCAGAGAGATATGCCCAAGCCAGTCCATGTCGCTACGTGGGCTTGCCTCAGATACGACTGGAGCCTATACTACGCAAGCGAGCCGAGGAGCTGAACCCAAGCGGTGTCTACTGGTCGCATGAAGTGGACGATGTAGCCGAGGACGTTGACGGCGTCACAGTGTCATTCCACGATCGTATCAGCAAGCAGTCCGGCCAGATTCGATGTAGTTACGTGCTCGGTTGCGATGGAGGGCGGTCATTGACAGACAAACTCGGCATTCATTACAGGGGCGAAAGTGACATAGTCGACATGGTGGCCGCTCACTTCCGCGCACCGATCAGCGAGTTCAATATGAAAAGTCATTTTATCTCGTGGTTCATCAATCCAGATATGGGCGGCAGTATCAAAACTGGCTACCTCTATCATCTCGGACCGTACGCTACTCTAAGACTTCCCTTGAGAACGAGGGCTCGTGCTGACAGAAGATGTATATTGCAGCTACCCGATGAAACCAGAGACGGAGGAGTGGATGTTCGGGTGCGCTCGTCTGCCGCATGAGATGGCGCACCCATTCACCAAAGTGGACATGCTTGATCGACTGCATCGAACGTTAGCAATTCCCGACTTATCGACCGAGCTAATCAGCCTCAGTCATTGGTTCGTAAGTAGTACTGTTGTATTGACAGTGTCGCTCATTGTTGATGTGATAACCGGCACAGGTAAACGCAAAGGTAGCCACGCAATACCGATCGAAAGGCGGCCAAGTCTTCCTGGTGGGCGATGCTGCTCACAGAGGTACGCTATTGTTCCATCGATGTCGCTGCCAATGCTTATGCTCTACCCCAAGTCCCACCGTAAGGCGCACTAGGCATGAATACTGGTATTCAAGATGCACAGAACTTGGTCTGGAAGCTCGCTCTTGCTTTACGCCACCCGAAGCAGAACTTTGACGGCTTGCTCTCCAGTTACGACAGCGAGCGGCGGCCCCTAGGTGAGCGGGTGGCCAGGAATGCGCTGTACAATATGCGCGCACATCCTGATGTGCTTGACCGGGCTCTGGGTGTCTCATTTGAGAAGACACCAGCGGAGAACTGGGTCGCGATGAATCAATACTTCGATGCGGATGACTCGGAGGCAGGAAAGGCGAAGAGACAGGCGGTGAAGGATGCGCTGGAGGTTCTTGATGTGGTTTGTCTTTTAGCAGAGATACCGTGGGTGCTAACGTGCTAACGTGCTAACGTTCGCTGCACAGGAATTCTACGCCCATGGAACCGAAGTGGGATGGTATTACGAGCTGCCGTACGCCAGGAAGGGATCTGAGCAGGCGTACAAAAGCCCGCAGCTAAAATTCAATGGCGAGATGGAGCCTTGCATCTACCATCCCTGCGCTCTACCTGGTCATCAGCTGCCTCACGCATGGCTCATTCAACCAAACGGCGAACGGAAGTCCACGCGAGAGCTGACAAGGCAGGATCAACTAGTCCTGTTCGCTATGTCAGATGCATGGGAGCGGTTTCAGCATGATCTCGTGCACGTCGTGCTCATCGATGGTCTGCACGGGCGATGGCGGGCTGAAGATGGCAGTTGGGGGGAGCAGAGTAAGCTGGGCCCAGAAGGAGCGGTTTTGGTGCGCCCCGATAACATTGTTGCATGGCGGTTCGAGGATGATGGCGTCCTTGGGGAGGCTAACGTTCAGGCCAGCATTGAGGCGGTCATTCGGAAGGTGCTTGTTCTTCTATAGAGTGATGGAGCAACAACGAGCAGAGACAGCAAGCTGTAGGCAGACTTGCATTTCAAACAAGCCTATCACAGCTGGAATAGGACTGACAAGACATTGATGCAGCTCGCTTAACAGACCTGCAGACTCAAGCGCCTCAACGGCGCCTCTGCAATACGTCGGCGCTTATTCGAAGCTGTTCGGCAAGGCAGTCGATGAAGCTTGGCCATGGTAGCACGGCAATAAAACCGCTTTACACCCTGTCGTCTGTCACCTTGTGACATTGTCGTCAATTGGAATCTATTGGCCTTCACACATGACCTCACTTAGTACAGAACACTCCAGGAATCATGCTGCTAGGCCACCTGTACTCAAGCTACGAGAGACACAAGGCAGATACAGACTACGTAGCCAACTGGCTGGTCACGACGGCTCAAAGATGTGGGCACGAATTACCTGTTGGCGACGCAGACGACGTACCGAGCGCGCCAAAGTCATCTCGACTGAAAAGCAAAGCACGAAAGCTTGCAAAGACAACATCGAAAACGCCTAATTATTCTCCGACACCCGCTAATCGCATCCATCGCGTCAACATCGAGCAGTTTGTCCTTCTAGCGCAATGATCGCGAAGAACCGCAAGCTCGAGTTGGAAGAGCCGAAGACATTTGCGTCTGTGCTACAATTTTGCATCAAGGAGAGATCACGGCATCTGGCATATCACTGTCAGGTTCGGATCGACCCTTCATCGGCTGCAGATGATCGCCGTCACGACCACTTCATTCAAGTACTTCAGCAAGTACAAGATATCCTCCAGCCTCTGTTGCCGAAGTCCGGTACCTCCGCGCGTGTTAATGCCGCACAAGGCCCGACCGACACACATTTGGCCAACATGTTTGAGCATCTCAGCATTGACGAACCCTTCGACTCGGTAGAGTACAGCGAAAGATCAAATCAGCCAGTCACGAGCGGAGTACGATATAGCGCGGATCTCAGCACCAACGAAGGCGAGGTGCGAGTTGCGACAGCCATGTTGTTTCTCGATGCACATAGGCTCCGTGGAGTGGCTCAACATGTCTGGCGGATGTACCTCGAAGGCGAGCTGGACCCTATGGCTGCATCACTTACAACTAACAGTGCCATCGACGTCATGCGAAGCATACAACGCGACTTCGACAAGCTGATTCCGGGTCGAGTAGACCTGAATGAAGCACCCTGCCATGCATGTCTCTATCTACCGGACCAGCAGCCTAGCATAGCTCGATGCCCTCACTCTGCATGATGTCAGCTCGTCTTGTCTTCAGCCTTCTGATACCTGACTTGCTTGACGACTCCTCGGATTTCATTCCAATTGTAGAGCCTTGTAATACAGTGCTTTACCACGAGCCGGACTGTGAGCGTTATACTGATATGCGGCGACAGCGAGGTTTCAGGCACCTCCAGCTGGCGATGGGTGTCATTCCAGAGTTCCACGTTCTAATCAAGTATAGTTCCTCTCTGCAAGCCCAGCATGAACTTCGCAGAGGCCTGCGGCAGGTGATCGATCAGAAGAAAGGGATATGCTGGGTTACTTTTGTCCTACAGCTACACATGGATATGCGCAACATCCTGCAGAAAAGTGTCACCCGGGGGTTCGAGCAGCTGTGCCATGAAGGTCGCTTAATGACCAGCAGCTTAACGACGTTCTACATTACTACCAGACCTCAGACCGGAATATGGGATTCCACGAAAAGCCTCTTCGGGAGACTACGGAGCTCATTGAGCGCTGGACGGAGAGTGACCTTGTTGATGCCTGCAGAAAGGACCATCAAGCAGACCCGCTGGCTTCCGACCACATAGAGTCGTACCACCTACTCAAGAGGGACCCGCTCTGGTGCGGTCTTCTCCTCTACAACTTTCGAATGGTCGCTTACGAAGGAGCCATCGTGTTGACGAACTCTTTCTTCAGCATCCAAGCGGCAGCACATTTATACAATGCTCTGCGCCAAATGCAGATACTCGAACAGTGCTGGACCGACATGGAGTATGTTTTGAAAGCGCACGAGATCACCGAGATCTTTCTCGGCAGCCTGCCGTGCTCCCCTGCAGACTATTTCAAACATTTCCTTCTCGCCTATGGCGTGTCCGCACAATCATTCGCGCGCAACCAACGTCCAACAGACCGTCTTGCAGGGTCGCCAAGGAATGCTAAGAAGCTGCAGAGACGCGTCCCGGTGTGCGAGGTCTTCAAGAATCGCTTCTGTAGCAATGATGGTCGGACGAGCTTCGAGCCGGAACATCTAGATAATGTTCTCCTGCCTCTTTGGGAATGCAAGGGACCGGGTCAGATTCGAAATGACCTTTGCGCATCCCTGATACACATGGCTGTTGAAATGCACGGAGGGTCACGAGAGCTGGCTTTCGGCTACTTCAACGTCCATAAGACTTGCTGCAGGATGCTGTCAAGCCTTGTCCACAGCCTCTCCGACAATAATGCGGATATGCGTTATCTGCGGTCGAACCCCAAGCATCTACCGGAGTCAGTCGGTGTACTGTTGGCGGACAATGTCAATCAAGGACCCTCACGTCTGTCAGGTCCCACCAAAGACACATATACCGCTGCGGCACTAGTGGAGCAGATTCTGCGGACGGCTGGACAAGTGGGACTTGCGAATATGATTGTAACCTTAGTTGGGGCCTCACCAAGACCAGCCGCCCGTGCGAATGCGCCGCTGCACGACGAAGGACACCCCGTACGGAGACGAAGCCAGTCTGCGGCGGCTCTCTAATCGGTGCGCTTTTGCGTGAAAAGGTAAGGAGGCGGTGGGCAAGCAACCCTTAGCGTTGGACCTGCTCGACCGGAGACAGGTAGGCTGTTGTCTGAGATCGTGCCTCAAAAGGACACAAGGCTGCCAGAAGCTACGCGTTTACGGTGTGAAGTCGACGTGGCTACAGTATGAAATGCGGTTATGCGTCCGCTTGCCGAGGCATCGCCGTTCAGCCTCACTCAACCGCCCAAAAACCCCCCATTCGCAAGCATCAACACCTTCAGTCCTACATGCATGCATGCTGCTACCTGTCATCGCCCCTAGAAGAGCCTGAGGTTGAGTACTCCCTAGTCATTACAATGTGCCATGCCATGCCATCCAGTTCGAAGGCGTGTCTAAACCACCCAAGTTTCGCCAAGCCTCATCCCATTGGCACCCGTTCACTAGACTCCGCGCGCCGAAGGCAAGATAAACCTACGACCTGAATCGTTCAGCAGCACCAGCACTGGGTGTCGCCATTGCGCGTCGCCCAGCCTAGGCGAGGTAGGTGATGGGCAAGAACAATCCATACACTCTCTCCTATGTCTGCGATTCGTTGCGTTCGTCCTGCTTCTTCTTTCCTGCCACGCGAATGTGCTCAAGATGGACGGACCCATCACAAAAGCCAATGACACGCTCGACCCGTTGACTGACGAGGAAATTACTTCTTTCTTCAACGATTTGGACACCGACAAGGACGGCTATGTCACCTTCGCAGAGATCGAAGCAAAGCTACACCAAGTCCATGAAGAACTAGCACCCGAGCCAAAGCGACACCATCTCAACCACCCTTCGCGACGAGATGTCGAGAAGGGTGAAGAAGACTGTCACCCCGGCAACGGCTTACATGCCTTCCTCTGCGCGCTAATGCCGGACTGCGGCGCGAAGGTCGATCGCCACGCTTTCGCCGCTCGTGTAAAGGCGTGGGAAGTACCGAGCCAACGCCAGACCGCCACCGATGACCATAATAGCGACGGAGATGCCACCCAATTGCGCCAGATGCCTAGGCGTCGACACATTCGGGCGTACTTGGCCGTTCATGGGCCGCGCTTGTGCTTTCTGGCGTTCGTGATCGCGCTGCAGCTCGCTTTCGGTCTGTGGCAGCTGATCTCCTACCTCCTGAACATGGAAGTGCGGGCTGCGCTAGGCTGGGGCGTGGTTATTGCCAAAGTCTGCGCCGGCGTGCTGTATCCGACCCTGTTCTTCATGCTACTCAGCATGAGCCGGCACTTTGCGACGCTTCTACGTCGCAGCTACTGGGTTAGTCGGTTTGTTGACTGGGACCGGAGTCAGTCGTTCCATATCAAGATGAGTCTCGTAGGCTTGTTCTTCGCCAGCTTGCACGCTATTGGGCACTTGACGGGGAGCTTTCTGACTGGCTCTCGGCCATCACGACAACAGGCTGTAGCACAGATACTGGGGCCAGATGCTGTTCCCAGACCATACGTAGCTTACGTTCGCAGTCTGCCCGGCTGGTCCGGGATTGTAGCGCTTGGGTTGTTCTGGACGATCACGCTACTTAGCATGCCTGTAATTCGCAAGCGCATGTACGAGATCTTCCAGATGGGACACCTGCTTATGTTCCCCATGATCGGCTTACTCTGCGCTCACGGGACGGCGGCGTTACTGCAAGCCCCTATGCTGGGCTACTGGCTGGCGTTTCCGACACTCTTGGTCCTTGGCGAGCGACTGCACAGACTCATTAGAGGCTTCATGCGGGTACCGGCTCGAGTCAGGATGCTTGACGACCACACCGTGCTAGTAACGTGCAGACATCCGCGTGGTCGCGATTGGCGGTACTCTGCTGGCCAGTACATCTTGTTGCAAGTACCGCAGGTATCCGTATTCCAGTGGCATCCGTTCACGATCTCATCCTGTCAAGGCGATGAGTTGCAGGTCCATATCAAACTTGATGGCGACTGGACCAATGCCCTCAGCGATGTTCTGCCCGAGAACGAAGACATATGCGTCGGCGCAGATGGACCCTTTGGCGCACCAGCTCAGCGCTTCTACGATTACGATTATGCAATCGTGGTGGGTGGTGGGATCGGCATCACGCCCTTCGCTGCCATCCTGACCGATCTAGAACAGCACGAGGATGAGCGTCGTGATCCTTGGGCAGAGCGCCGCCGGTCACGCTCACTATCAAGGCGCCGCTCGCAAGCAGGTGAATCCGACACCATCAAAGCGAAGGACTCACAAGACACCACCCCCTCCGATCAACGGACTTCGCGCCGCAGAGTGGACTTCCACTGGACGGTCCGCGAAAAGAACAACCTCCTTTGGTTCTCCGACCTCCTCAACCGCGCCATTGATGGCGCGCAGCCACAAGAAGACACCAAAGACATACTCGAGCTCCACATTAACACCCACATCACCGCCAAGCGCAAGAACATTTCCACGCACATCTTCCGTTACTTGCTCGACAGCTACAGAACGGATGCTGCGCCGTACTCAGCGTTGACTGGGCTTAAGCAACCGTCACATTTCGGGCGACCAGACTTCGACAAGATACTTGATAAGCATTTTGATGAGATGGTTGCTAGCGGGACACAGGAGAGGAGAGTTGTTGTGTTTGTAGGTTGCTCTGCTCGCCAACATGTTCGACAGATATAAGTACCATGCTAATATTACCTTACGAGTAGTACTGCGGTGCGCCAGTCGTGGGCGAGATACTGTCGGATAAGTGCCATAGCCTTACCACAAGGGCGCGCCATATGGGGCTGCGGATTCGGTATGACTTCTTGATGGAAGTTTTTGGTTAGCGTTCCCTATAGCATTGTGCATACGAGACCATCAACGCCTGTGAGGGCTGGCTCCAGTCATACGTAGTCACTGTGGCGAGGCGATGTCTTTGGTCAAGTGATCGGTCTTCCATCTTCTGTTCGAGAGCAAGTTGTTCGGAGCATCCTCGGCTTTTTCCGCCCCACTTCTTACTATTCTACCTCGTGAAGTGAATGCATCTCTAACAACGCATGATCTTCTCGTCCTTCCAACTCACTTGAACCCAGGCGAGCGATGAGGCAGCAGCAGCACCCGATATGCGCACCCTCATCCTCCCCATCGGTCCTCCAGGATCCGGCAAGTCCACCTTAACCAACGGCCTACAACAATTCATGACCGCCATCGCCCGCCCATGCTCTGTTGCCAACCTAGACCCGGCTAACGATAATATCCCCTACGACCCCGCCTTTGATGTCCGTGACCTCGTCTCCGTGGAGGAGGTGATGGAGCGCGAGGAGTTGGGGCCCAACGGCGGTGTGCTATGGGCGATGGAGGAGGTGGAAGCCAATATCGATTGGTTGGAAGAGAAGATGAAAGACTGTGAGGAGACGGTGGTGCTAGATCCGCCGGGGCAGCCGGAGTTGATGCAGCATCATATGGCTTTGCCAAGGATACTGCAAAGACTAGAGAAAGTGGGATGGCGTGTATGTTTCACACCTAGCTTATGTGTGGATGTGGAAGACGTCGCTGACTGACGAAACAGTAGATCGTGGTCGTCCAACTCCTCGACTCGGTCGTCCTGACTAGACCGAGTCTCTATCTTAGCAGCCTCTTGCTGTGCGTGAGAGGCATGCTACACCTACCGTACCCTATTGGTAAGCAATCTCTACAGCACCCAGGCATGACTGGGACAGCGACTGATAGAGTTCTAACAGTCAACGTCTTGACCAAGATCGACAACCTCGCCTCCCTCGGCGGCGCCGACTTGCCCTTCAACCTCGACTTTTACACAGAGGTCCAAGACCTGCACTATCTCCTCCCCACTCTCGCCGCCGAAAATCCAACCGCCAATCCAGATGCGGACTCGAAGTGGCAGCGCCTAAACGAAGCCCTCATCGAGCTAATCTCCAGCTTCGGCCTAGTGGGTTTCGAAACCCTAGCAGTCGAAGACCGCGCTTCCATGGCTTCCCTCCTCGCCGCCCTCGACCGCGCAAGCGGCTACGTCTTCACGGGCACGCGAGGCACAGACGAGGTGGGAAAGACGGTGGAGGATGAGGCGAGCGTGTGGGCGCAGGCGATGAGCGAGCAGTGGGCGGGAAAGATGGATGTGAGAGATGTGCAGGAGCGGTGGATTGAGCGGAGGGAGGAGTTTGATGAGGTGGAGATGAAGGGGTGGGAGGAGGAGGCTAGGAGGGCGGGGGCATTGCCTGAAAGGAGTGCGGCTGGAGTTGTAAAGAAGGATGGGAGAAGGGATGGTGGCGACGCTGAGATGGTGGGAGAGGGTAGTGGGGAGGAGGAGGAGGACGACGAGATGTTGGCTGAGCAGAGAGCATGGAAGGTTGAGCGGGACAAAGTTGGGGGTGGAGACAGTGGAGGTAGCGGCACGACAAAGGTCCGAAAGAAGCGCTGAATCCAATTCTCCCAGCCATAGCACGTGATGCAGGCAGGCACCATAGCGACCTCTGTCTTCAAGACACCATCGGGACACTCAACCCACCACTATGCTCTTCCGAACTCCAGAAGCACCCGTCAACAGACTTTCCGAGACTCAGGGCAGAGCTGGCGTACTCCTACGGCGCGTGCGGTGCAGGTCGCAATCGGGACAGCTACACCAGCTTCACGTGCTGTTTGGCAGTACGGCAGTACGCATCCATGAACGGATGTTGCGTGCCCTCCTCTGTTGAATGGAAGTAGCCACAACGACGATAGCTGTCATTGCCATCGCGAGCGAGGACAAGGCCATCGAAGTGATTTCTACCAATGTCAAGGTCGTGCTCAAATCCATTCGTTATCTGCTCCGCCGTCAACTTCCCCTCGTATAACAACGGGAGCAGGTAAGCCATGCCATCATTCTGCGGTGATGTGGCGTCCAGTTCAAGGGTGGCTTTGACCGTCCAGTCTTCGGGCTCAGCGCTGACTGCGTGCGGTCGGACATCTTGCTTACAATTACCATGGTTGCCATCGCCAACCACTGCAGACCTCTGCGTCTCTTGTATCGATATCCGGAAGGAGAAGTATTGCTCACGCCATTTCCGTATCACCTGTCCCGGCAACAAGACCCCGTGCATAATGACACTTGCGTCAATCAGAGCGCCACAGGGATTATCCGGGCTGTCGGGTACGATGGAGTATTCTTCGAGTGTTGCAAGATGTTGAGCTGTTGGTGTGTACTTCAAGAACCGGACTGGGCCACACACAGATGCCCAGCTCCAAGATGGGGCTCGCCACCGCTTGGCTCGTGGTGCTCCAAATTCGTTGGACCAACAAAGGTCGGCGCAGAAAAATCGCTTAAACAGACCGGCGATGTATACGTCGTTATTCAGCTTAGCTAGTCTCTCAGCGACAGCACCGATCGCTGCAAATTTGTCCTCATGCACGTGGGATAAAGCTAAGCACGAGTATCTCTCAACCACGCCTCGCCAAAGACGGTTCCATTCCAGTGATTCCAGGGATGCAAGTAATGGATGAAGGCTCGGAGGAAAATTACCAATCTGGAGGCAGAACGGATATCCGGGGGAGGACGGATATGCGGTCTGTTCTAAGCCGCCAGGGAACCGGGCATTAGCAAATCGCGTCTCCGAGCATTCCCAGAAGGTTTGCGACCCAGCCAAGTGTAACATCCTGGGCGCGAGGAGTCGCTCTTGCATTACCCAACCTCTGGTGAAAAGCTTCGCATGCTTATAGAGGTCCATGGACGGGTCTTTCTCACACTTATCCGTGATCTGATAGATCTTATTTTCAATCCGTACGCGTTCAGGTCCTCCATCACGATAACGGACTCCAGAGCAGCCGCTATATGCATCTTCGGCACCTGTAGCACCAATGTTCAGCATGCTGTTGGCATATACATGTTGCATCTGGCTAAGCTCATAAGCTTTGTCTCCAGCTGCAGCGCCGTGATCTTCGGACTGTAGAATGCAATAGCAGTCAATCCAGACATAGTCAATCCCTAGATACTTGGCAGCGAGTAAGGCTTCGCGGTGGGTCGGTGGAAAGTCGTGCAAAGGTCGTCCGTGCAAGAATTCAGCCTTTGTTTGCTCTGTTAAGACGGTTTACTCGCGCTGGCCCCAACAATGACTTAATGTCGCGTACGGTCCTTTAGGTGGCTCTGTCGCTGTCTCGATCAACCGCACCGCTTCACTCCGAATGTCTAGCAGACGAGTTGGGTACCATGATTTGTTTGGTACTTTCGAGCACTGAGTATGATCAGCACGACACTTTGCCAACCAGTGAGCCGCAAGGTCGAGCATTCCGGATCCGCCTGAAGAGCAATCTTCTAATGCTCGAGCACTGAGATTGGCAACTCCGAGCGTGAGCTCATGTATTGAGAGTCCTCGGGAATCTTTCCCGCAGGGATCATACATAGCTGCCTCAGAGCACCGTCTACTCATGCGCCAAGTTCTTAGATACCTTCGATCATGCCACTTGGCCTCGGATTTCTAGTCCCAGCATATCAAGCAGCCTTGCCGGGCTTCCTGTTTGAACACAGTAAATTCGTAGTCCCCTCCATCCAGGGTGTCAGGTCTCATGGCCGTAGAGAGCGCTTCAACGCATGGCTGACATATCATGACTCCACCAGGACAGGGTCCGACTGTTGGTACTGTCTTTGGGTCACCTAACTGGGCTTCCGGAGCGCAACATGAAGTTCAATATCACCAGCCTTGCTCCAGACAGCGAGCCTTGTCATTTCCGTGCGGGTCGGCAGAGATTAACAGGAGAAGTTCAAATGGCGAAAGTGCGCTTCTTACACTGCGTCTGGACACTTGACAGTTCACTTTCAGTTCAAGACCGTAATTCGAACTAGGTAGCGATGCGACGATGTTTCACAAGTCCAGGCGCAGGTGAGGCCGCCGAGGCGCAGCCGCTTGCATGCTCTTTAAGCGAGCTGCACGACTGCGCATCAGCACGGCATTCCGGTGAGGTGCTTCCGTCTCTGATAGGTCCACGTATCCCGGCATCGACATTCGGTTTTGAGCTTCTCGTAGCACAAAGCATTGTGTAGGGAAGAAGTACCTGATGAAATGGTTATGATATTGGAAAGGCCAGCCAATGATGCCTTTCAAGGTATGGGTATCTTCGCCACAAATAAGCGCCAGAGCCGCGCCAAGCACAGCGCCAAGACTCTCTCCATGCTCCTACTCCTCCACCCGCTGGCCGGTCATGCGCAGACGGTAGATACACGTAGACAGCCCACCCCAATTCTCCGTGATCCTAATGGTAAACTTCTTCGAGGGCACACCCGCATCCTCCAAGTTCACAAACATCGGAATGCTCTGCACATTGCTGAGCGTGTGGATGTCGTATCTGCCCGCTCCAATAGCGACGTGCGCGCTGCTGGGACCCTTCTTGCGTAGCTCAACATCACCCTCCCTCCAGCTATCCTTCGCATTGTCAATCTTCTTCTTAGCCTGCTTAGCAGTCATATTGCTTGGAACCTGCCAGATCTCGACGATGTAGGGCGCAGAGGAGATGTTAAGCGTGCCCTGCGACGGAATATGCTCGATAACGAGGCGAGAAGCGTAGATAGCGTGCGGCAGCATGACCGTGATCTGGGCCTTACCGAGGTCAGTCGATGGAGACGCGCACCAGCAATCCGAAGCTTCTTCCCAGCGCTGCAGAGCGACAACGGGTGGATGTGGTCTTGTGCCGACTTGGTACCACTTCGCCTGCGGCTTGACCCAGGTCTTGGAGGTCTGGAAGACGTCGATGCGGGCGCCCAGGCCGGTGGCGAAGAAGTTGACTTCACGCCTGGCTTCTTCGGCGTTGCGCCAGGAGTTAGCGATGGCGAGGGTTGCGAGTTCGTGCTGTGAGAAGATGAGATCGCGCGCGCGCGGGAGAGCTTCCTTCACTGCTTGCTCGGCTTGAGTGGCCGCGAAGATCTTGAACCTACGCATCTCTTCGCTAAAGTGCTCGGAGAACCAAGCCTTGTTCTCCGCCATAGCTTGAGTGAATTCTTGCCTAGAGACCACGAGCTTGCTCCCAGCTAGGTCGTCGATTTTGCTAGCTACTTCAGCATCCCATAGATGCTGGAGATTGTGCTCATTGGCTTTGAGAAATGCGTTCCACATCGGTGCCGAGTCCGGACTAGCGAGGACTTCCAGGAGGGCAGACCAGTAGCCTTGGGGGATCGTGAGCTTCCCATCGACTTGGGTAACAGCCAATTGGGTCGGAAGGAGGTTCTCTAGCAGACGAAGCGTCTCATCGTGCTCGAAGACGGTCTTTTCCAGCGAAGTTACCCTGCCTTCCAAGCGATCGTACCTGTCGCTGAGCACTTGCAGCATCCCGAATTGCGCCATGTTGATTCGGTCCTGCGTCAGGTTGTTCACATGGATGCGGTCGGCTAAGAGCTCCTGGGAACGGAAATGAAGCCAAAGTTTCTCAAGCTCGCCTGGAGGAAGGCTGTATGGATGGATCTCCAGTTCCCGATGCACTGCATAGAGAATACGGTCCCCTATCGGAAACCAGCGCATTGGGATGACGAGACTGTAGACGAGAACGTAGCCAGCGAACAAGAGGAAAGCGGAAAAGGCGAGCAGCCAGAGGGCGATGCGCGTGAGCGGCCAGAGTTTCTTTTCCAAATCCCCAAGCGCTTGCTCGAAGTAACGGGGCAACGCGTGCGCCGTCACCTCCAGGTCGCTCGGTGGTGGTGGGATTGGTACGCGCTCGTACTCAGCCCTGGCGTCAATGGCAGTGCTATTGCGCGCCATCTCCGTTGCATGGTCGCCGCCAGAGGGTGCTGTGTTGCCAATGACGTCCTCAACGGCCGTATCTGCCGCTGGGAGGTGGTTGTGGGCTCTGGCGTTCTGTAGGACGGACGTCAGATCCGTGCCTTCTGTCGCTACCTGGCCACGGAGGATGGCTTTTCCGGAGGAGCCGTATGCGAAGCTTTGGCCTACCGTGAGTGACGGGACTGCTGTGCCTCTAGGCCTTGGGCCAGAAGGGTTGGTGCCGGCCGGCTGCGGTGTGTTTTGCCTCGAAGCACGAGCGCGGGTGACTGGACCTGGTGTCTGAGACACGCGTGGCGGCATATTGCTGCGGTGCGGAGAGGGTCTGAATGGTGCCAATAATGAAGCACCTAATTGACGTTGATGATGGTATAGAAGCTGAGCGTGTCTTGATGTCCAAGTTCAAGTCCAAGTTCAAGTTCAAGTTCAAGTTCGGGTTCAAGTGGAAGGTAGTTTCGTGGCCGGTCAATGCATTCACAATAGGTTCACGCCGCGTGCTATTGTCGTTTCCTCCTCGAGTTCACCCACCGCGCAATTTCACCCTTCGCCAAGCGTCTGCGCATTACTGCCGGGCTCTGTGAAGTTTGCTTGTGCTGATGTAAGCCCGTGAAGGGGGCAAACTTCACATTCACATTCCACTGTTTGCGGACATTGTTGATGCAGTGATGTCGCGCGCCGGTGCGATCCCGCTAATGCATCCCGCCTCCGAGCCGCAGCGAGCCTCCCGTGAGCGCGGAGTACGACCTCAATGCCGACTGTGCATTACAAACCTTCCGTGATTTGTAGCGCGGTGTATAAGACGCACAAATGATGAAAACGCTTGCGTTGATGGAAGTAGAGCAGGCGTATAGGCTGCGGTTGTATGCGGCCGTCTTAGCAACGGGATGTGGAGGGTTTGATGTCTCAGCCTTACAGCTAGACCGCCAAGAGAACGTGGACGGAACGAACCAGCATGCCTGCTTGAAGTTAGCTACACCTTGTACCTGCATACACAGCGGATCACACCGGCCCACTTCGTCCCTCCACCGCGGCAGTCCTCAAGTTGCACTTTGTGTGACTGTGGGAGCCATCAATATATATACTGATCGTGTTCGCTCCACTGACAAGGCGAGGAAAAAGAAAGGTTTGGTTAGCACTATCAACAAACAGAAGAGCCATGGCGAAAGGCTCTGTCTTAGTAACCGGGTAGGTGCAGTGTCTCACATGTAGGCTGCCGTTAGCCTCCGCGGTCGACGAAGCAATCCGAGACAGCGTTGACCGCTACCATTCCCTTCGAGAGCGAACCATACTGATAAGTCCGCAGCGGCACTGGGTACATCGGGTCCTTCACCGCCCTTGCTCTACTCGAGGCCGACTACGATGTCGTCATTCTCGACAACCTCTACAACTCCAGCGCTGAAGTGATACGGCGGATAGAGCTCATCAGTGGCAAGCGGCCTGACTACTACCAATGCGACATCACCGACGAGAAGAAGCTTGACGAAGTTTTCGACAAGCACCCCAAGATCGACAATGTTATTCACTTTGCTGCGCTGAAGGTAGGCTAGACCGCCACATACCGTTAACTACGACATGTACTGAGACTGTCTGCAGGCTGTCGGCGAGTCTGGCGAGATACCGTTGGAGTACTACCGTGTCAACGTCTACGGCACGCTATGCCTGCTCAAGTCCATGCAGCGGCACAATGTGACCAACATCGTCTTCTCGTCTTCAGCCACAGTCTACGGAGATGCAACCCGCTTCGAGAACATGATACCAATACCCGAAGAGTGCCCGCTAGGACCCACGAACCCCTACGGCAACACCAAGTTCGCAGTCGAGACCATGATCACTGACCACATCAATGCCGAGCGCACCAACGCCAAGAAGGCAGGCAAGAGTGGCGAAGCCTTCAATGCCGCGCTACTCCGCTACTTCAACCCTGCTGGAAGCCATCCAAGTGGTATTATGGGCGAGGATCCGCAAGGTGTGCCGTACAACCTCCTCCCGCTGCTAGCTCAGGTTGCCGTAGGCAAGCGGCCGAAACTGCTCGTCTTCGGCGACGACTATGCTTCGAAGGATGGAACGGCCATCCGTGACTACATCCACATCCTCGATCTCGCACGCGGCCACACTGTCGCTCTCGACCATCTCCGCACCCACCATCCCGGCGTGCGGGCATGGAACCTCGGTACGGGTAAAGGTAGCACCGTCTTCGACATGATCAAGGCATTCTCCGCCGCGGTAGGCCGCGACCTGCCATACGAGGTTGTCGGCAGGCGTGCAGGCGATGTGCTTGATCTGACAGCGAACCCAAGTCGAGCGAACAAGGAGCTCGGCTGGAAAGCTGAGCATACGCTTGAGGAGGCTTGTGCGGATCTGTGGCGTTGGACGGAGAATAACCCGCAAGGCTATAGGCAGGAGCCGCCGAAGGAGTTTCTGGAGAAGCTGCAGGCGTCGTCGGGCGCCAAGCAGAATGGGACGAAGTAGTGGCGAGGCTTCTATTTCACGGGTTCGACGAGATCTGCCGGTGGTGAACCGAAGGCGCCTCGATAGTATTGAGCGAGCAACGCACAGCAAGCATTGATAGATCGTCGAAAAACTACGCTGCATTACACAGTTTCTGGCAGCCAATGCCGTCCATAAGTGCTCTTCCACCTTCACGTCATTTGGCTTCCCAAAGCGGTAGTCACGCTTGTCTTGGCGTATAGTGGGGTTGGCCCTCTCTCATACACTTCCGCTTCCTCGTATGTTAATTCATCGTTTAGCCTCACTCTACTACACGCCCTTCTCGCCGCTGTCACTGTGTACGGGTGCTTCTTCGATAGCGCTAGCACGACTGCTGAGCCGACCAAGATGGCGTCCACGGAGCAGGTGAAGATCGATCCTCATGGCACCTCAGTGGCGCCGGCAGCCACGAAACCAAAGCACTTCATACCGCTGGGTGAGTGTCCACCCTTCACTTGATAGGAAGCAATCCCAACTCAGGCACAACCATTGCAGAGAACAACCCCGAAGTAATGAGCACCCTCCTCCACAAGCTCGGCCTCTCCCCAACCCTCCAATTCCACGACGTCTTTAGCATCGACGACCCAGACCTCCTCGCCTTCGTCCCTCGACCAGCCTACGCGCTCCTCCTCGTCTTTCCCGTAAGCGACACATACGAGAAGTTCCGACACGCTGAGGATAAAGATCTGCCGGAGTACGAGGGCAGTGGGGCAGGAGAGAAGGTGGTGTGGTATAAGCAGACGATACGGAATGCGTGTGGGCTAATGGGATTGCTGCATGGTGTCTCGAATGGGCCCGCGCGAGCATTTGTGCAAGGTGGCAGTCAGCTGGATAAATTAATCGAAGAGGCTGTACCGCTCAAACCTCGTCAACGAGCAGAGTTGGTAGAGCACTCGGACGCATTGGAGTCTGCGCACGCTGAAGCAGCGGTGATTGGGGATACGGCTGCACCTGCCGCGGAAGATGATGTGGACTTGCATTATGTGTGTTTTGTTAAGAGTGAGAAGGATGGGCATTTGTATGAGATGGATGGGAGGAGGAAGGGGCCGCTAGATCGCGGCACACTGGATGCGGAGGAGGATGTGTTGAGTGAGACGGCTTTGAATAAGGGTGTAAGGGCGTTCTTGAAGAGGGAGGAGGAGGCGGGTGGTGGGGAGTTGAGGTTCAGTCTTATTGTGCTTGCGCAATCGTTGGATTAGAGCGTGAGCATGGCCGATCGCTTGTTGAGTAAACACTAAGAGTTGCGAATGAGGCTGGAGGGCATGCTTTACGACTATGCGCCACTGAAGCTACGAGCGCATACATCAAGCGCATAATGCTTAGGGTTGGCTGGAGCTCTCATTGGCCCGTCCTACGCATTGAAAACGACCCGGCAAAAGCTTTGTGAAGGATAAAGCCCTGGTTGGAGCCTGCGGGATCATGATACCGAGTTGCCACATTCCAGTGGGCGGCTGTTGCTTGCGACGCACCTGCATACCAGACGACGGACCCTCGGTCGAGGCGCCGAAGAAGCCTGGCCATACCAGTAACTAGCTAACATGAAGTTTGGTCTCCATCGAGACCGGAGACATGCTTTGGGAGCAGTGTGAAGGGCACTGTTCCCGAAGCGGCTGTACCGAGTTCGAAGTCCTCAGTGCGCGAAGACATCGTCACCTATCCACCCACCCTGCTAGACACGTACTTAAGCGGGTTTGGACACTCCAAAACGGCCCTGCACAATGCCGTCAATACCTAGCACGGTCGCAGATCTGGCGGTCGCGATTGCAAACAGCACCCGAAACAGCTCGCATGTCACAATCACTCCTGGCCCTGAAACGCTTCACCTTCAACTCGCGCGTCACGCGAGTCCTGGCATTGATAACGCAAACTCAGTCAACACGTCCCTCATCCTGGCTTCCCATGAGCGACATGAGATCCAGCTCATGGCCACCATCACCTCCAGCGTGAGCGTCTTAGCGGCACTCTGCGCGTTGTACTGGTTTTACATGATGAGACGCAACTTCCGGCGTGACCTTGTTCTGATGCTGATTTGTGCGGACTTCTGGAAGAGCTTGTGGTATCTAATATACACTTCCAATGCATTAGCGCATGGCCAGGCCATCTCTGGGTCGAAGCTGTGTCAGGCGAGTGGGTATCTGTTGCAGATTGGCATAGAGTCTTGCGGTATATTACCACTCGCTCTTTGATCCTCGATTCTTGACTACTGCTAACAGCATTTTCCTCAGACGTCGCTATCCTGCTTATGAGCTTGCACTTGTCCTTGCAGATCTTCCCACCGAAGGACTCATTTCTCGGCCACGATGGGCTCTATCGAATCCGGTATCTCGTCGTCGTGGCTTGGATCATCATACCGAACATCAGCGCATCGCTAGCCTTCGTCAACCCTAGGCTGCCTTACGTGGCGACAGGCGCATTCTGCTATCTGCCGATCCGACCATACTGGTACCGGATTGCATTGTCATGGGCGCCAAGGTACTTGATATGGCTGTACATCATGTTTGTAGCCATTCGCATCTACCGCCATGTCGGTAAGGAGTTTGAGGTCTTCGGCGCTGAGAAGGACCGCAGCAGTAGCGTGGAAATGCCCGGCAGAAGCGCCGTAGCTACAGTTATGGCAACTCAAGCTCTCGCTACAATCAAGCTCTCGCCCACGCCTCCTACTTTCGACGCGGATCTCGAGAAGCAGGTGTCTAATGAGGAAGACGTAGCGCCCGATGATACTCATGTTGTTGCCTCGGAAAGCACGTCGTTCAAGGTGGCTCGTTCGCATCGCTCTGACTCTACGCCTTCTCTGGCTTATCCTTCCAGCCGCCGACCGTCAGGTCCGAACTGGTCGACCGCGTTCGGCTTCCCTGTGGAGCCCCTGACTGGACCTGTGTCGACGAAAAGCGCATCTAACTCTCGAAGAGGCAGTCGGCAGATAGCAGCGGGTGTCATGGCCGAGGACTTTGCGCCAGCTTCCACCCCCGACCTTACTCGCCACCGCGGCTCCATCGTCACACTCAGCAGCATGCGATCACACACCCAGTCCATCGACAGCGCACATGTTCTGCCACCCATTAAAGAGGACAAACGAACCTCCGCCTCGACAGAAGGTTCAATAACCGTAGCCCAGAACGCCGCCACATCACCGGTCGATGTCCGTCGTCGCGCCATCCAACGCCAACTCCGCCTCCTCTTCATCTACCCCGTCATCTACATCATCCTTTGGACCGTGCCGTTCATATTTCACTGCTTCGACTACAGCGACCACTACGCCCAACATCCCATATTTCAACTCTCCGCTGTCAACACCTTCTGCCAATGCTTTCTAGGCTTCGCCGATGTTTGCGTCTTCTGCTGGCGTGAGAAGCCTTGGCGGCATGTGCCAGGCAGTGATGGGACGTTTCTGGGTAGTCTCTGCTTCTGGCGGTTTTGCTTCCAAGAGGAGTGGGTGCGGAGGGAGAGCAAGGCGCCGCAAGCCGCTGCATCGAGCGACCAAAAGGCAGGAATCGAGAACGCTGGGCCCGCTCAGTCACAGACTGGGCTGATTGGCGCTATCAAGCGCTTCTCGCTGAGCTTTACCTACTCACCACGGTCGTTGGAAGCTTCGAACGCGTCAGCTGCGCCAAGTAGTGCTGGGCCGCCGGGATCGATCGTGCACCGAAGAACGCGGAGTGGAGGGTCAGACCGTAAGCAGATGGAGATTGAGCATGCGCATCGCCGGTTAGCGTTGGAGAGAAAAGACTATGAGGCGCAAAGGCGGAGTCTGAACGAGCGGCGAGCGAGCGTGATCAGTATGCAGCAGTCGGCGGAGGGCGGGAAGGAGTGGTGGGAGCGACATCATCAAGATGCCCTGCGAGAGGATGTTGAGCCGAAGGATGGTGGGCAGAGCGGTGGGGGGAGAGTGTAGACGGTGCAATGGAGCAGATATTTTTGGTAACCTGTTCACCTGCTCCACTCATAACGACCACCTCATCGGCTCACTCGGCCATTTATTCGTAAACGACTGCCTTGACATCGCACGAGCCGTAGCAAAAGAAGTCGAACGCGGAGAGGATCGAACTCCCGACCTCCTGGGCCCCGTTTTACGAGCTTCGTGCTTTATCATCCCTAGCGTGCCGCGCGGTCACCTACGGATTGATAAACCATCGGAAATGAGCCAAGTATCATAGCCAACTAGACCACGCATTCCTTGAATGGGCACCGTCGTGGTGACAATATACATATAGGGAGCGCTTCTTTACGCCGACGTAATCCCGAGCGCTTTAGGCAGCAGTAGACCAGGTGGCGTTATCCTGGACCAATAGCGGTCTCCGAATGAGGCAGCCACGTATGCAAAGGACCGGACACATGTGGTTGAGGTTTCATGTCAGTGATTGTTCACAGGAAAACATTACCCTCGTAGTAGAGCAGAAAGTTGAAAACCTGTCGTACCTGCGCCTAGGCCACAAGGTTTGAAAGACGCGGCGTCAATTGTGCACACCACCACCTGTACTCGCTTCCGCAGCAGATGTCGAACCTGCTGCAGACAGGCGTCATACCCCTAGACTACGCGTCCTGTGTTCATGATGAGCTTTACAGCCGAGCGTTATAGACACAGTAGCTTTAGCTTACCAAAGACAGACCATATTCGACGGTGGCATGTAAGGCGGTGGAATCATAGGCCTTGTAGGTGACTCAACGTATGTGGGTCAATGCCGACAGTCCTTTGCCGCCTTTACGCATATTGCTTACCCGGGGCCAAACACAGCCGAGACGGCGAGGTGTGAAGCTTCTGAGCCGTAGTCAGAGGGACAGCGGTCGATTTGACCAGAGGAGATGGGCGGCTTATCGAAACAGTTCTACGTTTCGTGCTCGTTGCCGGTAGCCGGCACCCTCTGCTTTGTCTTACGTTCAAGCTCGACACTGTCGTGAAGGTTCGCATCATCCGCACCCGCAAGTGGAGCGTCAGGTTCGTCTCGAAAAGGCTCCGAGGCTGCACCAGCTGCGACCGCAGGCTCACTACCCGCGGTTCCGGCAGCACCGACTTCTTTACCCTCCTCGCGGCGCCCTATAATCACAGAGCCTGCCACTAGAAGACTTGCACCTAGCCACCAGAGCGCTGAGGTGGCGTTAGCAGAGCTTCCCTCGCAGGTTGAAAGTGGAGCAATGCTTACCAGGCAGTGATTCGCGGAAGATGGCGAGACCAAGCACCGCCGTAAGCATGAAGTTCGCACTCGTGTTGATCACGCTGACCCGCACGGTGGATGTTGCGAGGGTTAGAGCACGGGTGAAGAGGCCCCACATTACGGCGTTGAAGGCGAGGTTCATGGAGAAGAAGAACTGGGACATGCGATCAGTCCAAGCAGTCTACGTACTAATCACCTATGATGCATTGTCATACCGCTCTTATTACGAACTCAGCAATACGACTCAGGCCTGCGCTCAAGCCAAACGCTTGCGAGACGCTTTCCGCCCATTGTGAGGTGAGTTCGGTAGTGGTAAGTTTGGCGAATACGCCGTTGAGGGCTGCGCAGCCGCCGGAAGCAATGGCGTACAAGAGCCATTGCGGTTGTGCATTAGACATGATGGGCTTGTGCTGTCAGAATGGCGGGCAAAACAAGCTGTGACTGACAGGTTCGAGGCAACGTCTGAGGTGAGGTTGACGGGAGGCTTGGCACGCTTGGGCTTAACACTTAGTGGAGATAGTTTTATTGGGAGATGTATTGGAGCGTGCAATAGCAGCTCTATTGAGAACATATCTGTGCTAACTCGACCTACAAGGCCACATATTCGTTCGTTGCAGTTTTGGGTATCGTCCGGCCATAACGCCTCCGTTGGGTGAAACAAATATGCCACTATTTCCACCGTACGCCACCCATAGATGCGTTGATAGCCAAAGCCGTCCCGAGAGCCTCTTTCGATTTCTGTGATGGATTTGCCACATATTTATGCGACTTGGATTTGGCACGGGTTGCGCCTTCGTGGACCAGACCTTGGCACCACACTCATGCAGCCTTTTCCTTTGACTGACAAGCCACAATCTTCACACGCTCCGCCCTCTCCGTTGACGAGTTATCCATCTTGAAGTTGACATCCTTGATGATGAATGTCCACACCTCGTCACAGAACCGGTAGGTATCAAGGTGGCCCTGCTCGGCTCGTCGCATCAGCACTCTTCCAAACCTACCAGACTCCCACTATCCTACTGTCACAAAGCGATACAGCATACCTTAAAGTTCAACCTCGCCTTCACCTTCTCGCCTAACACATTCGCAATGCTCTTGTCGAACTGCGCCATGATATGCATAGCCAGTTGAGGCTCGATGCGGCGCGTGCTGATCAGGTCATCGAGAGTGTCTGCCAGCGCCATACCGATGCTGGTCGCCACATAATTGGTCAGCCCTCCTGGTTTCATCATGCAGATTGCACGTATCATTAATGTAAGTGTGAGTGCGAGGCGTACGATGTGCCCCGGTAGAGCTCATAGAAGCTCTGGCTGGGGTTGGCCATCTTTATAGGCTGCACCGACACGGACTCTAGCAAGTCGTGTGGCCGAAGTGAAGAGTTCACATGGACTGACCGCGTCAGTGATGGAGACTGAGTGATGGGAAGAGTAAGACAAGTCAGTAGCAGGCAGTGGCTGAGTCACCCATCGCTGGCGGCGGGAAGAGCCGCATCGCAGCGGAAGTGCCAGAGCATCATCGCCGAGCATCAATGAGGCAACTGTCCACCTTTCCTATCTTCACCACTACCCCACCGATAACACAATGGGAGGACTCACGTACGCCACATATGGCGCCGCCGGCGCTCTCACGGTCGTGGGACTCTGTACGGCACACTCGCGGGAAAAAGCCAGAAAGATAGCGGGCTAACGAGGATGTAGATATGCTTTTCCAGGGCGAAGGAGAAGCATTCAATGTACGTCGTGGACATGGTTCCAGACCCAGCATTAAGATGGTGCACTTATACTGGCGATGCTAGGTCGGCGCATTCCTCGAATCGATATCACCATACGCATGGGCAAGCACGGGCATCGGCTTCTGCATAGGCCTGTCAGTCGTGGGAGCAGCATGGTGCGTCCACCCACCCCTCTTCGCTCCTCCTCCTCCTCCTCCTCCTCCTCCTCCTCCACCACCATATTATCCACTCACACCATACGTGTGTACATAGGGGCATCTTCATAACCGGCACCTCCATCCTCGGCGGCGGCGTGAAAGCGCCCCGAATCCGAACGAAGAACTTGATCTCCATCATCTTCTGCGAAGTCGTCGCCATCTACGGCGTCATCATGAGCATCGTCTTCTCCGCCAAAATCACCGCCATCCCCTCCGACGCGCTGCACAGCGGGACAAACTACTTCACCGGCTATGCGTTGTTTTGGTCCGGGGTGCTGGTGGGGATGTGTAACTTGGTGTGTGGTGTTAGTGTGGGCATCAACGGGAGTAGTGCTGCGTTGGCTGACGCTGCCGACCCGAGTCTGTAAGTGGCGCGACCTTTTGCGAGAGGTGCGTTTGGGCATAAGCTGACGTACGGTATAGGTTCGTGAAGATCCTCGTCATTGAGATCTTCTCTTCCGTACTCGGGCTGTTTGGTTTGATCATCGGGCTGCTACTCAGCAGCAATGCGCCAGACTTCCAGGATCTGTCATCATAGCCAGAAGAAAGTGTCGGAGTGAGAGTTTGACCTTGACGTGAGCGACCTGCACTACCGGCATTGCAAAGCTGTCAAGCGAGCTTTAGCGACCTGGTCCTTTGTATATAGAATATGTATGAGTGCCTACACTTACATCAAACAGCAGGTCTTCAGTATCTCCCCTGGTTTCTATTCAAGGTGTTACGCCATGTTTGTAGGTTTCGTGGGAGTGTGAAAGCATAGGACGGTCCGTGCACCGCACACCTTCCCTCTTCGTCAACCTGTCCTCCTCTCCACATTTCCGCCCCAATCCTGCCGTGCAATGTCAAAGAACCATGGCCAAACTCCGCGCAGCCATTCTGATCATCTCAGAAACCGCCAGCAAAGACCCGGCAACCGACAAAGGCATCCCTACCTTGCAACAAGTCTTCTCCGACAAAGGCGGAGACAGATGGGATGCCACGACAACCAAGATTGTACCCGACAAAAAGGCAGCCATCCAGGGCGCAATCACTGGCTGGTGCGATGGGCAGAACTCCGTCAATCTGATTGTGACAAGCGGTGGGACGGGATTTACGCAGAAGGATGTTACTCCTGAGGTAAGTATCGCTTTCGTTATGAGCTATGTACCATGGTTCAAAGATGATCACGATTGGGCAAAATCGAGTCATGCTGAGTGGCTATTAGGCGGTCTCACCGCTCATACACAAACATGCACCTGGCCTGGTGTAAGCATTGCCATTCGCTTATCCAAGTAAGTCAACCGACTCATCGTTCATCTAGGCATGGCATGCTCGCCGCATCCCTTCAAGTTACGCCATGTAAGTGATCCGGCTCCCAACGCCTCCCCAGCTAGTCTCACTTGGAACTATGACACTGAAGCTTACAACAAAAACAAGTTGCCATGATGGCCCGCCCTGTTGCCGGAGTCAGAAACAAAACCCTCATCCTAACGTTACCCGGCTCGCCTAAAGGTGCCGAGGAGAATCTCGAGGCCGTCCTTCCTATGCTAGCGCACGCGTGTCAGCAGGCTGCTGGGGCGGATTCACGAAGTCTGCACGTGGGTGGTGTGGGGAAGCTGGAGAAGGAGGCTGGTCTCAAGCCCCCAACTCCCACCACCAGTGCCGATTCTGGCGGGTTGCAAGATACTTCCGTGCATGGGCATCACCACCATTCTCATGATCACGACCATAGCCACAGCCATGGTCACGGCGGTCACAGCGCCCCCAAGGCGCATACGAGTCCCTCCGGCCGTGGCCCTCTCTCCAACGACCCAAACGCCGGACCAACGAGACGACACAGGGAGTCGCCTTACCCCATGCTCTCTGTCTCCGACGCCTTAAATCAGATCTACGATCACACTCCTGAGCCGAAAGTTGTCACCTCGCCGCTCAGTGAATCCCTAGTCGGTAGCGTCCTCGCCTCAGACGTCTCAGCGCGAGAGTCTGTGCCTGCGTTTCGAGCCAGTATCGTAGATGGGTACGCTATCGTCGCATCTGATCACGCACTAGTGCCTAGCACAAAGGGTATCTTCCCGGTGACAGCAATCTCGCATGCCGCCGGCTCAGAAGGCGAGACGGACGAGTTAAGAACCGGCGAAGTAGCGCGTATTACAACCGGAGCGCCTCTTCCACCCGGCGCTACCGCTGTAGTAATGGTGGAAGACACGACCCTCCGCTCCATGACCGACGATGGGAAGGAGGAGAAAGACATTGAGATCCACACCGATGCCATCAAGTCCGGCGAGAACGTTCGCGAAGTTGGCTCAGACGTCAAAGCGGGTGAGGTGGTAATGCGAAAAGGCGAAGCCATTACCTCCGTAGGCGGAGAGTTCGGGTTACTGGCTTCTGTCGGCACGCAAGAAGTGAGCGTTTACCGCCGCCCAGTCGTAGGCGTGCTCAGCACAGGCGACGAAATTGCGCCGCACGATCGCCCTGGCGAGCTGAGGAGGGGCGAGGTGAGAGACACCAATCGGCCTACTCTCCTTACTGCGATAAGAGGGAGTGGATTCGAGGCGGTGGATCTGGGTATTGCATCCGACGCTCCTGGTTCCCTCGAGGCAGTCCTACGTGACGCAATGCGCTCTGTTGATGTGATCGTGACGAGTGGAGGCGTCAGCATGGGTGAATTGGATCTTCTCAAGCCCACCATCGAGAGAGCACTTGGCGGCACGATACATTTCGGGCGAGTGAGCATGAAGCCGGGAAAGCCAACCACTTTCGCCACCGTCCCGTTCAAACCATCTTCCTCCGAACCCGGCGAGGGTGGGCGAGAGAAGCGTGTGATCTTCAGTCTACCGGGTAATCCGGCTAGCGCAGTAGTGACGTTCCATCTGTTCGTCCTGCCGGCGTTGCAGAAGATGGCCGGCCAGTCGGAGCCGTGGGGTCTGCCGAAGGTGAAGGTGGTGCTCGGGCAGGATGTGCGCATGGACCCAAAGAGGGCGGAGTACCATCGGGTTGTGGTAACCGCCAAGGCAGATGGGAGGCTGTATGCGGCAAGTACTGGGTTCCAGCGAAGCTCGCGGATCGGGAGCTTCAAAGGTGCCAATGCGCTGCTCTGTCTGCCTGCCAAGGAGGGCTCATTGGCGAAGGGAGAAAGCATTGAGGCGCTGCTTATGGGGAGGTTGCTTAGTGAGCTGTAACAATTACTCGGAGATGCTGCGCTCAGTCATTGTCGTCCTCGTCTCCCAGCGTGCCGGGCTCGTCTGGGTCTTCGATGCCGTTAAACATGCTAATGTCTTCTCTGCTGTCGTCATTCACATCCACAGCCGCTGTGGACGACACTGTAGGAAGAAGCAAAGCTTTGCTCGCACTCTGCGCGCGTCGAATATGGATCCGCGCACGACGGATGGCCTCCTCCTCCGCTTTGCGGATGGTACCAGAGACCCGCACGACTTGCAGAACGCATGGCTGCTCAACCGGTCTGGGCAGGCGTGTAGTGAAGGTCAATGCGGCCCAGACGAGGCGATAGTGTTCCCTCGCTACACGGATGATTGCCGTGCTCGTTGCGGGGGAGAAGTACTTGACTGTCTTTCGTCAGCAGGCTGTTGCAACACCGAAGTAAATCCAGAAGGGAACTGCATTCTTCCTGCTTACTCTGTAAACTTCCCGAGACCTTGCCAGATCCGTAGTCGCCGAACAAATCCGCCACACCGTCACGAATTGTGCGGAGCAAAATCTGAATGGTCAAGCGGTCCGAGCTGGGTTGCCGGAAGTGCACACTGTACGGGACATTTTTGCCGTCAACGGTTGGCTGTGGTCTTAGCTGTGAAGACTTGGGATCTGGATACAAGATATTGACGAGCAGGTAGCGGTGCTTGATGCGGACCATTCCGGCGACGTGTTCATACTGTAGGCTACACGAGGTGTAGCATCTTAGCCCGGGTATCGTCCATGTAAGCCTTCGCTGGGCCTGTCCACTCCCTGTAAGTGTGGGCCTTTTTTGTGTCTAACACAACGTTGGTATCTAATGTTCCATGTTGGTCCTGGTACATGTATCGACCGCGCACTGTGGCGTCACCTGTGGCTGTGCGTCCTTTGTGGCACGCACCGGTTCGAGTCCACTGCACATGCACCTGCAGTCTCCATCTCGTACTGTCATGTTCACAGTCAACGTTAAGCTGTCTTTCATCCACATCGCCCGGGAACGGGACGGTGAGATGACCTCAACCTCGACCTCATGTATCAACATGTACAGCGTTCAGTTCTCACTCGTGTACTGGAGCTCAGCCGGCTGAAAAAGACAGCATCTCGCTAAGCATGCAGCTAGAGGTAAGGTCACCCGTAAGCACCAGAGGTACAGTACACAGTTTTGAGACGGCACGCCTGAACGGATCCTCCTCGAATGTCTCTGACTCCAGCTTCAGGAACGAGTTGACTGCGCAAGCTGCTTCCTTACTGACAGGCTCGTTCCAATCAAAAGCCTCTGCAACATGCCATGGAAGGTGCTGAAACAGACTGTCGGAGATGTCCATAGCGGCTGTATCTCGCGGTACGAGGGTCGCAACCCCATCCCAGGCCAGCAGCGGCTCCAAACTCGCCGCTGAGACCTCAGATTATGCTTTTACGGCTGTCTGCAATGAGCCGAATTATGTTCCGCATTCGTAGTGCTGGCATACAGAATTAGCCTCAGTGGCGTAACCCGGAATACACTACACATCCGATGTTGGTGCATGATCCAGGGTCTTTCAGCTGAGCTGAAAGCACCATAGCGCTAGTGTATGGGCGGCCGCCCATATAAATGGCATCTCAATCTCCCATCCTTGGCCCGCACGCAAGCAAAATATCATCCTCGAAACTGTTGAGATCATTCGCACTCTGAACTCTAGTTACCACTATCAGAATGCCTGAACAGCTCGTTTGGTTCGTGACAGGCTGCTCTTCGGGCTTCGGTCAACAGTTCATCAAGCAAGCCTTGGAGAGGGGTGACAAAGCCATAGCTACAGCCCGTAATGCTGATACTCTGAAGGAGCTCGCCGACCTTGGCGCCGCTACCATGCAACTGGACGTCACCGTACCAATGAGCGAGATCCAGAAGAAAGTGCGAGATGCCATTAAGATCTACGGTCGTATCGATGTCTGCGTCGCGAATGCGGGTTACACCAAAGTAGCTGCTGCCGAAGACTTCGGCAATAACAACGAAGACTTACTCAAAATGATCCAAACGAACACCATTGGCAACTGGAACGTCGTATGCGCTATTGCACCGCATTGGCGAGAGCGCAAGTCAGGCTTCCTCGTATACAACAGCAGCATGGCTGCATGGTGGCACAATACGCCAGGCCTGGGCGGGTACGCTGCCACAAAAGCTGCGCTTGATCGTAAGTTAGCGATTGGTTCCGCCTCCCAACCCTCACACCTACGGCCACTGACTGGCGATGCAGGACTAGTAGAACACTTCCGACTCGAAGCCACTCCTTTTGGCGTCAAAGTCCTTGTAATCCACCCCGGCTACTGTCGAACTGAGATTGCCAACCCGACGAAGCATGACTTATCCGGTACCTTCCAAGACTACGAGGCACTCGGAAACTTCTGGAAAGAGTTCACGCCAAAGCTGCATGGCGGCCAGCCCGGTGATGCGACCAAGGCGGTGCGGTTGATGATTGACGTGGTTCGAGGTGAAGGGGTGGCGGAAGGGAAGGAGGCGCCGCCATTCCTGCCGGTGGGCAGTGATGCATTCGCGGACATCAAAGCGAAGAGTGAGTTGACGATGAAAATTCTTGATGAGTGGGAGAGCGCGATTAAGTCGATCGATGTAGCCAGCTGAACTAGTACTGTAAGCCAAGACGGCTGTGCTCGTCTTACTAGGCTCACAATCTCCATTCCTCAGTCGAGTACACTTACTTCTCGCATTCTAGACGACGAAAGGCGGTTACTCTGGACAATTTACGGTAACATAGCGGACGGATTTGGGAGATCAAACCATCGCCATGCAGAAGCGTGATGAATGCAAGTCCATGGCTTGTCAGAATCTGTACACTTGCTTGTGCTGCAATTCACCTGCATAGCGCGAACCTTCCGCAGTGGTTCGTCACATCAAGATCACCAACATCAGGTCTGCCCGAAGAGCGTGTTTCTAACGAAGCCGATGTTCGTCGAACCGCATCGTCCGTATCTGTGTGCAAGCCGAGCGACCCTGGGCTGAGACGATATTGTGATGAGGAGCAAAGCCCAGCAATTTCACGGACTCAAGGCGCGTTTGTGGTTACTGCTACCCGCTATAAACGACACTGTATGAAGATGCCGACCTACTCGAACAAGCCCCACGGCTGCAACACCCGCGGAGCCTGCCTCCACTCATCCCATCAAAGATCGCCATATGATATCTTCCGCAAACAAAATCGTAACATCATATTCCATAGCACGTTAACAGATAAATCCCATCCAGCGGACAGACCACACCAGGCTCAGCCTTGCCTCGAGTACGGCTTATTCATTGCCGCGATCTCCCTGGCAATGATGGCCCATTCCAGCTCTCGGCGTAAATGTTGGCCGCGTTTCTGGCATTGGAACTCCTCCCACTTGAGAAGCTCATAACTATAGTCTGTCAGCTGAGGTATCAACGCTGATTAGATTGGTTCAAACTCACGAAAAGCGAAGATGTGGTTGGATGATCACATTCAGCCGCCTGGCTCGAACAAAACAGTATGCTCGCGGGAAGGACAGGCCCAGCTCATTCATCACCTCGGCGATGCATATCGTGGCGGACCTTGACACTCCGACTCGGCAATGCACCAATGTCTTGGTGCCCTTCTTGCGTCCGTTCTCTACGACAATGTTAGGAATGGTTTCAAAACGCTTGCATGCTGCGACTCACCGATAAATTGCAAGCATCGCGAGAAGTCCTCCGTCAGAGGGTCAACGCCGTTGTCCTGCACCTTATCCACAAACAGTAGGTTCTCCTGCGGCCATCTCTGGGTATCCTTATCCCAGCTCACAGGCTCCCCGACACTCAGTATCTGGCCGATGCCGAGCTCACGGAGAAGACCCGGGTTGTTGGCATGTCCGAGGTTGCCCAGGTACATGTAGTCCAGGATTCTGCTCGGTAGGCTACCGTCCATCTTCTCCAGCCACTGCGGTACGGGTGGACATAGCTGCTGCACGTCGCCTTGGTGCTTGGGTGAGGCTTGCAGAATGCGCGGTTGCACTGCTCGTAGCAACGCTACGTCCGAGCCATAGGCGAAGAAGTTGCGGCCCTTCTCTCGGTGTAGCTGTATCCACGATTCGTGCACAGGCAAGCACTCTGCATACATGTAGTACGCCAGCGCTAGCAGCGAAGACTCGGTATAGCCGTCCGTGCAGTGGATCAAGATGCGCCGGCCTCTTGACTCCTGTCCTTTAGTGGTTTGCATTATGCTGTCGCCGTCACTGTCCACTTCGACGGTCAACGAAAGCTTGCTGTCCCTCCGCCTACTGGCCGAAGCAGTAGAAGGCAAAGCGTGAGCTTGCTCATACATCCACTCGCACGTCGCAATCAGCCCGTCTACTTCCGCCTGTGACCAGGTTGGGGGCATGATTGCACCTGAACCCGGGAACTCCAGTTGCGGTATGGCACCGTTGGGTAGCTTCGCGGCATCTTTCTGTTGAAGAAGCTCCTCAAGCACCTTGAAGGCTTTTGAATCCGGTACCTGCGCAAGATCGTTCGCCTCAACCATCACGTCGAAGCATGACGGGTCTTGCATAAGCGAAGATCTTTCGCCTTCCAGCGGTAGCGATGGGTCGGGTGTAGGTCCGAGCCAGACATTGTGCGATATTTCACTCGGTGCGGACATGGAGCACATCTCTATGCGCTCACGGTGAAAGAAGTCCATTACCTTGCCAGTGATGCACCCCTCAGAGTCGAGGCTGACGAGATCCGGGAAGTCTGCCTCGACAACCGTGTAGTCATCTAAAACCACGTGAGCATGTTGCGGGATGCACGACGCAACGGAAGATGCGCTTACCAGAAAGGACGAAAGTATTGAACGGCCGCGATCCAAAATGCAAGCCGTCCGTCTTCTTCAACCACGCGGCTTGAGCTCGTGATATCCGCTTCGCTAGTCGCTCGGCCTCATCTCTCGGAGTACCATTATCACAGTACACCACGATATCACTGACTGTAGCCATCTTACAGGCCTGTATCTGGAAGTTCCGCACGCTGAAGCCATCCTTGGGATCCATATCCAAGAAGTCGGCAGCATCTTCGACTCGCTTATCTCGAGCAGCCTGTAGCGGAGCCAATATCTCTTCCGGCGCTATGGCGCCCTTGAGCCTACTGTGCGACAGGTCACCGCCAGCTTTGACGATGGTGATGTGTCTCAGACATCTCGGCGTGCGCCGTAGTGCTTTCTTCCGCGCAATGAAGAAGGCCAGCTGCAGTTGGTTGTCGGCATGAAGACCATGAAGCCATGGGAAGACCTGATGTGCCGCCGGTAAAGGCTGTGTAGCTAAGTGATCCAATGCCTGTGACAGTTTGCTTGCCGTAATGGAGTAGACTGGCGGGTCATTGCTGACTTTGTCGAACCCATTGGGCGGATAGGTCAATGAAGTTGTCTCTACTAGCTGGCTAGGCGAAGGTGGAGAGGCTGGAGGTGTGTCTGGTGTTTGCCGTAGGCCGGGACGAGGCCCTGGTGAGCAGTAAGGGATATGCTTGTGAGGTATCGCTCTCGGCGTTCCAGTCTGAGATGTGTTGATGGAGAGTTGAGAGGCTGCGCGTGGTTCTGCCTGAACAGGTGTGAGCGCAGGCCTCGTTGCGCATACAGTGGCCATCACATGAGGTTTACAGCGTGGGATGGTACGTGGGTCGGGACGGCGTAGACTTTCCAGTACAATCGAGGTCGCGGTTCGAGATGCACAATGGCTATAAGCGGTCGTTGTTGCCCTTTAAACGGCCTTGATACTCGTGGAATGTGTACGTCAGGTAGTTTGTTCCTGCTATTTGGTCGTTTCACATTGCAGATAAGACTCCCTCGAAAGACAAACGCGGCACGCCTGGATTGCAGAGGTAACGTTAGTCGTACAAACAGATCAAACACAGAGAGTATATGCAGCACAGCATCCCCAAGAACGGGGGTGGTTTGCGCAATATCTAGAGGGACGTCCGAATGGCAGCAACCCCACCTGGCACCAAGAAGCGCTATCAGTTCTGTGGCGTGAAGGCGTGCATGACACCAAGCCGAAGTTGGACGCCTGCATGCCGAGCACGCCGCAGGGTGGTAAGAGATTGGCAGGCAGTACGGCGATCAGTAGTTCCACTTTAGAATGCTGGAATCGAGAGCGATAGAGCTTCAGTGAATTGTCTTTTGGGCTGTGCGTGGTCGCGGCGAAGTCAAGTCGAGAGTTTTAAAAAGCGATAGGATCTTAGCGTTCTCCAAGAACTGCATGTGTGGTAGAGCAGCGCCGTTGGCAACAAGCGGCAGAGACATCGCGGAGAAGGGAGGCCGTGCGACCGCGGCAGCAACGAACGCTGTGGGAGTCTGACAGCTATTTGCGCGAACCTATCGGCGATGCGACTCTGAGATGCTGTACAGCTCAACCAATCCTTGTCGTTCCTCTGCATATTTCATGCATTGCTCTATTGAACGATCCCTCTGCTCGCCTCAAAAGTTCAGTGGGAAGACTCCCGCGTGCGTTCAATGCGGAGAACGGCTCGGTCGCAATCATTCCGTCTTGCCCTGCGACTCGGCGACCATGCAAAGTGATGTCGGAATCTAGCCCCACCTCAGCCATGAGGGACGGACTCCACAGCAGCTCAACGGCAGGTGCGGGTCTCTGTGGGAGTCTGGAGCCGGCGGGAACCATTCGCAAGCGTGCTGCGAACTAACGGGTCTTCCCACCGCCGAGTCGCTTGGCTGGCGCATTGCGATCACAAAGGTACCGCTATACAAGACCTCAAGCATCAACATGCCTGACAGACATTCCTTCCTCGCCTCCCTCATGACAGCTCAGCGTATACCGTGTGTAACTGTGAAGTGACTGCGATAGACTTCGCCTTCTCCATGAGCTCGTTCGCCAGGCGTTCCAGATAGAACCCGCTCACATCGGCTGGCAGACTTTCGAACGCCTTCACGATCTTGGCAATGTCTTTGCGGCCGCGCTCGTATGCTGCGAGATCGCGGTTCGCGTAGACGTCTCTGCCTGCTGCATACGAGTTCTGCTCGAGGTTGCGGAAGAAGATGTTGACGGCGACGCTAACGCCTTGTGTGGGCGCTGCGGTATGGACCCACAGAGGTGGTATGAACAGGATATCGCCGGGCTCAAGTATGGCTTCGAAGGGATGTGTGTTCACGAGCGTCCGTCGTAATGAGGGATGTATGTTGAAGACGTCCAGAGATGAGCTCGACGAGCCCGGAGCGAACCCAAGACTTCCGACGTCCGTAGGCGGGTACAGCATAAGGCGCTTTCTACCACGCACTTGGCAAAGTACATTGGCCATCACATCGTAGTGCAGCCACATGGTGACCGGTCCGGAGATCCTCAACGGCGAGCTGTGCAGGTTCTCGACCACGTAGATCAGCTCGCCCGGCAGCTCAAAGTCCGCCGCAATCTCCGGATAGTCGTCGGCGAGGTTCGTCGGTTGCTCGCTCGGTGCGCCCTTCGACAAGCTGCGCAGGTAGAGCTTCTCTCCTCTCTCGCAAGCATCGACAAAGGCGCCAAAGCCTTGAGTGATGTAGCTGAAGTTCCTCTTCTCGAAGTCCATCTTCTCACTGGACGTTGTGTGCACTACGACCTTGCGCTCCGGTCCAATTGCTTCCTTGAGGTAGCTGGTGCTCCACATGGTGGCGCATGGGCCTATGTCGCCATCGCAGAACACAAGTGGTTTGCCGTCGTTCACGCACTGTTCAAAGTCAACGCCGCCCATTGTAAGGCTTAATCGCGGGACTTTGATCGGATCGGGCATTCTCAGGTCTGGCGAGACACTGTGTCCGTTAGCCATTTGCTGTTGCTGCTCGCCCTGCTTTACCGTTTCGTTCACAATGTCTTGATGTGAGCTGTCCGGCCTCTGAGTGGTTAGTAGATGCCAGCCAATGCGCAAAGAGGCGCTCGGGTCGTCTGTGAGGATCGCAGGCTTGTTCCAGTATGTGCCGAAGGAGAAGCAGTTTGCTCCGCCGCCTAGTACTATTAGTCCACCATCAACGTCGGTAATGTTGACGCCGCAGAAGAGCGGCCGCTTGCCCTGTACAGGATGCGTTCGTAATGTCTTCATGTTCAAAATTTCGTCCTGGCTCGTGAGCAGCCGTCCACCACAGATGCCGCCGATCATTAGAATGCCTCTGTTAGTGCGTACAAGTGACGCACCGAAGCGAGCAAGGATACCCGCGTTCTGCCGTAGTACAGCAGAGGCTCGTGCAGTGACATTTCGGCAATGAAGGCTCATATCACTTTCCAAGCTCCAATGCCAGAAGTCACCCAGTACACGTCCAGCGCTAGTCATACCACCCACGAGCACACCAGACACACCTTCTCGGTGATCTGTAATCATGCAAGCGCCGAAGCGCGCAGGTGGCGGATCGCCAGCTACGTGTATTGTTCGCCAACCAGCATCGCCCATCCAGAGTAGCCACTCGTCGAGAACGTGGCCGTCGCTCGTTTTGCCGCCGAAGATCAACACAGTGTGTGCTGGCCGGGGCTCAGTCGGTAGACGCAGGGGTACAGCTACATGTCTGTACCGTCCTTCAGGTAGACTTTGTGCTCTCCGCCACATGCCGTCCTGCCGCAGCCAGCATTCTGCGGTTGCCTTGTCCGGCGAAGTTCTGCCTCCGGCCATCAAACAGTTAGATGTGCTCCCTAGCCTGGTCACAGTGTGGCACATGATGCCGGTCCGCATTGGCGGACCTGTAATTGGCAAGATGTCTTCCGTCCTTGAGTACGTATCGCAGTCTGTTAGTCGTTCCTGCGTGCCTATGCCAGCCAGCAAGCCTACTGCCTCTCCTTCCGAAATCTCTGATGTGGCCGGTACCAACGCAGCATACCGTCTTGCTACGCTGTTGCCTGGCAATTCTGGCGCTTGCAACGGATGCTCCTGCGGAACGTCCGGCACTGGTGAGTCGCCATTGCTGGCTGGACTCGAAACTAGAGAGACGCGGGAAGTGCTGCCGGCTAGCGATTGCCGGTAAGGGCGGTATGACCAGTCTTGGTCTCCTTTCCGCTCAGCTAGCAGCAGGAAGTAATGTGAAGCGAACAACGCTAGCTCCTCCCATTCGTCGAATGGCTCTACCTTGTCGAGCGCTCGCCGTTGCTCGGGCGTCAAGAACGTAGGATCAGACCACAGCTCCCATAACGATCGGATGTCGATTCCAGCATCAGGCCAGCCGGCGTCGGCAAACCGTTGCTTCATTTCAGCCATGGTGCCAATGGCAGTCAGTGGCGTACGCAGCTTCTCAAAGTGTGCTAACATCGTTTGCGCGAACGGGTGCTCCTCCCCATCCGGTAGATGTTGCTCAAGCAAGCAGAATCGTACATCCGGAAGGCTGGCGGCCCATTCAATGACATGTTGCGAGCCTTCCTTCTCCATGTAGGCGATTGACACCTCAGCGACGAATAGGACGGCGCATGATGTATCTTCGATGCGCAAGTGATCTTGTAGCGTATTTCGAAGCGCATCGAGGTTGTACAGATCGTAACCGATAGCCACGTACGGATCGCTTGACGCGAGAAGCCCAGACTCACTGTTAGTCTTTGTCAGTTTGGGTAAAAGGACCTTGAGCGCCTCGGTCTTGTCGATTATGCCTAATTTGTTCTGCATAAGCACCGGGTAGTCCACATCCACGAAGGTGGTGTTCACGCAGAGCTCGGGATGTTTGCCAAGATAAAGCCAAGGTAGTGGATCACTATTGCACATTAGCAGGCGTGCCTTCCCAATTCGTCAAACACCAAGCACATACTAGCCGCAGCCAAGGTTGATGACTACTTTTCGTTTCGCAGTACGCTCAGCTAAGAAGCGGGTAACCGTATGGTCGACTGCTCTCATCCGCAGCCAATAGCCTCTGTTGATCAGCGGCGATCGCCGCTTGAACTTGCTAACAAAATGTCGGAAATACTCAGGCTCGCCTTGGTAGTAAAGCTTCTCCACGGACCGCTTCGACACGATACTGCTATTATTCGTGTCCATGATGTATTCGTCGCGCTTAACTTTCTGCGGGTCAGTAATCGTGGCTTCTTTCGTTTTCGGTGGCGCGGCCGCCGCCGCCATCGTTGTGTTGTGTTGGAAGACTTGGACGGCATCTTCCTTAAGCATCTTGTCCTCTGGCTGGTCATGGGGAGGGCGCGAAAATGACACGCGGGGACTTTCGTCCTCACCACTCTCCGACGTCGCCATTGCGAATTGTTTTTGACTTTCCAGGTGCCGGATCAGGGGCGCCGAAGTCCAAACATTAAATGGTGGCGCGCCGTATGCCGAGCCTGGTAATATGTACAGATGGCCAGGTCGGTGAGGCGGCGGTCGGAGCAATAGGAAGGCCTCCTATACGACGCTGAGGTGTGAGGATGCGAACATTGTGCGCACACCGCGCTGGAGCTGCTCGATCCTGCCAGCGGATAAGCCTCGTTTTACGCCTTGACCGGTGCCAAAAATACTCAAAGTTGGTGTGTCGGCTAAGGAGCTTTTGACAACACCGATCTCATCCGGAACGGCTCGTAAGAGGCCATAGGTGGGGCCATATCTGCCCTGCCTATATTGACTGTATAAACTTCATAGGACAAGAAGAAGATGCTATGAATTCAATGCAGATACTGAGCGCAATGTACTAGGACGACCAGGAACACCTGCAACACCGTTGGCTAGAGGTTGAAGAATGATGGAGGGTATGCTAAGAAGATCCGGCCCTTAATTATCTCAGATCTCACAGACATGGCGGGTCTGAACTATGTGAGCTTCAACCAAGATCACAGCCTGCTGGCTGTTGCGACCACGCGAGGACTGCGCATCTACGGCACCGATCCCTTCGAGCTGGCCACATACTCCAGCGATGATGACATCTCTTTGGTCGAGCAACTCTTCTCCACCTCGCTGGTAGCCATGGTCACCACTTCCCCAAGGCTGCTTCGCATCGTCAACACCAAGCGGCACTCAACCATATGCGAAATGAGCTTCCACGATACGGTGGTGGCAGTGAGGATGAACCGCAAGCGTTTGGTAGCGGTGACCGGCGATGCGGCCTTCTTCTACGACATCAGCACCATGTACCACGTCCACACCCAAGAAACTCCCATAAACCCCACGGGTATATGCGCCATGTCCACGAACGCGGAACGCAACTACCTCGCTCTCCCACACCCTCAGAAAGGTTCATCAGGTCAACATCAGCAACCCGCGCACGTCCCACAAACACCGAAGAAGCGAGAGCCGATGAGTGGAGACGTGCTACTGTACGATCTGAATAACCAGGAAGAGGTCACGGTCATACAAGCACATCAAACACCACTGTCCTACATCGCGATGAACGAGGGCGGCACACTACTCGCAACTGCGTCCGAGAAAGGGACCGTCATCCGAGTCTTCACTGTTCCGGACGGAAAGAAGCTGTACCAATTCCGCCGGGGTAGCATGCCGACCCGCATCTACTGCATGACCTTCAACGCGACCTCGACCCTCCTCTGCGTGTCATCCGCGACAGAAACCGTGCACATCTTCAAGCTCGCACCACCAAGCGCGAGCCACGCCGGCAACGCAAATGGGAACAGTGCGCTCCCCGCCTCTCCACCGTCTTCACCACGCAAGTCGAGCTTCGGCGGCTGGTCATCAGGACGTGAACGCAGCGTCAGCCCGTCGACCTCCGAGGACCCGAGCGAGAGCGCTGCCTTCGACCGTGACCCGCTCGCTGCGCCTGCTGCCAAAACGCCGCGGCAGCCAGGCTTCATGTCGTTTGTCCGCCGCACCTCACAGAACGTCTCCACGGGCCTTGTCACGCGCGCGGCCGGCTACCTGCCCAGCTCCGTGACAGAAATGTGGGAGCCGCAGCGGGACTTTGCGTGGGTGCGGGTGCCGCGCAGTGTTAATGGCGCGGCGGTGCGGAGTGTGGTGGCAATGGCGAACAATGTGCCCCATGTTATGGTTGCCACGAATGAAGGAGACTTTTATGTTTACACGATAGATCTGGAGAAAGGTGGGGAGGGCACGCTGATCAAACGATATGAGTATGCCAATACACCGAAGCACGCGCTGTCGTGGTGTCTGCTAACGTGCTTATAGTGAGATACACGGCCTAAAGCATCGACGAGGTCACGATGCTGACGATTGATGGACGATTGCGACAGGTTGAGAATGTTTTCGTTGCAGCGTTCAAGCGGGAACGGGAGGTTGTTTCACCTCCTCGAGCCATCTTGCTCTACTAGTCTCTCATGATAAAGCTATGCTTTTGTAGCTGCCCGCAGCTGTGTTGGGTATCCGTGCCAGGTGCGCCGGAAGATGCAACGCTACTCTCGCAGCACGAACAGCTTACCAGTCCTTCTTCACGTCAAACGACCAGTTGAACTGCAAGTGAGTCTGTTTGTCGTCGTCCACGAACTTGGAGACTGCTTCATAGTGGCCTCTACCTAGCATGCCGCTGGGAGCTGTCTCGGTTTCGACTGTGCCACGGTCAGCATGACGCCGTCGCTGGAAGAATGGAAATCGTACACTTCTTCTCGTACTCCGGCTTGTCAGTGGTGTTCGGCGAGTAAGATCCCTGACATTGTCAGTACGAGGCACCATCAAATACTAGATGGATAAGAGCTCACAATCATCTCCTGCATCTTCTGCTTCACCGGCCCTCGGCTGACAACTTGCATATACTTCATGCCGCTCAAGATCTGATGCTGGACCTTGAAGCGAGCCTTCATACGGAACGTCGCGCCCTCCTTGATGGTGAAAGGATGCTTGTTCAACTCCTCAAGGGCACGAGGCTTGGTGAGGTCGATGACGATGTCAGACCTGCCCTCAACTTCTAAGCCGAGCGAGAGAATGATGCACTTGCGTGGGTCCTTAGGGTCAGAGATCGATGTGCCAGAGCCTATACCTAGGGATTCTTTCCACTTGCGGAGGGATTCGTCATTTTGATCTGGAGAGGAGGGCGGTCAGCTGAGGCAGGTGGCGGTCAATGGCCGGGACAGTATGTGGTGTTGGTTCGCATGTTCCGCGTTCCACCCTGGCTCTCCAGACTTCGTAGAAGACTACTCAAACCATGTCATCGTGGAGACCTACCCAGCTTCTGATACTCTTCCACAGTCTTCTTCTCACCCACTCTGAAGCCCTCAGTGCTCTCAGGCTCGAGCTCGTCAGGATGCGGCGCGCTTCCCGCACCGCTTGACATGTTGGATATGACCTTCCTTGCCGGCTTGACCGAGCGTCTCGCACCTAGTGGAAAGATAAAGAGTGTTTCTAAGATGTTTGTGGGACGATCTAGTTCCAGCTGAAGTGTTTCATGCATTGTTGGGTGGGGCTCGCGTATGCACGAGCCTGGATCTCCGTCACTGCATTAGGAGCAAACACTGCTTTAGGTTGGCAACGTTCTTCAACAAACGACTATACCACCTCCGAACTCTCTGGATAAATACACGCCCATAACGGGCGGGTGTCCTCACGCGCTCGATCTGTTCGAATATACCTACGATCAACGCTCATAGGTAGTATTCCACGCTATCGTCTTCCTACATGTAGATCTATGTCAGTGTAAAGGCCGACACGAAAATCTCGTATCCTCTCGGCTCGAAATGAGCAGAGTTTACGGATGTCAGGAGTATTTTCATGACAATGGTGACGGTGAGGCGGAAGAATATAGTTTGCGCGTCCAGCCCTGCACCCAGCCATCGCATCGCGCGGGTCGGGGCATTCCATGCGCTGCCACCCTCCCCAGATCTTGAAAGCTTCGAGACAACCATCATCATCCTTATGCCACTCGACCATCCATCCCACTCTACTCTTTACGCATCGTATACTCCATTGGACATAGTCACGACGCGAGACACACCATTGCGATCATAGTCAGCAGCATACAGAAGCTTGTGTTGTTGCGCATTCTCGGCGACTGCGCGCCGCTTTCGCGCTCGGTGACGTCGCATTGCGGACACAGCACCCGAGTCTAATTGCGCATTCACCATCGTGTCGCATACACTTCACTTAACGCAATGGCTACTACACGCGAACTGCCCAAGCGGAGGAATGCCCTTGTTTCGGAAGACAGCGCGCCGCCGTACGAGATCCTCGTCGAGCGGCGCTGTCTGGGCCAGACGGAGCTCCGAGTGAAGCCAGGCCAAGTCGGGCTCACCAATGCGACCAAGGCGGATCACCTGGGCACCCTCGACTACGCGCATCTACGCGTACCACTGCCCCGCGACCTGACTGGCAGTGGCATCTTCACCAAGAGTCGGGGCACGAAGTGGCCGGAGGCGTACTTCCTCATGCGCCGCTCGAGCGACGGCTTCGTCAGCGCTACTGGCATGTTCAAAGCCGCGTTTCCATTCGCGCAACACGATGAAGAAATGGAGGAGAAAGAGTACATCAAGTCTCTTGGCAAGGCGGCAAGTGAAGAAGTTGCCGGCAATGTTTGGATCCACCCAGACCAAGGTATGCCTAAAGTCTTGTGTAACACCCTACATTGACAACCTTCACTTCATCACGATTGTGAATCAACTGACGCATGACGTCAGCTCTCGACCTAGCCGACGAATACGGCATCCGCCTGTGGGTAGAAGCACTGCTCGACCCCGAGCCGATCACGCACGGCACAAGCCCTGGGAAAGACATCCAGTCGCCACCAGCTTACCGCGTCAGCGACATGACGAACGGCGACACTAAGTCGCCAGAGAAGAAGTCGAGCGCGGCAGAAGGAAGGAAATCAACGCGCGGCCGACGAAGCGCGAGCGTGCTCTCAGAGGACGCAGATGCGCTCGCGAAGACACCCAGCCGGCCGAAAGCGACTCCGCGCAAGCCCAGGGGCGGCAAAGGGGGCCGGGGCACGCTCTCAAAGGTCGACGAAGACGAAATTGCGCCAGTCAACGGCGCTGACGCAGCAGAGTCGAAAGAATCTGTGCGCGAGACTGTCAAGGTACAGGTAGAAACAACGGTCGACCCAGAAGACGACGAAGTAGAACACACGAAGGTGAACGTCGAGCTACCGATCGGGCATCCCGATATGCCACTTCCCGATGACCCTCTGGAGATGGTCGAGCAAGCGCGACGGATAGTCGAGGATGCACAGAAACTCAATGGCGTGTCTACCGGGAAGGGCAAACGGAAGGCGGCGGAAATGACGGATGCGGACGATGAGAGCGAGCGGCCTTTGCCGCCTAAGAGGGCGCGGATGATTGAGATTGAGCTGCGGAAGGAGAGGATTGCGAGGAGGGCGCTTACGGGGATTGCTGGGTTGCTTGCTATTGGGTGAGTATTCTCCTCACAACCGCGATCTGCATGATTTGCTGACGAAACGGAATAGGGCACTAATACCGGTCATGGCGGCAAACTTCGGCCTCGTTTGAGGATGATCTTTGCGCGTGCGTATTACGTTCAGTGAGGTTTTCAGAAGATACCAACGTTATGCCACACGAGCGGAGGATTCTTTGAAGTGGTACGGCGGATAGGGTGGTGTAATCGGTATTTACTGTGTGGATGCGGTGTGCTTGGACATTGACGTTGGGTGAGGAAGGCGCGCGTGCGCTCTCAGTGTATGATTCTGGCTGCGGCAAGTGCGGTGCGGACACCGAGGTCTGACAGACCGCAGATTGTGCGAAGTAATTGTTTAACCACTCGACGTTAAAGCTCGTGTCCTGATATAGAGTGTTAAACCATCGTAAGCGTGGGGTTGAATTCACGGCTCGCACGGCGTGGGCGAAGGAAGTAGATGCGAGAGATCGAATGCCAATGGCTTTCCTTCTTATTGCACGAGTATCAACGCTACAGAATCATGCAATCTCTCAGCTAACCGCACGCTGCTGCTGCTTCGTGCTCTCCCTCCTCGCCGTGGCAGTTGGCGCACTTTCAACGTCCCACTCCTGAAACTTCTAACTCAAAGCTCTCGTCTAAAGGTTGCTCTTGATCGCGGTCTCAAGCGCACTCGGGTTCGCACCAACGACTTCACCGACCTTCTCGCCGTTCTTGAAGAGGAGGAAAGTGGGCATGGCGCGCACGGCGAGCTCCTGCGCCACCTCGGGGACTTCGTCAACATCGAGCTTGTAGAAGCGCGCGTCAGTGTAAGTGTCGGAGTACCTGTGACGAAAAGAAGGTTTTATCAGCAAAAGTCCAGTAATCGCGTGGATGAGAGTGTGTGTGGGTTTTGTGGACTTACTTCACCACAGTCGGCGCAATGACCTTGCATGGACCGCACCATGTCGCGAAGCAGTCGAGCACGAGCAGCGTGTCCTTGTCTTGCATGGCCTGGTCAAAGTCGGCCTTGGTCTTGAGGTTGTGCACGCCCTGCTTCGCCATTGCTGCGGAGAAGGTTCGGTGTTGATGAAAGATGGACTGGTAGATCGGGCTTGTTGTTCGGTTGATTGGAGTCCGTGTGCTGATGCGCGTAGATGTGAGTAGTGTTCTTCTGAAAGCCGTTGCTGCGGACATAGATTGGCTGAGATAGAAATGCAGCCGAAGAGTGAATATGTAAGGTCAAGTAAGGGTGCTGCCCTTCGCCGCCACACTGCTGAACAATCGCGGGAATGACGTCCGATTCCTAATCGCCCAATGCGGCTTGGCTCCAGCGATTTGTCGGCAATGGTGAGGCGCAGAAACTTTGCCTTACATACGCTCGGCACCAGAGAGTGTACTTACACAAATTATTTCTTCCTCCCAAGTCAGTTCGCCGGTGGCATGCGATGTAGCTGCTTCGTATGCGCCGCGATGGTGGCAATAATGGTTCAGGTACCGGAACCTTGAGGTCGCTTACCGTATGCGCCGTTTTCGGGAAAGTGGGGTCTACACAGTCGGGCCGACACACGTGCGTGCCTGCCTGCTCTCTTGAGCCCCACAGACGCGCACACGATCAATCCATCGAGCAGCAACGGAAGCTTATTGAAAGCGACCTCATGTGTTGGAAACTTCAGTACACAGAGTCACCAGCATGATTGATTTGCTAGAGTTTCTGCGGACGCACGAGGAGGCATTCCGTAGGTGAAGCCCACCGCATCTCCTACCCATCCGTTTACCTCCGCCACCGATACTGACCATTCGAAGTCGTGCCCGCCTCGCATCGCTCTACTCAGACTTCCGCTTCCAAAGGCAGACCAACCCGGATGGCTACCAAGCGAACGCATCGGCATGGCTGCGTGCCTTGACTGCCGCTGCAAAGGAGGGTCTACTACCCGCAGAGACAGGCACGCAGCATGACCGATATGTGCTTCACACTGGAGAAGCCCTCGCCAAGGCGCTGCAGACTCAGGACTTTGGACGACCGCTGGCATTGGGATCGGTGGTAGAAGATGCAGTTCGGAAAAAGCAGCTCGTATTGCTGCAAGACTTCCTTGCAAGCAAGCAGAGTGTGTATGCAACAAGCTGGCTGCCGACGCCATGGCAAGTTCTCAGCTGGGGTCTGAGGCAAGTTGGTCTTGTTGGCAGAGAGGGGGTGGAGGACAAGCTTGTCACTGGGAATTCGGTGATCATGGCGAATGTGGAGGTGAGTGTAATCGTACTGCTCTACGACTTGTACCCTAGCTGATTCAATGGCAGGCTGCCGCGAGGCAGATACTCGACGATGTTTCCAAGAATACGACCTCTAATGCCTCGCGCATCTTCTCAAGAGAGCTCTTCATGCCATCGTTCGCTGCGGCGGTAGGTACGGATGCCATGAGCACGACCGACATGTCGGTCCTGATCGTCCATCTCGCTCGCGATCATGCGGCGGTTGCATACGACGCGAAATCCGGCACGATCAAATTCCGGGCCCCATCAGAGACAGCAGCTCCAACCATCGAGCAAGAAGATATAAGTATTGCCTCGCTCCGCACCTTGGTCGCCTCACTAGAGTCTCAAACTCAAACACTCACTCAGCGCGTATCTGAGCTGGATGCCAAGGCTCGAGAGGCAGTTGCGAAGAAGCAGCTCGTATCTGCCAAGACTGCGTTGCGCCAGAAGAAGTCCGCAGAAACGCAGCTGCGGCAACGTACCGCCACTCTCGCACAACTAGAGGACGTCTATGTCAAGGTCGAACAAGCCGCGGATCAAGTTGAGATCGTGCGCGTCATGGAGGCTTCCAGCCAGACATTGCGCAGTCTCAATCGCAAGACAGGTGGTGTGGAGAAGGTACAGGACGTAATGGAAGGCTTGAGGGAGGAAATGATGAACGCAGACGAGATCCAGCAAGCTATCGCCGATGCGTCTGCAGGTACCGTGGATGAAGGCGAGGTGGACGACGAGCTAGAAGCGCTGGAGAGTGCTGAGAAGCAAAAGGTCGATGAAGTTGAGAGGAAGCGGCGTGAGGAGAATGACGCGGTGGAAGTAGAGGTGACCGCAAGGCGTCTGGCTGAGCTGGATGGGGTGAGGAAGCCGGACGAGGTTGCGCATGAAGTGGAGCAAGCGAGCAAGGAAGGGGAGGGTCAAGTAGCGTAGACAACGCAGTAGCAGCTGTAAAGCTAATAGTAAAGCGGACCCGTCCCTGTATCAGTCGCGAGTGACCTTCACGACGGTCGCCTTTAGATGCCGTATTCGGGACGCTCTGCAGTAGTTGAAGTGAGAGGGTAAACAGACCCCTGTCGGTATGGCTAGGTCGTGCCTTCCTACCTCGAGACGGGCCGAAAGTGCACGCATCCGAGGCGAAAGCCGCGTCGTGATGCGCGTGTCCCACCTTCACTTCGCTATTCCAAACCCACTACCACACATCTGCCTTCGCTGGACAATATCCTCCCCATGAGTTCACGACAATGTATAGCGACTTCGACATACCCGACTCGACGGACTGGCTAAACACACCTCTGAAAGACATCGCCGATCTGGAGAATGCACTACACTGCCAGATCTGCAAGGAATTCTACGATACCCCCATGATCACGTCATGCTCTCACACTTTCTGCTCGCGATGTATTCGCACCAGTCTTTCCACCGACGGCAGATGTCCAGCTTGCCGGACGGCGGACCAAGCGAGCAAGTTGCGCAATAACTGGGCGCTGCAGGAAGTGGTTGGCGCATTTCAAACGGCGAGACCTGCTGCGATTAGTGTCGCGCGAAGGGAGCAAGAACAGACGCGAAGACCTGGGAAGCGGAAACGAGCTGTGTTGGACTCGGACGACGTTGCGCAGGCGCAAAGAGTGGGTCGGACGACCAGAAGTAAAAGTAGACGGCTGGCGGCGTCGCAGACGTCTGAGCCCGAGGTGATGGAGATTGAAGACACGGACGAGGATGCGTCGTATGAGCCTCAGCAACCGCCCGAGGATGGATTGGTGGAGTGTCCGTTAGGCTGCGGCAAGCGCATGAAGATCGAGCAGGTGGAACCACATCTAGATCGATGTGAGGAGGAGCGCAAGCAGGAGGAGCAGCGACGGTCCGCGGCGCGAAGACCGCCTGCGAATGGTGTTGGCAGTCCAGGACCGTCTTCGAGACAGAAAGGCACGGCCAGGCCGCAGGAACGCTTAGCAGAGCTGAATTATTCTCTGCTGAAAGAGCAGCCCATGCGCAGGAAGCTGGAGGAGCTAGGCATACCCGCCTGGGGCTCCAAGCAGCTCATGGTCCGGCGGCATACGGAATGGGTGAACTTGTGGAACGCGAATTGCGATTCGGACCACCCACGAACGAAGCGCGAACTACTGCATGACCTGGACACGTGGGAGAGGACACAGGGTGGCAAAGCGTCCACTGCGAATGGAGGCCTTGCAAATGGAGTGATGCGCAAGGACTTCGATGGCGTGGGTTGGGCGAGCAATCACAGAGATGACTTCAGCCGACTTATTGCGGATGCGAAGAGGAAGAAGAGCATTCCGGCATCGGGATCAAATTCGTTGAAAGATGGAAGTCACCATAATGCTGCAGACGCTGTTCAGGAACGAAACGCCGTCGATCAACAACACGGCGAGCCACCGTTCGCGCACCTGTCGTTCGCCTTCCAGTCTGCGCACTCAGCTTCTCCGCCACAACCAACTTCGCAACCCCAACCCGAAACTTCCGCTCCCTACGCCCAACACCCCGAAGCTCTTGCCTCCGTGCGCGAGAAAGTCGAAGCAACGAACGCAGGCACGCACATCGAGCCCGTCATGAACGCCGGCTTCGAAGACCAGCACGACCACACGCAAGTAGCTCCCAACCCATCCATGGACAGCTCACAGCCACAACGGAAAGGATCGACCAACGAGGCTCTCCTCGCCCTAGCCGACTTCGGAGCTACCGCTGTCGCTCACGGTCGAGAGTCCAGTACCGATGAGCATACCGTCTCACGGAACACGAGATCACCGTGTGATCTGCCGGCGCATCTCCATTCGGCCACGCCGAGGAAGGTGCCGATGTTTGCGATGCCGCAGCAGCCGATGAGTGATATTGATGGGGCGGATGGGACGCAGATGTAGTAGCGGAGAAAGCGTGCTTCGAGATAGATCTGTAGTCGACATCGTTGAGGCTGCGTCCTTGGACGGAAGTAAAGCTTCGCACCTTCCGCAACCGTGCCTTCCTTCTTTGGCCATTCGCCGGGACAGACCGAGGCTAACGGGAGACTCTTAAGACTGCACTTCATACGTTTCACTTCTCCGAATTTGACGCAGCAATGGTTTTCATCCCTTGGCTGGGTAGAGGTACATTCTCCAGACCATCATTCTTACTCCGCTCAAAGCTTCGTCATGCTCTGACCTCGCGGTCTCCGGTCGCCAAAGACGTAACCTACGGCCGCTGGGCTAAAAGCTGCGGTAGTAGGGAGCGGGAAGGGCGACTTGCGCCAGCTGCTGGAGAAGAAGACAGGATGCACTATGGCTGGATTGTACACTGCACTACCGGACGGCACTTGTGCGATTGGTGCCGGAACTTTAGATGGCGGCATGGCTTCAAGTTGGTTGCGAGGTCCGATTGATTCTGGTTTGGTCCCGAGATCTGATGACGAGCTTCGGGATTGTTGTTGGAAGCGTGGGTTTTGGGTGGGTGGCGTAGGTAGCTGGGATTGTTCGTTAGATACATTGCGCTTACATCTGGTCTGTCTTTAGGCTAGCAAGGAACATACTTTCGGTCTCGTGGGCTGGTGTGAAGGGAACATGTCTGTACCTGATTGGATGTCGACTTATTGAGTGAGGTCGATGAGCCTCGGTGAAGGAGAGAGGATCGTGGTTGCGCTTGACAGCCTTCCCCACAAACATCGACCAAGGCCTAAGGTGCTGTGACGACCTTCGAGACAGCACCGTTCTCCGAGAAATTCAACCGCTGTGAATCGATCACGTACATCGAGGCATGAACCGGGGCTGCGTTGCCGGTGGCAATCGTTATTTTGGCTGTGCTCTATCGCCGTTGACATCAGATTATAGACAGATGACGACGAGTCGAATCTTGCTATCTCCTCGAAGTATCTATTTGCAGTCCAGGCGCAACGCACTTCGAGTACACATCAGAGTGCGCGAATTCGTTTACTCATATTGCAAGCAGCGGACAATGCAACGCTTCGGAGTGAGAGCGCGCATACCGGGCACGCTCCCGACGCCCAGTTACTCCAGACGCCGTGCTCCACGAACCCTGATGGATGTTCTCAGATGAAGTCACCATCACCAAACCCACTAAACGGATTCGGCGGACGTCCACCCATGCCAGCTCCGCGCGGATGACCGCCCATGCCTGGCCCAATCGGATCGAACCTACTGCCCGGCGGCGCCTGCGGATTATATCCACCACCTCTCTGCCCTTGTCCGGTGAACAGCGGGTCATCGAACGTGGGATGCATGCCACCACCACCCATCGGACCGTAACCAGGCCCGACACCACCACGGAAAGGATCGTTGGGGTCGAGACCTTGGGGATACAGATCGCGCTCGCCAATGCGTGGGAAGGCACCTGGCATGCCGCCTCGCGGCCCTCTTTGCGTTTCGAATTCGTCCTCGAAGCCTGGGATCGGCTCGGGAAACGGTCTTCGAGGTTGTGCGAGTGGATCATGCAGTGGGTACGGTCGTGCTGGTGGATCCCTATCCTCGCGTAACGGGTCGTAATGTGGTCTGTCCCCCTCTCGGCCGGGTGCTGGTTCTCGTGGCTGTCTTGATGTCGATGATTGCGATTCCTGTGATTCTTCGTAGCCTTCCTTGTGCAGACTTGGTACCAGCTTCTGAATGATTTGAAGCCGCATCAAGCTCCCAAGGTCGCTCAGTCTGCCATTCGAAATGAAAACGTCGAGGAGCTTCCTTGCAGCTTCACTTTCTGGCTCACCTTCTGAGACGGGTGACGCTGGCAAGTTGCCGTCAGACACGTAATCCTGGACCTTGATGTCGAAACTACAAGTTCGGTCGTCGCCCATTCCCATGCCCATGAGAACAGCCTTGTTGCCCATACTGTTCACTTTGAGCAAATACTCCATGCTGCTCTGGCTGTGCTTGTAGCGGAAGGCATATGAACCTTTGACAGCATTCCATTCCGCTGGTAAGGGTGAAGGTCGGTCTGGATCTGACTGTGCCTCAATCTTGTGGTCCTCACCTAGACCCACCAAGCGAAACCCGACAGCTTGAAAGGCTGCATGAGCTGCTAGCGCAACGGCGTCGTAGCTGTTCTTGATCTGTGGCGAGGCACCTCCTGCTAGACTCGGTACCATGAACCTGCAGAGGGATGCTGCGCTCATGATGTTGCCTGTTGGACCGCTCGCCATGATGAATGTCCGTTACAAGGTTGAGCCGGGTTAATACTGAAAATGTCCGCGATGGAAAGAATGTCAATGATATAGGTTGCGAGAGCTTGAGTCTCGAATGTGACGCAAACGCTGGCGCCTGCGGGGGCGGTCCGCACCTCGAGCTAAGCTTCCTGGTTGGCGCGGATCGCGTCCGCCATGCGCAACCTTTAAACTCCTGACAACGGTCTAAGTCACAGCATCTCTTACATGTTCTCTATCGTCGACGCCATCAATGGCGCAGCATCTCGTCAACTGTATTCAACCACGGAAGGCGGAATGCCGGTCTCTCTCAAGCGTTATCGACCAATTCGAACTGTCTGTCTACCTGCACCAGCACGTTGACGCACTCCTGGCCGACCAGTCTCATGTCCAGCCGAATCCGAAGCGTGTCTATGCTGATCTGATGTGAAATTGCGCGCTTCCGCTGAAGATACGTCTTCACGGTGTTCTTGCGTTTCGCTCAATGATTACGGTAGGGGACTCAGCTCACATAATGCTGTACATATAGACTGTTATCCTCCGTCTTCTCGCAGCCTTCTGACGAACCCTCTCAAACTTGGTGAATATGTAGGCTGAGAGTAGTCTATGGCCGGACCTGGTCTGCTTTCCGCAATTGTGGGATGAAGGGTTCAGAAGATACGAAGATCGAACCCATCGTAAACTGACCGAAGACAACGCTTTCCGCCAGCTTCAAAGTCCAAAATGTCTCAAACGTGTTTTGGAATACACAACGATGAGTGATCCCCCGACTTCCGCATTGAGCATGGCAAACTTGATGGAGACTTGATGCGGGTCCTCGAGCCAGTCGTGCTGTTGCTCAATGCTATGCGGCCGCTTGTTGATCTCCAAAGCGAGACTGCTGGCCTCGAAAACAATAGCGATAATGACGCTTGTGCCTGCCGAGCAAAACACTGACCGGGCAATCGACAGCGTCAAGTGTACCGGGTGTAGAGCGATGTGGTCAGGGATGGGCAATGTATGCCAAAGAAGATCATATTACAAGGAGCTGCACCTTTGTCGCATTTGCAACGATATGGCGCCTTGCCAGGATTGCACATCCAGACTGTGGGATGGCTTGATCCGTACAGTGTTCTGCTCGAAGGACCACGAGTGCGTCAAGCTATATCTGCTAACTCAGCCTCCTGGTGACATAACTTCTGCTCTGCTTGAACAGCGGTTCGAGGTCTAACAACACTGGATAGTATCAATAGCGACAGCATGGGAAGCGTGTGTGGCGCTATATTGCAACTGAACATATTGTACGGATGCGTTCCGTCACGGTAATTCGGTTCTCCGTGCCGCGTCCGGGAACTCGCTCACTGGAAGGCTTCATCCAGAACCGAATGCATTCTCCGGGAAATGCGTGGAGATAGCCACAGATTGCAAAGGCCGGTGGCGTCTCACTAGGTTGAAGCCCGTCGAGACTAGGCAGGCTTCCGCCCGCCCCAAGCCGAGATTAACCCTGCATGCGATCTCCATGTCGGCGCTTATGATATGCAGGACTGCACGACTACTCCATCCAGACTCTCCTGCGAGGCGCCAGCCATCCATGTTCCTTGACACGCCTTGCAGTAGTTGTGTGAGCGAAGTGCTAGATGCTTAAGCGTTGCTTTACAGCAGTCGTTGCAGTATGGTTGGGTTCGTATCGAGTCTGCGTCCCGACAGCCTGGAAACGAACCATTATGTTTAACGCCTCTCTCCAGTAGCCTCGGCTGAATCGTCATCGGCCATGCCGGCAAATCTGAAGTGTGGAATTGCCTTCTGACCTTGAGTTGGCGTACGAGGCGATAAGGCTCCAAAGGGTGAAAGTGTATCGAACAGAAGGATGTACTCGATCAATCAAGTCTCTCACGCGCCGCGCAGCGCTAGAGTGGCTTTCAGCATGCTATAAAAACATAACCGCTCATGTTCATTGAAATCCATCCTCCACACTGTGCGAAGGAGGCTCGTTATCAGGCAAAACCTGCTGGGTGACCCAACAGTACCGGTTTGCAATTGGTTTTCCAATAGTCTTCTGTAGGAAGCGAGACATCTGATGAACTTCGGGGCTTTGGGATGCGTCTTCTGACCTCAGGCCGCTTAGGGCAACCATCTTCAATGTGCCTGTGATGGACTGTCAGCTCACGCGCACTAACGATATTCAAGGTTAACGCGCCTGCGAAGGGTATCCTTTCGCGCGAACGTGCTGTCGCACAGGTGGCAGGCATGCTCGCGCTTCCTGCAGCACGACAGGAATCCGTCAGTGAGGTCTAACGCAGAAGCATAGCACTCTGTTCATACTTGAAGTGGACCTGCGAGGCGAGTTAGCGCTGCCAGTGGCAGTTTCGTCATGATGGGCTTACACTCTGCTCATGCCGCACCAGGTCCGTCCGCCTCACGAACTTTTTATCACAGTCAGGCCATGGACAGGTGTTGGGCTGATGTCGTTGCGGATCATGGGTTTCCATATGAGCCTTGAGATTATAGGTGCGCTGAAAGAGCTTGCCGCACAACTTGCAAGAACAGCTCGCATCCTCCTGCTTGGTGAGTGTACGTCTTCGGCGCTGTCCTTGTCCGTCTGTATCACTGGCCGAGAAAGGCCGTCGAGAAAGTTGTGGTCGCTGCAGATGACGCATAGGTTTTACGGTCTCCAATTGAGGACTGGCGGAAGGAGAGATGTACGGCGATTCCGACGAAAGAGAAGGAGAGTCGGTTGAGGGATATGACCGGGTGGACGAGAGCTCTCCGGGAGTGACAAGCAGTGACGGGTCGAGTACACCTCCGACGGGCAGACCATGGTGGAAGGTTGCACCGTAGCCAAACGGTGCTTCAACCTTTATGACTGGCGGAGCTGTAGCTGGGACCAGGCTATCATACTGCGTGCACGACGAAGACTGGTCGGAAATCTGCGAGCAAGTGCTGTGTGGTGATGGACTGCAACCCTCCGGAATCTGAGAGGATGCGGTTGGGAGTAGGCGTGTAGGTGTCCAAGTTGACGTGAGGGGCGTGCGAGCACCGACTGGACAACAGCCCGCTCTCCAGGTCAATTGCGGAAGCTCGGCAGAGGGAGCTGGTGTTGGTTGCTGAAAGCCCACCATCTCGGACGGCCATGCTACAGGCAAAGGGACCTCCCAATGCGCAGCGTCGATCGTGGAGGTGTGCGAGGATGGAAAGGTATCGATACAGGTCGGTATGCCCGCTTGCAGCAGCAGTCCAAGACCATTTTGTCGTGCCAATGTTGCCAGATGTTGCGGGAGGCTCAGTGGAAAGGCATGATAGAGGCCGTTGCCGGTCAAAGGTCGCTCGCTTTGCTCACCGGTAAATGTCTCCACCGTCGTGTTTTGTCGGGTAGAAAGACACCTATGACCGATAGCATACTCATTGCGATTCGGGTATTGCAAGGGGCTCATAACTGATTGATGGCAAGGTTTGCGTGGTTGGTGGGCGGCTGAACGAGCAGATCCACGAGGCTGTCGAGCCTTTATTGACACAGACGAGTACAAATAGCATACATGTTGCCAGGTTCCAAGCGGCGCAGCTATTGCAGAGCGCGGTTAAGTCTCAGGGTGAAGCTTGGAAGTAGATAGTTCATGGTGTTGCCCTCAGCGTCTGCGCCGCAGTCTCTAGTCGCATACCTTTGGAGACGGAGCGGAGCGACGGCAATCATAACCAGGACAGAGGGTGGTGGAGCCCACGCAACCGAAGCCGCAAAGTAGCGTAGTTTGTGCAGTGAAGGCTATCGCACCGTAGCTCGATGGCCAGTCCCTGAACAGCCTTGCATTAGCTTGCATTGTTAGTGAGTGTCGAGACGCCGGCTTGAGAAGTTGGCAATGCAAAGTGCCGCCGCATAGCACTGCCATCTCCGGCCCGTCGAGCTTCTCGAGTCATCTGATGAAGCGTTTGATCCTTTCGCGTCATTTAAGCCTCCCGTGGTACCTGAGATCATTGGGGCTTCCAATACTTCCCGCCCATCGGTGACGCTACGGCTCGCGCAGTGGCGTGCTGATCTGCGACAATGCTGTGGGGTGTCAGTGCAGACGGCTAATAAAGCGGACCCTCTATTCGCGACCGTCTTTGGCGCCGTTTTGCTGCCTCATCATTGACGATAAGTTTTCGACTTGCGAGGTGAGCTTAAGTATCGCTTTCTTCAGTTCCTCGACCGTCTCGACCGAGACGGTCCCTTGTGCACCAGGACTGGTATCAGACTCCTTCGGTTGCTCCACTTCTCTCGGCCCAGGTAAGCCTCGAGGTAACAACGCTCTGCGGTATGAATGCCGATAGAGTGGCCGGGATGGCGCACCAGCTGCGGTTGGACCTTTCGCAAGCGCATGCGCCGATGGAAAATGCTTAGCGTCACGCTGCCAGTATAACCGCTGTCCCTTTTCCCAGATCATGATCAGCGCTACGAACGGCCAATGAGTGGCTTTGAGAAGCACAATCCGCGCGCTTCGCAAGCGTTCAGCAGACACCACGAGTCGTAAAGGTCGCAGCAAAAGCGCCAGCAAGTTCTGCCAGCAGGGTTAGTCTTGCTCAAACTGAATCCGAGAATTCATGAAGCCGATGAGCCAAATTAAAAAGTGATGCCGCTTGCAGACGACCAACATCTTTCCCACAAAAGCCTCGCTCGTGATTGGACGGCATGTGCATCGGACGCTATGCATACGATCTGAAGATCCAGCAGGTGTTCGACATTTCGAGACTAGTACTGCGCATTCGGAAGAGCTTCATGTGAGGGACATGGAGCTTCAAGGAAGGACCGTAGACGTGGGAGCGTATCGTACGTACCAAGGGAGGTATGAAGTACACAAGTCTGTTGGATGTCGACGCTTCCAACACGTAGACCGCATATCTGTAGACGGCTATGTTAGCATGTTAAGCATGGCGGTGACACACAGAGCCTCCTGTTGCACTGCCGAACGTACACTGAGAGGTATTCTTCCCGTGCATGTTCAACGACCTGTTGCCGGGTTAGCGTCATTTAGGGCGCTTAACGAAACGTGCCACAACGCCATGCCCGTACCTTCGTTAATGTGTTAGACAGTAATGAGATAAGCGATGTTATAAGGAGGATGTTGGTTAGGCAGACGAAGATGAACCTAGAAGTGCCAGGGTCAGCCGTGTCGTTCCCATTTGCGGTGCTGAGGAAGCCGTCGTGGTTGTATGGGCTGCATGTGAAACCGAGCCCGCTCTGTCGTTGTGACACACGCCGGACCTTGGAGAGGCTTACATCAATGGAGGACCAAGGATAGGTGATATCTAGATGCTTGACGTGAGCGATACGTCCTTTCGGAATGCAGCTCAAAATGGTGCGTGAGATATACCTGATCGGCAACATCCTACATATTTTGGGTCAATGACAAGTACACGATAGCAGGGGAAGGATGGCACTTACGAAGCCAAGATAGCTCGAGCCAAAGAAGACTTTGATAAGGATCCAATTCATCTTAAGCGGGCTGTAAGTGCCTCGAGCGAGGAATGCAAAGCATGTATCGAAGCCTTGAAGTCGTCAGCTAAGATCTCGAGGACGTAAGTATACTCACCAACGTAAAGTATGGCGACAAGGCCGAGAAACTTGATGAAGTCCTTCGTCTTCCGAACGTCAGCAGCTGTCAGCGGCACGAACGAGGCAAGACCAACCATCTCTTTCAAGCATGGCAGAAGCGTGCCGAAGTACGGATGCAGGCTCAACAGTGAGCAGATCCTGCAGCATGATCAGACCGGTAACGGCATAGTCGCAGAGGGGGTGCGTACCGTGGCACGAGGAATAGCGCCTCAACGGAAAGGATGTCGAACGCGGTGTCGGTGAGCTGATGATCGTTGCGAGAAAGGCCCAGTACCCGCACGACCAGGAACGCGATACCGGTGGCGATGATACCGACGTCCCACAATGACCAGAAGTCTACGGCGTAGAAGGTACTGCCGGCATCCCAAAACTCCGCCAATTCTGTGTTTGGATCAGTGCTGCAACGATCGTGCACATGCTTGTGGCTTACCATTATACGCAAATGCTGTTAGCCAGACGTACAGCATCACCTCTGCTGCAGATACTGTATGGGTGGTCTTCTGGAGCAGTACGATGTAATAGAACACCAGGAAGGCGGCAAAGAACAAGACCTCGAAAGCTTTCAGGTACAGTGGCACGCGAAGTCGACAGAAAGGATCGGATCTAGTCTTGTTGTAGAACTTGGCCTGTTTGGTCGAATGCTGGCCAAGAGTCTCCCAGAAGACGATGTCGCCTTTCCAAATGCCGTCAATGACACGCTGTATGGCTCGCTGGCTCATGAACTTCTTCGCATCTGCCACGGCTGCGATCTCTAAGGCATTAAGACCAGCGAATGTCGTTGCGAAGGACATGCTGTCGCTCGGCGTTGATGTTTCTGGGCCCTCGTCGGCAAACGACTGGTCTGCTTCGTGGATTGCGCCGTCGAGTAGTGGCGCAGTCTCGATCAGGGTACCCTCCTCGGCAGCATTGTTGAGGTCGTGACAAGGACTCTCCGTAGTCTCGCGTCGGGCCGCGATGGGCAGCTCATGGCAAAGTACATCAATGGCTTCACTTTCGGTAAGATGGGTGACATAGCGCCACGCAGCAAGCTCGCAGGCTAGGCCTCTCGTCTGGCTTATGCCACGGTCATCGTTGGCCTCGCAATTTGCGAAGTGTGACTTCAGCGCACTAAAGTCACATCAGTATTCTCATCGACATCAAACAGTCTATCTCTTGGTGTTTATGGGTAAGGCGTACAGTAGCGCGCTCACAACCGCAGGATGCTCAGTCTCGTTCGCTAGGTAAGTTACAAGAGGCTTCAGCATTCGAGCGTACACAACATTCCGTAGGTCCTCCCATGAGTGAGGAGCGTCAACATTCTGCACAAAGTACCTACCTTATGACTTAGTCTCTAGGTTGCGCTGCCAGGCGGTCAGAGCTGTACATACACGCTCAGCTTCCGTACCAAATCGTCGAAGCTCTCTCTGCCATCTATGCGCGGCAGATCAGGACTGCCATCTAAGCGCATGACAGCAGACTTGCTCGACACGGAGGCGAGTGGTACAAGAGAAAAGATGGTGGAGGTGGCAGGAGGAACACAAGAGTGGAACGCTTACAGCCGCCTCTGCCGCCTAAGCGACGCTAATAGCCGCGACAAGCGCCCGGAGTACATGGAGACTGGATACTCACTCCTGCATCGACTCCTGTGTGTGGAAATGTGGCGTTGGACAATCGTAGCGTCATACTGCGATTACGTGGGCGAGGAGGCATGGTACAATCAGACGGACGTGCAGAGGGAAGATGCGATTGAGAAGGGAACGACAACACCACGACGCTGTGCCTTTGGGACGAGTCACGAAGTACACCTCAATATATGGAGGCTATAATCTCCTGCTATCGTACAAGGTCTGCAGCAGCCTCCGGCCACGTACCCCAGACTAATGCTCTATCACCCCATCGTTGTGGATGCGGCGCAAGGAACCTCACTTTCTTCCTTGCTTCGTCCACGTCCGCAACGTACAAATAGCCCATAATAGCACTGTCCCGGATCGTAGCTTCCTCGCTATTGGAGCTACAGAACTTGATCGCTATTAGAGCGCCAGTCATTGCGAGACTCGGTGCAACCTTTTCGTACATAGTGTTGGATGACGATGTCGACGTAGCCGCTGGGTCGTAGTCGTCTTCGTCTTCCGCACCGAAAGATGGAAGGGCGGCGTCGGATGAAGCTGGCTTCGCGCGGTAGATGGTAAGGTCGTTGGTAGGTATTGAGTGTGAATGAGGGTTGAGCGACTCTTTACTGCCGAAGAAGTACTGTCGTACTTGTCTGGCTCGGAGTTGCTTCATGTATGCATTGTCCCGCTCTACTGCTCCACCTGGCTTTGCGAGCTTCAGCACAGCAATGGCATCCTCTGGTGACTTGGAAGTGTAGCGCCGGTTGAGGTCATTGTAGAGTCGCTCCGAGCCAAGTGCGACTACTAAATTGATGGAGAACTCAGAAATGATATGATGTATCATGTCGTAGTTGCTTTTCGGGTCATTAAGGCCGCCCGGCGTATCGATGATGATTCCGCTTTGCTTTGCTAAAGGGTCCTCTTCCAGTTTGTTGAGGGTTGTCAGAGCCGATCGCGTCACGATGGCCTTGAAGGCGTTGGGCCGCTCGGAAGGCGTGGCATAGGGAAAATGGTAGACGAGCGGACTCCTGACCGGCTGCAGAGACGGTCCCGTCATCGGACTGATTCCCCATCCGTCGACCTCCATCTGCGATACGATCGTGACCGCCGTCAGACTACTTGGCGGTGCCAACAGTCCTTCTCGTGGATCTAAGTGCACGACAGTAGGTGCGCGGCCCTGCCTGACCGCCCATGCAGCTAAGGACCTTACCATGCTGCTTTTACCGGTGGAGTCAGGACCTACAACGAGCACCCTTGGACCCTCGGATGCGCCATCTCTCGCGGACTCGAGCATGCCGTGAAGGTTAATCCATTCGGTCGCATATTCAGTCTCCTGTGCGGAATACTCGCTCTCGGCTTCTCCGATAACTTCGAGTTCGCATCCTTGCCAGGTGAAGACAGCCCCTTTCAGACCGGATAGGTTGTGGGTCTGATTCTGAGCGAGTTCGACGCCGAAGAGCTCAGCATGGCCGCTTACCAAGCGGACGCTGTAACTTTGAATGAAGCCAGCTTCGAAGCGCCATTCAGACTGCGGGGCGAGTTCCTCCCGTCGTGATGGCTGTTCTACGTCCGGCGCGGAGGTACCAGTGACTTGAGGTGTAGAGGTTGACCGAATACCTAGGCCTGGAAGATTGAAACCCGGTAGAGCCATTAGTAATCTTACATGTTTGATGATGCAAAATTGTACGAGTTATGTGAAAGTTGAAACGTAAAGTCGGCTTCCTGGCCCGTGCGAGTGCGTGTTGTGAGCACTCATTGATCCACTGCGGATCACTTCTCATTCATCAGATACCGACTATAGATCCTGAGAAGATATTCGGCCATCGCCGCAAGACCGCGGGAGATCATCGAGTTGTCGGCGTCCGCATGCACCAGCCTTACCCTGGTGGCAAGCAGATTGTCTTTGGAAGCAGACTCTCCTCAAGCCCGCTGCCTCAGCATCGCTTCGCTACGGCTGACATGGCCGAGCAATCTGCTGCTCGGCGCCAGGGGGGCTCCACGAGGTCCTGGTCAGCTTACCCTCGCGTGTAGGAAGATAGCGATGAAGGAGTGATCAAGATGGGTCAGGAAGTATCTCGGCTAAGAGAGTTCCGAGTGCGGAGATGTCCATCATCCCGCTAAATGCGCAAGGAACGTTTACCTACAATATCGATGGAACGACTGTACAGCTGTGCATTTGAGTCTGGGCTGGATGGCGGCATTAATGGAAGTGGCTTTCGGCCGGAATGCGACTCGGCTGCTGCCACTCACACATAGCATGGAAAAGTGTACTCCGCATCTGTATCCCCGACAACCACGATGTCCTCGTACGGGGTGGTACAAGAGATGGCGCTTTCGACGAAGCGAGAACCCAGCACATCGTAGGCCTTTCGCGACCTATCAGACTTACCAGCAAGCTGCGGTAAGCTCCAGCGACACAAAAGCGACTCTACCGTTGTCAGGCATTCTTGTTGTCTCCTGCGAGCAGGCAATAGCCGGACCGTTCTGTACGAGACAGCTCGCGGATCTCGGCGCGCGAGTGATCAAGATTGAACGTCCGGGCAAAGGCGACTTCAACCGTGACCACGACCAGCGCGTCCAAGGCCTATGTTCGCATTTCGTCTGGACTAATCGCAGTAAGGAGAGTCTGGCGCTGGATCTCAAGCAACGCAAAGACCTCAACGCTCTGAAGAAGATCGTATCCAAAGCCGACGTCTTTGTCCAGAATCTAGCACCAGGAGCCACAGAACGAATGGGCCTCGGATACGCAACGCTCAAAACCAAGCATCCTCAGCTCATCGTCTGCGATATCAGCGGCTATGGAAGTACAGGACCCTACCGCAACAAGAAAGCCTACGATCTACTCATCCAGGCCGAGTCCGGGTTCCTCTCAGTCACTGGATCACCAGGTCAACCAGCCAAATCCGGCATAAGCATAGCTGACATTTCTGCGGGCACAGCCGCCTTCAACAACATCCTCGCCGCCATCATCCAGCGCGGCAAGACCGGAAAGGGCTGTCGACTGGACGTCAGTATGCTGGAGAGCATGGCGGAATGGATGACCTTCCCAATGTACTACGCCAGTGACGGTGCGCCTCCGCCGGCGATGAGCGGTGCCGAACATGCTAGCATTTACCCATATGGTCCTTTTCAGACCGGCGAAGACGGGACGGTGATGCTGGGCATGCAGAATGAACGCGAATGGGTCATCTTCTGTAATGACGTTCTCGACAAGCCAGATTTAGCTGAGGACGAGCGATTCGCCAACACCTCGCTCAGATCGAGCAATCGAAAGGAGCTACGAGCGATGATCGAAGAGGTCTTCAGCGTATACTCAGCCGACAAAGTGCTCGACAAGCTGCAGAATGCTGGCATCGCCAACGCCAAGGTGAACGACATGGCTGGTCTTTGGGCGCACCCTCAGCTGAAGGCCAGAGATCGATGGACGGAAGTCAACACACCAAACGGTCTTGTGCCGGCGCTCAAGCCTGCCGGTACTGCTGAAGGAGTTGCAGTAAGGATGGATCCAATACCGGCAGTCGGCGAACATAATGAAGCAATATTTGCCGAATTTGGCATCGAACGCTAACTGAGGGTATCATCAACCACAAATGCCGCCCTTGGTTAAGAGTACGCCGTGTCAATCCACAAACCGTGAGATGAGCACGTCCATCTGCTTCTCAATGTTCTTCAAGCCGACGATGACATTTTCATCCTTGCCCTCGCCAGGCGTCCACGCAGCGTGCGCGAAGTCGATCATCTTAACCTGAAACGCTATGGGCGGTTCCTCCTCGTCCTCTTCATCCTCCTCGCTTTGCTTGACTTCACCAAGCGTGGGCGCCTTCTCCGTCAACCTTGGCGTCTTCGGCGCACCTCCCATGACCGTCTCGAGCGCGCCGCTGTCACCTTCGTAGACAATTAGAAGGCTCGCACTGAACATCCTTGATTCCAGCCGCTCGAGCGCATGTCGCACCTTGGCAATCTCCGCCTCGATGGTCTCGAGCAGCTCAGCGGCATCATCGCGACCCAAGCCCGCTTGCAAGCCGCTGAAGAAAGTCGAAAAGCCGTCCTTGACGTTCTCCGCGGTGAACTGACGGCCGTAGAACTTGTTGTACACATCCATGGTCTTACCGTTCCAGACTTTCATACCCGCGATTCGAAAGTTTAGCGAAGCGCTCGTCGTATGGGAGGCGACCTTCTCAAGCCGTTCTGCCTTCTCTGCCGCCGTGCCTTCCGGATACAGTCTGGCGCCGAGCTTGAGATCCAGAACATTCGCGTGCTTAAAGCCGTGCTCAAGATTCTCCAGGACAATCGCAGTATCGGTGGCAAGCTTTGCGCCGTGTAGGCGCTTGTCCTTTTGATCCTGTGCGGTCTCGAGTAACTCATGGGAGATGGTCGGATCGACGGCTTGCGTGGGTGCACCCAATTGAAGCGTGCCCATGAAAGTGGGCATCAACTCTGCAAAGTCGGAATGGTCCTGTAGAGTTTGCTGGTAGAAGTCGATCTCGGCCGCGGTACATGGCTTGATCAACAGTTCGCCAGAAGGGTCGGAGAGTACGCCTTCGTGGCCAGCAGCGGCGTTCTCAAATGCTTTCAGCGTAGACAAGTCAAGATCGTGAGTTTTGATGGTCGCCATGTTGCTTGGTAGCCTCGCTCCGTCACTGGACCGAGGGACTCGTTTAGGGAGGCATTCAATATTGAGGAAGCTCAGGTTTGCCAACATCAGAAACGAGGTCCTGAAACCTTTAAGATTGACGTAATATTGTTTGCTAGCGGCAACAACCGGCACTAATACTGCAGGTACGCTCTGGCGTGAACTCACATCCGTTTGCCTACAACGACAACGGCAATCAAGTGAGAATCACTGCAGTCAATACACCACGCTGCAAACCCATATTCTGTCTAACGACAGCGACAGCGATCTGAGGCTGAACAACTTTTCAACCTCCACGAGTTAACCTCAGGGAGGGCTATGTTGAACCTCGCCGTTTTGCGAAAGCGCAACCTTGTTGCGTGCCTGCCGTTTGTGAAGTGCTCTCATGTGACGGATACCTTTACTCAACGCCTCTGCATAGTCGCAGCTTACTGGGTAGCCCTCCTGCAACAGCACAGGGAGGTAAACTTCATAAGGTTTTATCCAAAAAAGATTGCTGAGACACCAGCTTGGGGCACGTGTTGACACCGAGCAGATTTGGCCTGTAGCTACTGACATCTGCGAACCCTTATTCTGTCAGCATAACAGCGGCAACATCGAGCTATTAGGCTGCTGACATTACCACAGTACGACCGTCGAGCATAGCAGCCACTGCAGAGAGCCAATTGCCAACAGAGGCGCCGGCCATGTCTCTGATTACAGAGACTGCACCATCCTCCAAGGTAGCCACCTGGACTGAGTCGGTTCATGCACCACATCCGCAGGCTTCAGAGATCCTTCGTCAAGTCGATTACTACTTCAGCGAGGAGAATCTCGTGAGCGATCCGTACCTTCTCGGCTTCACTGGTAAGGAAGGCACGAATCCAGTCAGCCTAAGTTTGATCATGGGCTTCAAGAAGATGAAGCAGTTCAGGCCCAAGACTGCTGTTCGTGAAGTACTCAAACACAGCACAGTCGTGGAAGTGGTGGATACTGGTCACATTAGGCGTCGCTATCCGCTGGGCCGACCGCTGCTGGTGAAGCCGCTTATCGACGTCAATCGCTACAAGAAAGCACTCGCCGAGAACCAGCATCTCACAAAGGGCATGCTGAAGCCGACTGGATTCGAGAAGAATGCGGTGGAAGGACCTATCAGGCCTGAAGAGTACGAAGAGGACCGCAAGAAGTATGATCCTGAAGAAAGCTTCGTCACCCGTATCGAGCTTGCAGTCACGAACTTTTGCGCCCGCCGAAAGATGCATCAGGGTACTCGCAAGATCTTCACCGACCTTCTCCATTTGGGAGGGTTCAGCAATGTTCATCAGTTCCAAGGGATGTCGAAAAAGGAGCAAAAGAGACAGGGAGTCGAGCTGGACGACATTGCCGATTTCAAGATCTGCGATGAAGTCGAGAATGCCTACTACGCCGAGTGGGAGGATGGCGAGAAAGGTGATTGGGTAGTCGATTTCGAATCGCTGGCCAAATCATTCTTGTCCGACGTCTTCTTGCGTGAATACCCGTGGTACGACGAGCAACAGGTCAAGATGGCTACGATGGTGCTCCGGAACTTCTACAACTACCTTCTTCTCCATAATGTTTGTCCAGAGTATGAGGACCAACTGGAAGCCGCGCGCATGATATGCGATGTTGCGGAGACGGAGTTGCCAAAGCTTGCGATGGTCGACCAGAGCTTGCCAGGTGCTTTTAACAGTGCTTGCTCGACGCTCTGCGGCGGCAGCTACACGGACGTCCACATCTCGCAGGATGGTTGGGCGAGTGGCTGTGACAACATGGGTTTGTCTCGCCAGGAGGCCAAAGTCATCATCGGAGTTGGTGTGGCTGCTTACGGCAGTCGGGAGCAGATTGAGAAGCTCGCGCCAGTTCTGAGCGGAGATGCAGGTCTGAAGTATACGTCGTCACACAAGCTGGGCCTTGTGGTTGTCAATGTCGAGCCGCCGAATGACTACGCCAAAGCCGCATACAACCAGCTGCGAGAGCACGAGGGCGTGGACAAGTACGTGCATCCAATGGGCAAGCTTCACTGCAAGCGCTGGGACATGCCGTTCGAGCCGCCGACTGATCTGCCCAAAGCTGCTAGAGTCGTTGACACTGCTTCATTTGAGTTCCTCGTCGAAGAATCAACGCTTCAGTATTGCATTCCCGGCATGAAAATCGAAGCCACGATCAGAGAACTTGACGTCGGGCTTCAGTACATCGACAGCATCGAGGCAACCTATCCTAGCTTCTACACATGGCTGCCGAACGAAGTCGTCGGTCGCTGGAAGGAACCGGGACCGCCGAAGACATGGATGCAGCGGCAGCAGGCGCAGAGGGATGGCAAGGCGTTAGACCAAGTCCGCGACTCTACGAGCAATCATGATGGAGGGCAGGATGACGGCGAGTTCAGCGATGGAGGGCCGGATTGAGAAGACATGCTGTCGGTTGCGAAGCTGCTTACGGCTGGCTCATGTCGATCTTGCCGCTGCGAGCTGTTGAGACGACGGCAGTCGAGCATTTTCTATCATGTTTTCGAGGCCTTTCGCAAAATCATGCGGAGAGGCGAGCCATAGAGCGAGTTGGACCGCCCGATCCGCGCGGTTAAGGATCACGGAGGAGATGGCGGGGTGATGGAGGGGTCGAAGAAGCCCCCAATGGCATCATTCACTAACAAACAGCTCCATCAAGATTCCCACAGCTGCTCATGTAAGCACTTCTCACACCGTGCACTCAGTGCTCTCACCTCTGTCAATCCCACATCCCTCTCGCATCCACCATTGCATGTCTCTCCTCTACACCTCTTCTTCAGCCCTCCGCCGTGTGACAACCCTCACCACCCACCTCACGCGACCTCCAATCACCCGCACAATGGCCTCCCTCCCCAAAACAATGAAAGGCGTGGTCATCGAAAAGACTGGCGGGCCAGATGTGTTGCAGTACAAGACCGACCTCCCCCTCCCCAACCCCTCCTCCGGCCAAATCCTCGTGAAAAACGACTACATAGGCATAAACTTCATCGACACCTATTTTCGCACCGGCCTGTACCCTCCTCCTCAGTACCCGTACATGCTAGGACGGGAATCAGAGGGCACCGTCGTCGCGACGGGTGAGGGGGAGATGTATGGACTAAAGGAGGGAGATAAAGTGGTCATGCTTTCCGAGAGCACGTACGCGGAGTACACGGCGGCGCATGCGGCGAAGGCTGTCAAAGTGCCGAAGGATATGGATCCGAAGATCGGGGCTGGTGCGCTATTACAGGGTCTGACGGCGTTGACGATGATTAGGGAGAGTTATCACGTCAATAAAGGGGACTGGGTGTTGGTGCATGCCGCGGCGGGCGGGACAGGGTTGTGGTTGTGTCAGTTGTTGAAAGCTGTGGGAGCGAATATCATCGGGACCGCGTCGACGGATGATAAAGTGGAGAGGGCGAAGAAGGCGGGGGCGACACATATGGTTAATTACAGCCATGAGGATGTGAAGCAAAAGGTTATGGAGCTCACGAATAATGCGGGCTGCATTGCGGTGTTTGATGGCGTGGGTAAGAGTACATTTGATCTGAGTCTGGATTGTCTGGCGCGGAAAGGGACGTTGGTCAGTTTCGGGAATGCGTCCGGTGCTGTGCCGCCGGTGACGATAAGTAGGTTGACGCCGAAGTGTGCGAAGTTGTTGCGCCCGGCGCTGTTTGGGTATATTGTGACGAGGGAGGAGTTTGAGGGGTATGTGAATGAGTTGTTCGACTTCATACTGAAGGAGAAGATGGACACGGCGATTCATGAGGTGTATCCGCTTAGTGAGGTGGCGAGAGCGCATGGGGATTTGGAGGGGAGGAAGACGAGTGGGAAGTTGTTGTTGGATCCGTCGAAGTAGCGCATGATCTTTGACAGATCGGTGACGGCATGCATGTGTGTATGTGTAAATCTACATCTTCGAAGCGGGCGCAGATGGCTTCCGGTACATCACCGTCGCCGCGGCCTACACGAGCGTCAGCCAAATGCCTACGTTGACCTCCGATGCATGACTGTCGCAGCGGCCTTCCCAAACAGTCAGCTCGACACACCCTACACGCGCAAAGACAACGTGACAGTCTTACCTGATGATTCGGGAAAACGAGCATATCAGCCACGACCACATTCTCCGGCCTCCCCGCCACAAACACCACCGTCTCCGCAATATCCTCCGGCGTCAACGGCGTGACACCCTTATACACCGCATCCGCCTTACTCTTATCGCCGCCAAACCGCACCACACTAAACTCCGTCTCCACCTGTCCGGGATCAATCTCCATAACCCGTATCCGCGTCGCAATCAACTCCCTCCTGATTGCGTCCGTGAAAGTGCGCACAGCAGCCTTAGAAGCGCAGTAGATGCTCCCACCAGGATAGCCCTCTCGGCCAGCAATGGAGCCAATGTTGATGATATCCCCTTGCCCGCTCTCGCCGCGCGTGCGCATGGATTGGAGCGCGGCTTGCGTCATGTTGATTAGTCCGTGGACATTCGTGTCCCACATGACCCGGATATCGTCTTCGTTGACGTCGCCTGCTTTATCCACTCCCTTCACCAACCCGGCATTGTTGACGAGGATGTCGATCTGTTGGAATTCCTGCGGTAGGGAAGGAATGAAGTTGCGGACTTGATCCGGTTGGGAAACGTCGAGTTGGATGGGGAGGACTTTCACTCCATCGCCGACTTCTTTCTTGATCTCTTCGGCGACCTGCTTTAGTGTATCGATTCGACGCGCGGTAAGGATGAGTTTGAGGTTGTCAGGGGAGGTACGGGCGAACTCGACGGCGGTGCTGCGGCCTATGCCTGAGGAGGCGCCGGTGATGACGATGGTTTTGCCGGAGAGGCGTTTGCTCATTGCTGTGGTCATCATTCTGCGGAAGAGAGGGTGGGTGGAAATGGGGAGTTGGGAGGTGTTAGTGGAGGAGAGTCGGGAGGAGGATGGGTTAATAGAAAGCAAGCGTAGGGAGGGTGAAGCTCGCCGGCACCACATATGAGAATGAAAGAAAGCTGTGGTCTGCGGGTGAAAGCAATACCTACCTGCTTGCGGCTGTATTGCCCAATGGCTTAAGGTGAGTTGCGAGCTCGGGAGGGGTTATGCCGATGGCGGTCGATGGCGATCATGCTGTTGGTGGGAGTTCTAGTTGGTAGTTGTCGAGATACAAGACAATACTGTCTGTGGTCGTAGCATGTCAGTTGTATAGAGTTACTGTACACCGAAGTGCCACAAGGCGTACGGAGGATGTAAACGAAGAGTAAGATGACGACTTTAGGCCACCTCGGCTCATTCTCGGATCCACAAAAGGTTCATATGTATTGTGGTGCGAAAACTGCGGCCTAACGCAACACCATATGTGCTGGACGCTTAACCGCGTCCAAATCCCCGCAAAAACGGGTTGTATAGTGTAGCGGTTAGCACATCGGATTCTGATGTGTCTTCAATATCGAAAGACATCATGATCTTCCGGTAACCCCGGTTCGATTCCGGGTACGACCTTACCTTTTTGGCTTCATTTTACGCATCCCGCGTATGTCTCCCTAAAGAATGACAGGGCCGTAAACAGCAAGCCTGCCACCAGCGCATCCGGCCGCCGAGCACACTGCCCAGGACAATTGGCCTCAGCTTTCTCCCCTCGCTACGTAGCTCCAACGTCACCTTCTCCGCATCTTCCTCAGCCCGTTCCTGAATGCATCACAAGACTCCCAGATCCATGACAGCCAGTAGGAGGGTCAGCCGCTGATCCGCATCAAGATCGTCAGGGCGTAGAAGCACGCTACAGGTACCCACGGCTCCCTGCACGCTTCCAGATCCAACCCGGAGATCGATCTCATTCACCCGATGCCGATATGCAGGTGTCATGCGAGCACTTAGAAATGAGCAGCAGGAACAGGGAACGTGCCGACAAGGCGGCGACCCGATCTTGTCTCACAGCCGGTGCCAGTGTGACGATGATTCGATCACAAGGCTGTAGCCTGGCTGGGAAGGATGCTGACCTACCAGAGAGCACAGACGGAAGCGTAGCTTTACCGACGTAATGACTCCGTCAAGGTACGTCAGTCTGACTGCATTCTGTCTCCTAACCATTGGACTGCGGAGGGTAGCTGCGGTGCGCGGGTATATGAAGTTGCTGGAGACGCGCTGGAAGTATCTTTAGTTTCCAAGCAACAACGAATATCATCCACACACAACAAATAAATCTATAACAACCACTCCATCACAATGGCCGACAACGTACGTCCCACATCCAAGGTTTGAAGACCAGGCAAGGCGCCTTCCTAACACGCTATCTAGAACAACCCAGGCAACTTCGCCAACCGCCCGAAGGAAGACGTCCAGGCTGCTGCCTCCAAGGGTGGCCAGACCGGTACCGAGAACTCCGGCTTCGCCAGCATGCCCAAGGAGAAGGTGGTAAGTCCTGCCCCACCATCCTCATTCAAATCCGTTAGTGATATGATTCTGACTGTCCGTGCAGCAAGAGATTGCATCCATGGGCGGCAAGGCCAGCTCAGGCTCGTTTGAGAAGGGCAGTGAGAAGGCGAAGGAGGCCGGCCGCAAGGGTGGCTCAGCCACTGGCGGCTCGTCTGATGATTAGATGTTTCGTTGCTGCAACGGCATCATGAGGCATGACTTTGTATCATATTTTGACGAATGCTTGAGCTGAGCTATGCTCGCTCGCATCACATCGTGTCCCGTTCCATCCTGCTTTCTAGTCTTTATGGTCAAAATCATATACCTATACAATCGCGCATGTTCTTCGCCATACTTCGTCATGCTATGTTGAGTAACATACGTTGGAAATGTATGGTTGGTCAATGTTGAAGATTGACGCCTTACGCGGAGTTATAACACCATGTTCGTCCGAAGATCCAGCTGCGTCCCTCATAAACTTGAATGGTTGACAATCTTTGACATACATAACGATCGGACAAGGTGCTTTGAGATCCGGCGAAGATGTGGACGTGGGGAAGTGAAAGTGCCCTGTCGTTGTTTCAGTCAATTTGGAAGGAGATTAATCGAATGTAGCGCATATTCATGGCTTTTGCTAAAAGGCCAATGTATACTTTGCTTGGCCCACTACGGCCTCGACCACATCGCAACATCTCCAACTATGCGATCAATCCCACTAATACCACTCTACCCGCGTGTCGTTTTGAAAGCGAGATCGATGTTGGGTTCGCCATATAGTCCGCTCGCTTGCTAGGTCTTCTCCACCGACGCCTGTAACAGCATGACGGAAAGGGAACGATGAGCGTGAGAAACGCTTGTGCGGGCGAGCAATGGGCAAACATGCATACGCAGTCATACTCGACGCTGGCTCCTCAGGCAGTCGAGTATACGTCTACCGCTACCTGAAAGCGACAGCCGCACGCGCAGATGGCTCTCCCACAGACCTTGCACGACTCCCCGAGATCAAGACGAAGAACAAGTGGAACAAGAAGGTGCACCCAGGCATATCAACCTTTGGCACCAAACCGGAGCAGGTTGGTCTGGAACATCTGAAGGAGCTTGTGGAATTCGCCGCGGATATCGTACCGAAAGATGAAGTCGAATCAACCCCCATCTTCCTCCTCGCGACGGCGGGGATGCGCTTACTCCCCGACGACCAACGAATCGCAGTCTTGGAGAACGTATGCGCCTACTTCCAACATCATACCAAATTCGCGCTCCCCGACTGCGATCTCCACATCCAAGTAATCGCGGGCGAAACGGAAGGCCTGTACGGCTGGATAGCAGCGAACTACCTCCTCGGCGGCTTCGATGAGCCGGAGAAGCACGATCATGGGAAGGGGCATCATACCTACGGTTTCCTGGACATGGGCGGTGCATCGGCGCAGATAGCGTTTGCGCCGAATGTGACTGAATCGGAGAAGCATGCGGAGGATTTGAAGCTGCTGCGGTTACGGAAGGTGAGCGGCGAGGCGCTCGAGTACCGCGTCTTCGTCACGACGTGGCTAGGTTTTGGCGCGAATGAGGCGAGACGGCGATATGTGCAGAGTCTCGTCGACGCATATCCGCATAGCCAAGAGTTACCCGATCCGTGTCTACCCGTCGGGCTACTGGTGAACCAAACGGGCGTAGAAATAGCACCCGGTTCCTCCGACCTATCGGCGGAAAACCCACACCTCCTCGGCACAGGCTTCTTCCCGGAATGCTTGAAGGCCACCTACCCCCTCCTCGAAAAAGAGCGCCCCTGCCTCGACGCCCCCTGCCTCCTCAACGGCCAACACACCCCCGCTATCGACTTCGACGTGAACCACTTCGTCGGCGTATCAGAGTTCTGGCACACCACCCACGAAGTCTTCGCCATGGCGCATAAAGACAAAGCCTACGATTTCCAGACGTACCAACAACAGGTCACCGCCTTTTGTTCCCGGGATTGGGAGGATATTGTGGCCGATGTGGTGGCAGGGAAGAAATGGGGGAAGAAGGTGGATGAGAAGACGGTGGAGGAGGTGTGTTTCAAGGCGAGTTGGTTGATTAATGTATTGCATGAGGGGATTGGGGTGCCGAGGGTGGGGTTGGAGGAGAGCGGGAAGCAGCAGGTCGGCGGGTGGGAGAACAAGACGAAGGCTGTGATTGATGGCGCGAAGGACCGAGGGTTTCTGGACCCGTTTCAAGCGGTTGACAAGATTGACGGGACGGAGGTGAGTTGGACGTTGGGGAAGATGGTGTTGTATGCTTCTTCGCAGATGCCTGCGAGCACCAACACTAGCGTACTGCCGGTGGGGTTTGGCAGTAACGTCCCGGGCGTGAAGGTCCCATTTGACTTTCAGTACGCGGCTGGCGGCAAGTCAGCGGAGTCTTCAGTTCCACCGACGGAGCTACCCGCCGCGCCAGAAGGAGTAGCCGGCAAGGACTGGCACGACCGTATCTTCAACGCCGGCTACGCACGTCGCGTACCGGGGATACTGATCTTCGGTCTCATCCTCGTTCTGGCCGTGTACTTGCTCTGCGGCCGCGATCGGCGGTTGCGAGTCAATGCCAAGCTACTGTCCCTCGTAGGACGGAAGCCGGGCAAGCGACCACGAGCACGTGGCGGCAAGCTCTTCGGCGGCACGTCACCGCAGTACGAGCGCGTGCTCGAGGCCGCGGATCCGGACGACTTCGAATTGAGTGAGGTCGAATTGACATCCAGCTCCTCGCATACCCGTTTGGGTCGCTCATCCGGCTGGGCGACGCCGGTCAGTCGTGCCATGTCGCCTGATACTACGCGCGCTTCTCCCAAGCATAGGGTTGACGTCGATTACTTGTCGTCTGGGTCTGTGATGGCAACGACGGGCGTAAGCGGGCTCGGTGGAAGGGTGGAGAGTAAAGAGCATCTTGTTGCTCCACGCGGCGAAGGAGCTAGGAGTCGGGCGGGCAGTCCGTCGAGGAGGGGTGGTCCGCTTGTTGGGCCGTTTAAGGAGAACGTTGATTAGGATTTGCGCTGTTTTGCTGGATCGATTAGCGAGGCGCTGGTGGTGTTCACATTGTCCGACAGCTTTCGAGGTCTGCTATTTAGTGTGGCGAGGTCATGTCTCTCGTGTAGGTCTATCGTCTATCACTTCTGCGTCAATCATTACGTCCTCATGATTATACTCGCGCAGCCGTCAATCTTCCAACAAGAACCGCACGAAAGCCGCCGCCACCGCAACGCCATCGTGATGATCATTCGCCCGAGTCAGAGCCTCCTCGAACATCGCATCGTCGAAAACGCCCTGCTCATGCCGTCGTTGCAGGAGTTCCGTGATGACTTCGGCGCCGAACTCCGGGTGGCCCTGTGTGCTGATCAGGCGTCGTGGGCTGTACATGCCCTGTACTTCACATCGATCGGAATGGCCGAGTGGCTCGACGGAAGAGGGGTGGGTGTAGACGATGTCGTGGTGCATTTGGTTGATTGCCTGATCAAAGTCATGTTGTCAGCTTAGTCGTGAATCTGCGAAGACGGAAAGTGTGGGACGTACGAGCTTTGGTACGCCGAAAAGTTCCTTCCCCTTCTCCGTCAACGTAACAGGCGTACACGAAATCTCCCACCCCTGATCGCTTCGATCCACCTTACTCCCCATCGCGCGGCCGATGATTTGGTGCCCGAAACAGACGCCTATCAAGCGCACGCGATCTTGCGCCAGGACTTTCTTCGTATACTCCACCAACTTAAGAATCCAAGGATCGTTGTCAAAGGCGTTATATTCTAGTCATCACAGCGTGGCTTCAATCAGCCTATGTTATCAGCTTCACCACTATCCCGCTGCATGAGGTGAAACGTACTGCTTCCGGTCATCAGCACCGCGTCCACGGCGTCGAAGGAGGGAAATATCTCTTCATTCACAACGTTGTATTTGCTGATGTCTAAATGAGGTCGCTTGACGCCGTCCTTCTTCACCATGAGGTCGGCGCCGTTGTTGAGCAGTTCGGCGAAGAGGTTGCCGTAGCCGCCATATTTCTCTTTCGTCTTGCCGACGGGCTCGTCACACTCGAGGACCGCGATACGGAGGGTTGGTTTGAGCATCCCCGCGAATACTCGATCCCTCTATAGCCTCTGATGGTAAGCTTAGGTTATGCTACTCTCTTCCACCCTTTGTGAGGAGATACTACTCAGCATATGTCGGAGGACTATCGAGGGTATGATCAATCTGTATATAGCTTAGAAAGCCGTACCGTAATCCACGCCTGACTAAGCCATGCCAATCTCCCCCGCAGGGCTGTAGATAAGAACTCTGGGTAGCTAGGTTCCGGGGACGGGAGCTGCATTGATAACTCCATGTTCCCCTCGCGCAGTAGCTACACTACAGTCGCGAAACCGTGGCGGGAGAGATCGCAAACAGGTGTCTTTTCGCATGGTTGTTTGCGCATCGATCTCCCTAATAGCTGAGGCCGTACAACGCAGCGTGGTATTGTAATGACTGCCTTGGCAACCACTGCCGCCATCCCAAACTGCAATACCACAGCCTCAACCATGCGCACCACGCGTGCCTGCGCGCGTGGTGCGACCAAGTACACCCTCAACCAGGAGCAGGCATTACTTGAGCCACAAGCCAATGATCAAGTCCGAACCACAATGTCTTTGCTAGCAGACACACATCCGTCCACTGCTCGTTAGAGCAGCAGGCACCGGAGTCAGGCCGCTTACAATGCGGAGCGCGTGAGCTCTCATGATCCGTCGAGGAGTGGACGGCGGTGTGCTGATATGTCATTTACGGAGTAGCTTTCGTCATTGCGAAACCGTTGACATGAACTTCTTTTCGTGGAGACCGAGCAGCTGTGACGTATGGCGCGGAAGCTTGTGGTGTGATCTGCCAGGCGGTTAAGACCTGAGGTCGTGCCAGTCTTGGCGCCTCATGGTTCAAGCACATCTCCCTACGCTTCACATACACTATGGAGGCAGAATTACTGGCCACCTATGCTCGGTGTGCTACACGAGATGCTCTCATTGGGGCGGGTGAGGTCGAAACCCACCTCACCTATTCGACCCTCGCTCAACAAGTCAAGGCCTTGCAGCAGACTTTACAGTCCCACGGAATCAATCGTGGCACGATTGTTGCCGCAGTCTTCCCGAATTCGATGGTGTTGGCTCTTGTCTTCCTTGCTCTGCTCGCCTGCGACGCTACGATTGCGCCGCTGGATCCCAAGCTGAAAGCCGACGAATACAAGTATGATCTAGAAGATCTACGGATTGATTTCGTGCTCGCTCCCAGCAACGTGTTGAGCTCAGAGAACGATCTAACTGCTGTGACAAAGTCATTGTCGTGTGGAGTCTTGGCATGTGCCTTCGGTGCCGAGGAGGTAAAAGTGGATGTTGTTCGTGCCGGATTACCACATCCCAATAGTTCCAGCAACCGGGACAGCCACGAACCAACTGCGTTGATATTGCATACATCGGGTACGACCGGTAAACCAAAAATTGTCCCACTCACCGCACAAAATTTGCTGGCTTCTACCCATAATGTAATTGAAACCTACAATCTTAGCAAGGACGACCGGACGATCTTGCTAATGCCATTGTTCCATATCCATGGCATCGTTGCGGGATTTCTGGCCCCTCTTCTCTGCGGCGCAGGGCTTGTGATACCGGAGAGGGGTCTTGCAGGTGATTTCTGGGAGCTATACATGCGACATGGCGCCAACTGGTGGACTGCCACTCCAACGCATCATAGAACGATCCTACAGTTGAAGCGGCCTCCCGAAGCGAAGGTTCGATTCATACGCTCTTGCTCCTCCGCGCTTTCTCCAATTGATGCTGAAAAATTAGAGGAAGCTCTGCAGGCACCCGTTCTGCAGGCGTATGCAATGACTGAGAACGCACATCATATCTCCTCAACCAAACTTGGAGAGCCACGGGAGCCTGGTACAGTCGGCTTCCCTCCGTCCGACCTAGAACTTAGTATCCTCGACGAAGCCGACAACACAGTGCCGCCTGGTCAAGTCGGTCAAGTCGCAATCAAGGGTGCATCGTCCATGAACGGGTACCGCAACAATGAGGAAGCAAACGAGAAATCCTTCACATCCTCCGGACTGTTCAAAACAGGCGATCAAGGCAAGCTCGACGAAGAGGGCTGTTTGACCTTGACAGGCAGGTTGAAAGAAATGATCAACAAGGGTGGCGAAACCATCAGCCCGACCGCATTGGACAGCGTCCTCCTAAACCATAGCGCGATCAAGGAGGCCGTGGCTTTCGCGGTCCCTGATGACGTCTTCGGAGAAGACATAGGTGTCGCAGTCGTCCTCGAGGAGCACTCATCTCTAAGCCGAGCGGAGTTGGTTGAGTGGATGAGGGAGAGAGTAGCAGAGGCAAAGGTGCCGAGGACCATCTGGTTCGTGGATCACATTCCTAAAACGGCTACTGGTAAGCTTCAGCGCATAGCTGTTGCGCGCGAGATGCTGCAGAGTCCTCAGGAGCAGCCGAAGAACGGTAACGCTGCCGCAGCAGAAACTTCGCTCGAGTCTCTTCGGCGGATGTGGAGCGACTTGCTCAGCGTTGGGCCTGAAGTGATCAAGCCGACCGATAGCTTTCTTGACTTGGGCGGAAACTCCGCGCTGGCGGTACGTCTTGTTGGTATGGCAAAGTCGAGCGGATATGATCTAGACATCGCAGCCGTGTTCAACGCCGAGGATTTGGAGAGTATGGCGAGACAGATGCACCGAAAGGAGTCCGACGAGCGGTCCACTCGGCGCGCAGACCACCGCCTTATCGCCCAATCTGCGGGTCACATGAACGTCGCAGAGACGGATATCGAGGACGTCTACCCCATGACGCCATTTCAGAGCTACATGGCAGAAGAGAACGTCAAGTATGGATGTTGGGCGGCTACGTTCACGTTCGAGTGTGTGGATGCTACAGTGGAGGAGCTGAGCCAGGCTGTGAAGCTCGTCCAGGAACGCAACAATGTTCTTCGTGGCTGGACGACCTGCATTGATGGAAAATACTGCCAAGCTATCATGCGTAAGCCGATTGAATTGCAGCATGTTACTGACCTGGATCATTACCTCACCGAGATGGATATGCTGAAGTTTCCCCTAAATCGACCTTCCCTCAGGTTGGCTTACGCTCATCGCAACGACCACGTCGTATTCGTGCTCACCATGAATCATGTCATCATGGATCACTGGACGAGGTCATTGCTCTTCGATGAGATAGCGCTTGCCCTGAAAGACCTGAGCGCATTGAGGAAAATGACGCCTTTGCCTTTGCAATTTGCCGACTTCGCGAGATGGATAGAAGATCTCCGGTGTCGTAAGCCCGATCACAGCGCCCTCACACCTGAGCCGGATCATGACAAGACTCCCAGCGTACATGATGAAGAAGCTCCAATCTTCGACCCTGCGGCAACAAGGCATCAGCAGAAACATATCCAATTGTGCGAAGGCGTGGCACTGAAACACCCCTTTTCCGTGTACGCACACCTGGCCTGGTCCATGGCGCTCGCAATGCGATCATCAGACGAGCAACAACACGTGACCATCTCCACCGTCCAAAGTGGCCGTCTTGCTCCTCTGACGGGCATTCATACCATGATGGGACCCGCTCTCACCATTACAAGACTCGATATATGCTTACAGCCCACCTCGCACCTCGACCAGGCGCTAGATTCCATTGCAACCACCTTACTTGCGCCGCCAGATACGTCGTTCACGGGAGCTAACATGCAAGGGCAATACGCAACAGCCTGGGTCCTGAACTGCGCTCCGGGCAACCCCATGCCCGGGGATATCCTTGTCGATGGCCAGCAGATACTGCGCTTCGATGAGAAGAGGTCTATTCGAAACCGGGCCGGTTTCGCGCTCTACGGACGTCCTGTTGTTGCCCGAGAAGGTGGCAAAGTTGCGCTGCAGCTGACGTATAACAGCAATTTGGTCCGCGAAGAAGCTGTGACAAGGTTCGTTGACGATTTTGCAACTTACCTAAGGGCAGTGACTAGCTTGGACGGGCACACGGATTTACGAACGGTGCGGTGAGATCACGCCTGTAGTGGCTTACATTCAGCAGGCTGTTTCCTCGCGGCCAACGCAAGCACCCACTTTGCTCGACAACTGCCGCTTCCAGTTCGGACTTGGATGTCCTTGCTAAGCAGTCGAGCAGAGTCCGCCTCCATACATGACATTGACCGATTGCGAACGATCGCGAGCCAATGGTCATGTTCCCCTTTATTGGTGGCTACGATAGACACATCGTTGCTAGATCGTGCAGCACAGATCCAACCTTGGATGGCACTAGTCTTTAGCGGTCTTCTAGGGTTGAGGCTGAGGTATACCTAGCCCTCGAGCCCGAAATGGTATGTGCCTTAGCAACAACGCAATAATCGAACAGGCTGGTCCGAAATTGTACTGGCTGCTGACGCCGACATACTTTCAACAAGCATGTCAGTCCACAATGCTGTACATAAATCTTTCTCGTTGCCCAAGCCTACCACGTCCCCTTCGTCTTCCGTATGGTCGAGAGCTGAGATTCTGACAACCAATGCGCTCTATTTGCTCGCGATCGTCATTGTCAGGCGCACAAGCGGGCGGTCTACCCTTGTGCACAGTAAAGCAATGATTGTTTCACCCTAGACATTCAATAATTGGGCAGCTCAACGCTAACCTCCGTGCCTGGCTCGACATCGCTGGTCGGGGTATCATTGTATTGTGTGGTCGGGCAGCGGTGGTAATTCCGACCAGAACCATCGAGGTAAGATCTATGAACTTCTCCTCCATTGTCGCTTAGAGAAATGCTGCACGGCTGCAGCCGCCTTGGCAATAGGCTATCAATGCTGACCTCGGCTTCGTCCCCGCCAACTGAATGCATACAACCGCGCATAAGCACAGCAAGAATGGCGACCATCTCTAGGACCTCCTACACCTCTCCACCCACCCTGACAGATTCTCGACTAGACCGCCCACCATGTCCTCTTCCTCCTCCTCCACCCCGCTGGCAACCCAACCCCCACCTACTCCAACCTATCAGCTCACCTACCCAGCACCCTACGTGATCCTGATCACCATAAACCGCCCCAAACAAATGAATAGCCTCCCCTATGCCAGTCACTGGGAAGCAGACGCCCTCCTCCAGTGGTTCGACTCCGAACCTTCCCTCCGCGTGGCCGTAGTAACCGGCTCCGGCCGAGCCTTCTGCGCAGGCCAAGACCTAATCGAGCAACGCGACCTCGCCAACCTGCGTGAAGCGGCCGCGCGAGGCGACGCAGATGCAAAGGCGAAACTCCCCGACAAACGGCTGCTTACTCACCCACCAAGCGGGTTTATGGGGATCAGTCGGCGGGCGGGCAAGAAACCCGTCATAGCCGCCGTTAATGGCTGGGCAATGGGCGGCGGGTTTGAGGTTTGCTTGGGTTGCGACATGATCATCGCCAGCCCCCAAGCCACATTCGGTCTTCCAGAAGCCATGCGCGGCCTCTACGCAGGCGCAGGCGGGCTTTCCCGACTCGTCCGTCTAGCTGGTATGACGATCGCAAGCGAGATCGCAATGTCCGGCCGCTTTCTCTCCGCGCAGGAAGCAGCACAATACGCAATCGCAAACCGGGTGTCAAAGACTCATGAGAGTTGTGTGGGGGAGGCGGTGGAGTTGGCGGCGAAGGTGGCCAGCTTGAGCCCGGATGCGATTGTGGTGACGAGACATGGGTTGAGGCAGAGTTGGGAGACGGCGAGTGTGGAGCGGGCGAGTCAGGAGACGGAGTTGCGGTATGGAGCGGCGTTGCGGGATGGGGAGAATTTGGGGATTGGGTTGCGGGCGTTTGCGGAGAAGAAGCAGCCGCAGTGGGTGCCGTCGAAGTTGTAGCGGAAAACGTTTCCACGCTTTCATGTCGGTTATTGAGCTTCAATGTCGACTGTCCTGTAGCAGGGCCTTGTCAAGCTCTTTGCCCGTCTTAACGTCCGCCGGGACGTCCTCCAGACAGCATATATCTTTCTCCGCCTTCTACGCGGTATTGCCAGAAGATGCTTGCAGAGGCGGTCGGAGGAGGTCTACCATTGATGCGGACAGTCAGCCGGGGGTTCGACGTTCGTGTCGGTCAGCCAGGCCGTGCATGAGATGGCGTAGTATATCCCTAACGTCGTTCACAGGGTCCTGAGTTTAACACACGTCGGTGACTTTATGGCACAGGCGGGGCGGTCTCACCGGCGCGTTGCTGCACTGGAAATGAGTCCAGGTGCGCGGGTTAGTCCTGTAGGCGACTAACGAGCCGGCAGAGTAGGTAGGGTGGCTCACTGCAAACCTGTAGCCTGAACCGCTTTCCCTCACTCAGCACCAGCAATCCCCCTCCCTTCCTTCAATGGCAGAAAGATCTCCGTCCATAACTCGCTCGCCTCCCCCACCGTATACGTCAACTCAGCATCCTGCATCCCAGCCTCCTCACCACCCTGCATGGTCTCCAGCTGACTGATAACATTATTCAACCCAAGCGCCTTGCCCGTCGCCTGCGTCGCCGTCGGATCCAAATTCACGTGCACGATATGAATGTGGAAATGGTAGTAAGTAGGTTGGTAATGCACATAAAACTTCAACATATCCTTCTCCACACCCGGATAAAGCTTCGGTACAGTCGCAGCAAGCGTCGTCCGTAGATGGCGAAGCCAAACAGCGTCTTTCTTCGTTAAATCCCGCACGCTCCAGAGATCTCGTCGTAAAACGAGAGCGAGTAAATGCAGACTTCCCGTCGTCTTGCGGTCCCAGTTCAAATCCGGTAAAAGTAAGAAATCATCCTTCTCATCAGCTTCCTTCGAGCGAAACAGTACATTCTCCTGCTCACTCTTCCCTTCAAGAATGTTAAAGACCCAGTTTAATCGTCCTTCCTCCCGACACCGCCGCATATACGGCCGCACGTACTTGGCATAGACCTCCGGCGTCTCCGTGACACTCCTACTACGCTGGAAGGAGTACTTCTTGACATGCTTCTCCGTGCACGGGTAAATAAGGTTGATCTTCAAATCCGGTGGCGTGGGTTCATCCAGACTATTGTCCGGGAGACTGTTGGCTAGATACCAGCGGTAGATGTCGTTTTCCCCAAGATTTTTGACGTGAGCAATCAGGCGGCCAAACGCGGAGAGATAGGATGGATTCGTGTCGAAGGCGCCTCGTTCTGCGATCAGCAGGGCTGGTTGGCCGGAGATAGTTCCTTGAAGGATCATACGGCGGCCGGCTTGGTCTTGGTTAAGGAGGTTGGAGAATTTGAAGCGAGTTATGAGGGCGTTGGAGGACATGGCGGGAGATGTATTTACTGGGTTGCTATTGGTCGTCGTCCAGATGTTTGGGATGTCACTAGGTTTAGCTATGCGTGTGTAGATACAGTCGCAGAGTGAAGCCTTTAGCACGGAATTTTATATCCCTATCGAAATTCTATATCTGCGACCTACGTTATATATCCCTAATACAGATTTATAAGCGCTATAGTCTTTTGCACTAGACTCTATGTCTATAAAACTTTACATCTTAATATAAAATCTTATATCTAAACTTTTTTTATATTAAGATACTTTTTTAAGTAATAAAGTTTTTTTTTATATATTAAAATAGATATTTTTATATAAAATACTTTTTAAAA